CACTTGGACTCATTGACTATTTCCACAGCTTTATACATGGTATAAAAGTATATAAATACGAGTTCTTTCGTCAGAGATCGTTAAAATTTATCAATTTTTGTCTGTTAAAAAAAAAAAAAAAAAAAAAAAAAAAAGGAGGCGGCCTCTAAAAAGGAAGCGGGCGGGGACGCTAAACATGTGTTTTTTTTTTACTTCGCCTTATACGTTGATGGCTTTAGGCCTAATCGCAGCTATGATATGGCAGATGTTAACAAACAGGGTTTTCAACGTTTTCTCCATATAAGTTTAGGACAATGTAGATTTCTTATGACGCAGGCATTGACTTTTGCTTGTAAACAAAAGCACTAAGTGTTGCGATCTCACGAGGAAATGTTTTGCTTTAACGAAGAGGCACCGATCACCACTTGGCCGATATTGTTCACATAGCTCATTTTAAAATTGCAAATATCTCATTTTGTTGAAGGTTTGTACATGGATTATAAATTAGCCTATACATTTCACCATCTGTCAATGGAATATGAGAGCATTCAACCATAACTAGAGAACCGTTGTGCGTCCTTTGGATGACGATCAGACTTAATTACCCAAACTCGTCAATTCTTTAGCAGCGCAGCAAAATGCGCGGGGTATAATTTATGCGAGACGGCTCATCATTACAATTAAATTCTTTGAGTCTCCTAAAGACAGTGGCATCAGAACGACATGAAAGGGGGGGGGGGGGCGGAGAGCGTCTGTTTCCATCCCTGTCTGTGTTCCGGGGACGGGCATGATTGCCCCTCTTTATAAAGGAGATTTCCCGCTTTCGCCATGACAACCGTTTTGTTTTGTTACCGGAATGCAGAGAATTTAATTTGATAACTTAATAATTCAACGCGTTATAGCGTTTGTGTTTATCACTCAACATGAAAAAGGACATTAATTGAGGCACGTTGATGTTAAATTCATTATGAGTGAAACAGAATTTTCAATACTTTTAATAAATAGCTGCCATCTTAAAACGCGCTCTTAGACCAATCTCTGGTGTATACCCATTGTAAAAGAGCACACGTCAGGTTTCAGAGGACATCGGAGGCAAATTTGATAACGTGTTTGAGGAGGGTTCGTTTGTATAAACAGTAATAAAGGTGTGCCACCATGTACTTTACAACTGAGCATTCAAATTGTAGAAGGCCCAATATAGTACGGCAGATATGTGATTGCATGGCATTTGGCACAAAGTCAGAGTATATCTTAAGAAAGATATTCGGCTGTAGGGCCATCGCAGATTTGTCCTTTGAAAAAATATAGGTAGAATAACAAGTAATGGCAGCCATTTTGAAAGTTGCTTGTTATTTTACCTATGATATATTTAAAGGAGAAATCTGCGTTGGCCCTATAGCCGAATATCTTTCTTAAGACATACTCCGACTGTGTGCCAAATGCCATGCTTGTATCATCAAAGGCACAATTCCCCCAAATATTTCCCCTATCTGCCCCACTAATTGTAATGGAACTACGCCATTTCGGCCCAACGCTCTGCAAGGCTGTTGTTAGTATATAGCGTATCCAGGTTTTGGTTCGGGAATGGGTAATCTTCGAAAAAAAATGGACCATGTTTACGTTCAGTGAAAATGGTAAAGAGCGGGGGCTGATATGACAACCAAGGTGGCACTTTCTCAATAGTCACATGTTTAAAGGGAATTTCCAAATAATTACCAAGTTTCTGAAAATCCTCAACTTTGTTTGCTCTCCCCAATTAGTGTGTTCGCTTTATCAGCTGAAGAGATTCACATCGACGGGAATTTAAAGACGCTCCTCATAGTGTCTTTAATTTCACTGTTTTTGCTGCTAATGGATGTTATATCTTTGAATTAGAAACTAAATATTTCTTCATTTTGGTGAGATTAGAGGCGTTGGGTGCACTTCAGGAATACATACATTAGATATTGACTTTCTCTTAAAAAAAATCAAAGTGTGCTATTTAGGCCACTGTATTGATGGCAATCATGTACTCCTAAATCCGTATCTATATTTTAATTTTTAAAAGGGACTTAAAGCGTATATTTGATAGAGTTCTTGGTTTTTAGGAGTTCCAATTAAATGTCAAATTTCCCCAACTGACCAACCACAGCCAGACATTACAAAATTCTACTAACAACATCGCAATCGAGTATGTTTTCCTAAAAATAAACACACTTTCCCCACACATTATTAGTTTCTTCCTTTTGTTGGGGGGGGGGGGGGGAAGTTACGTTAAGTGGTCTATATGAAGCAAATGGCTTGTTTTGTAATGGCCGCTTCCCGAATCCTTGAGAGGTGGCCGTGCATGTCATTTTACCGAAGGTGCGAAAGGTCTGGGGCGTAGCGTAGCGCCCATCCTCGGCCGTGATTCACGGCGTTTGTTCAGCTGCAGCCCGGCGCCAACGCCCATGACGACTTATATTTCCCGTAAGATAATGAGCGGCAACCGAAACGCACGTACTGTTGCTTGCAAACTAACCATACAGATGCCAGACTTACCTTTTGCAATGGAACCTGAAAGTTCACCCTTGGTGGCGCGCTTCCAGAACCCTTGTATAGGACAATTAACGTAATATAATAAAGTTTGCACTTTGCACTTATTTTGGCTACACTGATTTCTTAAGAAAATCACCCTCAAAAGAAAGCCTTTGTAAAATTATTTATGGAAACTGCAAATCGCCTGACGTGAAAGAGAAATATCGCGTCAAGACTCTCTTCCGAAAATCAAAAATATAGGGCCTATGTGGACTAGTGGAACTCGGTGTACTCGTACAAAGATGAACATTTATGAAATAACTTTGTGGCGGTTATCGGGTAAAAACTGAAAATTAAATAGGAGACTGTCTTTTATGATATAGGCCTACATTTTTTTGGAATAACTTGAAGAACTCATTATAGCATTTGCATTTTTTTAATGACCGCTGATGAAGGCTGTATTCAAGCCAGCACGACTAAATCTAGAACCCATCAGCTGTAGGTAGGTAAGTCTCCGCGTCGTTATACCGTTATACGCTGTGAAAACAAACGTGAACAAACAAGGAGACCTGGGAACGAAAATGCCGGATGTGAATGGTCGTTAGAAAAAAAATGGCTTTTGCTCATCTCTATGTGATTTCTCATCATTTTTCTCATCATCAATCCCAACATGAATGTTTCTTGGGGTGATTGCGTTTAGAAATCATTCTGTCAATAATAAGAGCAAGAAAAGGGAATCCCAGTGTAAAATGCCCATAGAAGGGTTGCGGACGGATCCGGAAGCTCAAAGACAAAATGGCGTACTCCAATGTTTATATTTCAATTGAAAAAAAAAAACAACCCAAATCTATTTTTCTAGGTTTAACTCGAAAATAGCAATGGGGATGAGTCTTTAAAATAGTTATGTAGGCCTACTTACGATTTCCATTCATCAATCCATAATCTATAATAATTGGCATGAAATGTATTAACCAGGATGATCTACTTATCCATTGGAATTTATGTTACAAGGGTTAGCCAAATAATGTGGTGTCCCCAATTCGAAATTAATTCACTCAGCACAAAACTCACCTCCCCCCACACCCCCCGGAAAACGGTAGCCGTTTAATAACTTTTTATTTTAATAGTTCCCTCATGCTCCGCATAATATACGAAACAGAAATCACGTGGGTGGATGCTAACGGAAGGCAACTACAAACGCCTATGTATTTTATATAAAAAAAATGTATGCCATCACAAGATAATCTAAACATCTCATAATGAATTTCACACCTCTTTCTATCGATCACCGGGGCGGTTATTGCTAGTTGCGCTGGCCGTGATGAGGCGTCAGATTCCCCGCCGGTCTCTTCCGAGTAAAGACGACTTGTTGCTGTGCACGGCAGGCGCCGAAGTCACTTACAATGCAGAACGCCGAGAAGTAAACATGACCAGTATCTTCCGTCTAACCATCGACGGTAAGTAGAATAGTTTATAAATTTATTCCTAAATAATGTTTTGTCTTTAACGCGAGGGAAGTACTTAAAGAAAGGTCAGGATGGGTTTTGTTTCTCCTATGAGATCATTGTCTTTGAATATTTCAAAACTCGGACAAATGATAAAGGAAAAATGATTTGTTTACTATGTCAGAATGGCGCTGCAAAACGGATGGTTCTGATACTAAATTTAACATTAAATCATGCGAGCTCACTCGAGCACCACTCAACATTTATTTTTAAAGTGAAAATGGAAACTTTGGAATACCAGTGCAGCAAATTCCAATTTTCATGGTTTTTGTTGTATATTTTTTTTAGGGGGAGGGTAGTTTTCTATTGGAGATGCTGATCAGTGCAGTGAATGTATTTTTGTGATACATTTTTGCTTAACAGGGAATAAAATTGCTCCCTGACTGACTGACAAATTGAATTTCACGAAGACTAAGCTAAAACTGCACAGAGGAATTGTGATCGAATAGAAAAATGTCTTCTAAAACTTTAGCGCAATGATGTTATCTTCGGCAAAATGTTTAGGAATGCTAATATCGGTACATTTTTTTACGCAATCGTGCAAATGCTGCATCGCAGCGTATTACGCGAAGGAAAACTCAATTCAACGAGAAAATGTTAATGACTATAAACGTTTTTTCTCTCTCATATGTTTATCATAGTCAGCAGTAAATCAACTTAGCCCGCGGGGACAGCTCCGTGAATCGACGAGATTGAGAATACAGGCTGGATGGTATAATGAAATTGACATAAGACTGGTGAGGCACTCAACGCAAGGACGCTGAAAAAAACATACCCAAGGCAAGGCAGAAAAACAGATACAATGCTCCATGTTGTGATCTCCAAGAGAAGATACGAAGAGACGTGATACTGGAAAATCCCTTTTGACCGAGCAGTGAATTTAGATTTTTTTAAAAACAGTCCCCACTTTTCCGAGCCATTATATGCTCTTGAGATATCAACTCGCTGCTCTACGACAGAAAGATTGCTCTACCGCTAAACCGCGAGAACAATTCGCCTTCTTGTTTTAATTAAAAAGTGACGGGCTGGGATGACGCAGCCTTGACCTACGCCTGATTGCTGGGACAACAATCTTCGAGGAATCATCACCAATTCACCTCAGTTGAAAGGCAAACCTAGCTTTACCAAGATGATGAATCGACGCAAGGCCTTTAAGGCCTCTATGGTCCGTCTGGCGTTCCTTTTCCACGGCCTGATCAGCATCTTTGCCGCCATCTACTCCACACAGGTCTCCGAGTATTGGTTCATTGCGGTGGCCGCTGTGCTATCTATGCTGGAGATGATACTTACCTACAAACTCAACGAAAACGGCGAGTGGAAATGGTATACAGTTTTCCAAAATCTATTTCTAATATAAATGTCTTTGTTAGTTTGTCGTGTTTTATTTCCAGTCGGGCTATTGGGTTTTTACTGAGGTATTTTTGTGAACACTGTATACTCAGTGTTGTCCCGAGTGATTGTGAGAAATAATCACAAAATACTCGGGTGGGACACAAACCCACGACCTCCTGCTTACTAGTGCAGACGTCTTACCGCTCGACCACCGAGCTGGCCGGGGTCGGCTGGCTGGATAATGAATGTAACCTACACAGACGCAAACTACATCTAATGAATAATGTGTTTTCTTTTCTTTCATTTTCATTTTGACAGTACAAAGTTTTGCACTATATTGATATCCACTTTATGTTAAAATAATAAATGCGAAAACTAAAAAGTGGCACTCGACGTGTAACAAAATGGAGGTTTAAACCCTTCCCGTAAAAACCTCTCTGGGAAACAACAGCATTATTAGAAAATCCCCCAAGTTGTTCGTTTCCTCTAAACCATTCGGCTTGAGATACTGAATTATGGCTACCGTCATTTTGACTATTTTGAGTATCTAGACGAATCAATTAACCATTTAGGGTCACCAGCGCCCTTGGAGGGCGGTGGGGACAAGCGAAGTCACCCTTCCCTTCCGAACACAAAAACATGTGAAGGAAACACTGGGACCGCAAAGCATTTTGGGTAGGTCGATTGCCATTATCAACGCAATGGGAGACTTTTCAAATGCTTGGTGGCAGCAAACACACCAGTCATTTTCCATCGTTGTCATCAAGTTTGAACATGCACACATTAGCCTAAACATGACGCAAACAATTATTAAAAAGGACCGGGGGTATTTGCTGCTACAAAGCGTCTCAAAAATCTCCCATTACATTCCTGCGTACTACACGTGCGCACGGCCCCGGGGACGTTCAGTCAGGGTGACCGTTTTTAGAAAATGTTCTGCTAGAACTGACAGAATATCTATAGGGCCTAGTATAGCAGAATGAAAATTGTAGCAAATTTCTAGAAAAATTCTGTATAATTGGTGATCATAATTTTTTTTTTTCAACAAGCTTCAATTATTAGGTCCACAAACAAACCCTGGAACTCAAATTGCTTAGATATACGCCCGTAGGGAATGTGGTGTAACATGAAAAAAAAATTATATATCGCAACCAGGCTAGACACGCGCTTATTTGCTTTTATTTATGTTTTTTTTTTGAAATGTTATTAAAAAAATTGTTATTGGGAAATTTTGTATTATTTTCATGTAATTATAAGTTTTTATATTGTATCTAGACGAATTTTGCGGTTTTCATCTTGTTACCCTGGGCTCAGCTAGAACTCAATGAAGTCAAATCAAGTTATATTATATCCTTGAGTAGGGCGGTAACGCCCGAACTACATAGTGGGGACAGTCTAAGCTATTGTTGAGACGATGGTGGACCTATAGTTTGGGCGTAACAGACACAAGCGATTGCTGGAATGTTCATAAAATTATTGGTAACCCGTAAACTTTTAAAAAGCTGTTGAGTCATTATAAAGCAATAATGTAGCCGTATATTTGTATCGTTTTCCCCGTCTGCAGGTTTGTACCATCGGCTTTCATCTATCTGATCATGGTCATACCAGTTGTCTGGATCCTGGAGATTGCCATGCTGGATTTCAGGCTGAAATTACGTAACCAGCTGGGGACGGTGCGGTGTGTTACCAGACTTGAAGACTACGCCTGCTTCGATGAAGCCAATACTACTACAGCCGTGGTACTCAATCAAAACGACGTGGTAGGTATTCACATCATGCGGGAAAATATCAACCAACTTTTAAATGGGCTAGAAAACGTGGCTCAATATCGTTGAGATAATTTTCCCCAACAGTTGCCGAACGTGAACTTCAAGTTCAGAAATTGACAATTTGGTAACTAGTAAGAACATAAGCGTCTAGCGTCTTGTAATGTTGATTCTGAAGGTTTTTCCATCCTTCAAACAACGAAAACAAGAACAGAAATTGAAATATGCGACCAAACTTTTCATGAGCCAATGCATTACATTGCACTGCCTTTCGCTCAGTGTATGGCAGAGTTGTAATGACTCGAGTTACAATTTTTGGTGACTCGACTCGACTCCCTAAGGGTAAATGACTCGACTCGACTCGAGTCACTGCGAGCAAATGACTCGCCTCGAGTCCCTCACCAGAAGACTCGACTCGACTCGAGGGAAGGCCCTCCTTTTAAAAATTCAATAGATAGGCCTACATGCCCATTTTACAATAATCTGTTTTGTATAGGCCTAATGCAATTTGGTTTTGATGTTGTCGGCGATCAGCGAAAACAATCTAGACCCAAAGCCAAACCAGATAGTTTATATAAGATCGAAGTTTCGCTTCTTGTTAACTGTTATAGACACAAATAACTTTTGCTCTTGTCTTTATTTATTTAATGTTCAAAATTATATTCGTGACTCGAATTGACTCGAGCTAAATATTTGACTCGACTCGACTCGACCTTCTTGACCTAGTGACTCGACTCGACTCGAGTCACTTCTTTAAAATGACTCGACTCAACTAAAGTCACAAAAATCATTGACTCGTTACAACTCTGGTGTGCGGTATGCGCATGCGTGCATAAATTATGGTGTAAAATATGCGTATGGACGTTAGTGTGAATCGAAAGGGATAATGATGACAATTTCATCTTTTCCTTATTCTTTACAGGACATTTACAACCAGCGATCCAATTTCTCGACGACCATACAACAAACATTGATGCTTGTCTTAATCCTAGGCCGTTGGCTGCTTCCTAAAGGTCAGCTGACGCGAGACCAGCTATCCCAACTCCTGCTGGTCTACATTGGCATGGCGGCCGACATGCTGGAATTCTCCTCGGAGACGCTCCGGCTTGAGAAGATCGCCTGCAGTCTCGACATCTTCTACGCCATCTTGGCCGTGTGGACCTGGAGCCTGATGCAGTTCACCCTGGGTCTGACGGCCACCAAGGCCCGTAAGCGACGGGTGGCAGCCAAAGTCTACAAATCCGAGGAGGAAGAGTTGAACAAACGGCGGTACAAACACTCCAAGAGGGTCTCGGTGTTTCTGTGTGGTACGGAGCTGTGGGCATTAATGACCTCCGTAGTCATCCAGGACGGACCTTATCTCGTCGTTCGCCTCTATCTTATCTTTGGTCTCGGCATCTTCGATCAGTCGACGATTTTCTTCACCTGTAAGAATGGATTGTTGCTCTTCCTGCAGTTTTATCGTCTGTACGTGGTCATATCGGAATCCAACAAGACGCATGAGAAGAGCTTGCGGATCCGACGTCGGCGTGAGTCCCTGGCCGTCGACGGGGACGAGAAGGCCGCGGAAGGTGGCGAGTTGCACTCTGTCGGTGACGTGGCAATGGCAGTCATATCCGGTAACATCGTGCCCAATGGCACAGTGCTGTCCAATCACGGCAGCGGTGATGACGTCACACCACTTCCACCCAATGGCGTAGTGACAACGCAGGCAGAGTTGACCGATCCGGGAGAAGAAACTGGCTCCCCCGTAGGAACGATGAGGAATCGTAGGATGAACGGGGGACCCAGACTGGACGCAAACGGCGGGGATACGCATGCGCATCACACGGTGACCTTTGCCCTTGATGATGACTGATACGCGTTGATGTTCACCAGTGATTGTTTACTAAAATCTTCAATGCACTCAGTCGCCTTGTACGATGACATTTTACAACTGGACATATTAAAAAAAATTGTAAAATATAGTCTACTGTCTCCCTGAATTGCGTACAGAACAGTGGTTGGATTCACCGATTGTGTCCTTTGATTTGGATGAATACCGCGAGTTTATGGAATTCAGCCGTGTGCCTCTCTGATTAAAGATTTGGAAAGTATATAAAGCCATTATGGTTGCGAGGGTGAAGCTTGGCCGGTTGTCAAGTAAAGCTAATCCGATGACGTACTTAGACGCTATAACAGAGCAGTGAAATTCGTGAACCCCCCAAAAACATGACCTTTTGAACGTTGTGTTTCTCAGAAAATATGCTCAGTATGATTGAAATGTTAAATGATAACGGAAGAAGGAATTCTAAACTTCATGTCAGTGAAAAAAATCGCTGTCATCGATGCCGAAACCTCAATACTGGTTACTGGTAAAGCAGACCTTCAAGTCTGGAAGAAATCGGTCGAAAACGTCCCCAAATCTATGTGCTTATATTAATTTCTAGGAATTTACGAAAGTTGTTATTGCACGAGCAGTTGAACACTTATATCATCTAAGTATATTCCGAATTTCAGCTTAATCCGTTGGTGCTAACGCTTGTGTTACAGCTCAAAATATCTCTAAGGAAAATGTGGATGAGGTTTTTTTTCGACCCAACCCACTTGCATGGTTTTCATAGCGCCGTAGGCGCTACGGTTGACCATTTCTGCCTGGCACAGCACAATAACGGCGGGTATATTAGCATATTCATTAGCGTCACCTTGCGTGACTTGGAGTGGGTCTCGGTATCGACCAATGGAAGCCGGCAAAAAGGGTGATATTTGTTAATTAATAACTCGTGTAGGAGGCTTTTATGCAAATTTTTACTGCACCCCATAATGGGTAGAAACTTTATTAATATTCTTGAGACTTGGAAAGATTAAAAGACATTGCTAACGCCAGTGTTACAGCTTTCAAATATGCACGTAGCCAGGCCTATTTTTCCAATTTCAACGAAAAGTAAAGAACATGCTCACGGGGAAGAAATGGATGGGAAGAAATGCTCACGTGATTTTTTTTTTAGATAAAGCCTGCTGGCAGAGCTTACTATTGTCTTCATGCTTTCTTAAATTTAAAAAACCGTTTTAAAATTCAAACTTCTGGCGTTGTCGATGTCGGCCATAAGTAAAACCCTGCTTCACACATTTTGAAGATACGTGTTGGAAAATAGGAATGCAGAAATATTGTATTACTCTTTAGAAGTGTTTTAGTATTTTCTCATGAAGGGTACATACCAAATCTAATTACAGTACTTCTGTTTACAAGTAACTTTATTATAGTAGGAAAGACTCTCAAAAAGGGCGATAATATGGTATATATATAAATTATAATCAATGCACGTAATAGCTTCGAGTAGGAAAACAGTGGACAAGTGTACAAAAACTAGCTGCCTAGTGCAAATTTGGGCGCAATGGGTGCTAAAATATTCAGAGGAAATTGATAACTAGGGCACGATAAGGATGGCTTCGTACATTTGCTGAGATAACATTTTTGTAAACATTATAAATAGTGTATAGACAAAAATATATAATTCCTAAGACAGTGAATTATACACCTGCGGTATTTCACACTGAGTGGACCTCAGTGAAGTTAAAAACCATTAGGCCTACTTGCATTATTTAGCATGAATATTAATTTGGGTTTATAATTAATCGTTTTGAGGAAGTAAAAGGTAGCAAAATTAAGCACAATAACAAAGGAACACTTTCGACCGCAATGCGCACTTTGGGCTCTATAAATGTTTTTTTTTTCGAGATGACAATACGTGTAGTTGGCAAGGTAGCAAAAGAAGAAAACTGAAACCTGCACACAAAAATTAGCAACTAAGGTGCACAATTTCGGTCCTCGAAAATCCTGTCATTTAGTGCCAGTCTTGCTTCAAGTCACACGTATAACTTCGAAGATTTTGCTTCAAACACACAAGCTGCCATTGTTTTTGAGAACCTGCTGGTGTTGACATCTTTTGCTCATAAATACGTATAATGTAGGCCAACAATACGCATTAATTAAAAAAAAATGCTGCTGCGCCAGATGCAATAAAGGACATTCTTTTTTTCATTATTATATGGATTTTTCGTAACTCACTCAGACATTTCGAAATATGGCTAACGAAAGCCACGTATAGGAACATTTGCAATTACCCGGAAACTACTGAACGAGAAAATCCTTGCTCGAAATGGAAATAGGACTGCAAAATACCCTGCAAAATCAATCCGATATCGTTCCATAGAAAAACAATCATAGAGGGTAGTTTGATCATTTTTTTTGGAAAATCTGGACAGATGTTGACAGCTTTTGCTCCTAATTCGATGGCTTAAGCTGACGGAAATACGTATCAGATTTGATTTAACATTTGTTTTACCCGCGTTAGTAACGGAAACCGGTTATGAGAGTCAAAATATTGTGCATACGTTTTCTGTTTTCTCAAAATGTACAGTATCCACTGAGTTGTCAGTTGCTGTTGTGCATCCTCCTTAAGATTTTGAGCTTCAAACGAAAAATAAAAATAATAATATAAAAATAAAAATAATATGAACGATATTACCGTGTTCCTCAAAAGACCCCAAAGGCCTGTACCATACTTTAAAGGTTTTTAGATCAATTGCAAAGTACTTGTAGTACCCGGTAATACGTAGACAATAGATAGGCTAGTAGATTAACATTCTAGAGCTAATTATATACATTTTCTCACCATTCCGCCTATACACTGTAAAAAAGTTGGGCAAAATGGGATGATAATTCGACCAGTGCTGGTCGAATTATCAACTGCCTACACTCTTGGACAAATTCTTTCCCAATAGTTTGATAATTTTTACCCAATTCAACCCAATATGAGGTCATTTCATACCAATGCTGGGTAAATTACTTTGCCCAACAATGTTTTTATCTAACCTTTTTACAGTGTACTGTGGGCTAAATTTCCCAAGAGACTTGGCTGTATATAACATCGATATCCTCATTTCAAATTATTTTGCACTTACACAATGTCATGAATTTTCCTATGTGTATTAATGCATGCTTATTGTCAGGCCTTAGCCACTGTACATAACAACAGCAAGCTCGGACAATAACATTTATTTTATAATGGGAAAATGACTATTCGCTGTGTGCTCCGTTTTCATTTATTCATTCCCAGTGGCGTCATTGTGGTCCATTACAGAGGGGCACTTAGAGGGCTTGTTTTCGGGAGGCAGGGTTGGCGAATTGTTTTGATTAAAAAACAAATAAAAATCAATTTGTTAAACAATTGAAATCGGTGTTTTAAAATTTAAATCGGATTAAAATTTTGTTTTTTTCCCAACGCGCTGTGACGTCCCGGGTTCGAATCTCGCCTGTGCCAGGTGGATTGGGTTTTCAGTCCATATCCCTGCCTGATTCCGTGGGTTTCCCCCTAGAATATCATTCTTGGCTTTTCCTCTCACCACTAAAACTGTAATTTCCTTCCACATCTTCTACCAAGGGATCCCACTGGTAAAAAGTCGAAAGACTTTCGGGGGTCACAAACAAATAACAAACTCGACATTTTTCTGAGCATTCAGTCAACATTACTAACACATTGTCGTAAAAGTAGGTAGGCCCCTATCTGAAAATGTCTATGCAAAATCCCCTACACCGGGGGTTTGTGTAGAACATATCAGACGGTTATTTTTTTACTACCCATCTCGTTCAATTAACTTCGGCAGCGACCGCAAGCCCCTTTAAAAAAAAAAAGTTACGACAGGATCAAGGTACCAACTTTTACGACAACGGAAAAAAGTGTACGTGCGCCCTCTACAGTTATCACAAAAACGGCGGCACGGAAATTTGCGACACCGGCCAGGCCATGCGCCAGGGACTGCTAACCAGTCTAAATAAACTCAGGCACCGATTGTTTTGGTGAAGTATAGCGCGCTTTTCGTGTCTAAAAACAGGCAAATCCGATGCCAATTGCTTGATGTTCAACAACCAATAACTCGAGTAACCCCGTGAGACACATCATGCCCGCCCCAGAGGTACAGGTCGATCATGTGGATGAGTGGTTGGAGGAAAACAAGAAGTGGTTTCTCCCCCCTGTGTGCAACAAAATGATGTGAGTCGTTAGAGATCCAGTTGATCATGTTGATGTTGTTACGCATGGGTGAATCTTCGCTCGTACCCCCCCCCCCCCCCCCGCCCTGAACAGGGCGCTGGGAATACGCTGATGAGCTTCACAGAATCTTGTGAAGGAAGTGGCCTATGACCTGTGTATAATAAAGCATCTGACTGCATCAAAATAGTCTGAAAACTCACCGCTCAACATGCTCAATGTGTTTGCCGTGTTGCTCAGTCCCCTGCACCGAGTTGACGAATGAGGGTGCTAAATGCTTGATGTGACGTGACCGTCGTCGCTCGATCGAAGAAAAACAAGTCGCGCTTTATCAACGATTGTTTCGTGTAATGATACGTGCTATATTCAAACGCCGTATTCAAAGCACATACCATAGTACGGCACGGATCGGAGCCACGTATTATTACACGAAACAGTCGTTAATAAAGCGTGACTTGTTTTTCTTCGATCGAGCGACGACGACAGTACCACGTCACGTCAAGCGCCCTCATTCGTCAACTCAGTGCAAGGGACTGAGCAACATGGCAAACACATAGAGCGGTGAGTTTTCAGACTATTTTGCTGTTTTTTTCAAAATTGTCGCTGTTTGGGAACAATTATTTATAAGGGGCTGGAATGTCATGAATGTGTATATCTATCCAGGGTAGCCGTCTCTCTCTTTTGTATTCTCTTTACCGTTTTTTTGGGGGTCTTTTGTCCTCGCGTGGCTATGTACAATTCGCTACCGTGAATCCGTCACCAAAGTATGGCAAATCGGTGGAGCGTTAGTACGGAGGGTGACCGTAGTTCAACGCTCCACTCAGTAGAGCTAGGGTGAATCCAGACTGGGCCCTAAAGGCTTGAGTGCAGAAAACATGCAAAAATTCACACCAACTTTACTCTCTCTTCAGCCAACAAAATTCTCTAAAGCGTTCATGATTGACGTAAAGACATGGTCCTCATATTTCGTAATTCAATTTAGTTTTTAAATTATAGGAGACTTTGGAAAAAATATGGCAGTGACGCCACTGTCTTATCATCATTTTTGCAATGACTGACCTTCAATTCATTGAGATGATATATGAAGAAAAAAGTGGCGTCAGGTTGCAACATTTTTTTCTCAGACTTTTCTTCAAGTTCTGAGTGTGCAACAAAATGATGTGAGTTGTTACTGGTTGATCATGTTGATGTTGTTACGCATCAAGACTGGGACCTAAAGGCTTGAGTGCAGAAAACATGCAAAATTCACACCAACTTTACTCGCTCTTTAGAAGAAGAAGAAGTGACATTATTTTGCACCTGAAACTTAGGCCAAATAAAAAAACATGTTAAGCATCCCCCCCCCTGCCTTTTTGGAGGCCGCCTCCTTTTTCTTTTTTTTAGCCATAAAATATGCCATACACAAGGGCTCACTGACGATATGCAGACCTGGAAAATGGCAAACGGGGATTTACTCAGAGAGGATATAAGAAATATCCTTGAAATCTAATAACTTTTAACCCTAACCGCCCTGAATCCTCCAAAATCCTTTTTGCAAATTGGAGGAATTTGCAGGATTGAGGTTACATGGCAAAAGTGGGTTGCTGATTTCGGAGTACGCACTGTGTCAAGGTCTTGGGCCGGACCTTGTGTTGTTTATGCTCAGCTGTGCATAAATTTAGTCCTTGATTATACTTGACATCCTCCGCACTGCTCCAGGATGTCATTGCCTCTGCCTCAGCCTATTGACAGACATAGCCAGAGGATTTTGCAGGGTTCAGGCAGTGGTCATACCTCCATGGACCATATTCAAGAAATAACGGAGCAATTTGCAGGATTGAGGCTATATGCTATTTTTCCATGAGGCCAATTGGAGGATTTTGCAGGATTGAGGCTACATCCTAGCAAAAAGGCCTAGGGAGTTAGGGTTAAAGTAATTTCAGTAGGTGATTTTGCACAAGCCCAATGTCCTGATTATCAGAGCAATTTCATTATTGGTGTCGGGGCTACATCTGGACATAAGATTAGAAACTTTGCGGGTTTTTGCGGTAAAGAATGGAATGTGGAAGAATTTCTTTTGAGAAGGTGTGTGGTTCTGAAAAGAACCGGTTGCTTGTGAAACTCGACGTTCCAATCATGCTTTGGTTGTCTCCAGGAGAATACCTGTAGGGAACCTATGTTTCAGTTCAATGAGATTGATCTGATGCCAGTTTAATATCAAAATTCTGTAAACGCTCTCAATTCTGTATGCCAATAACTTTACCGGCTTACTTTCAATTGGCGCTGGTCATGCATGATTTTTTACTTCAATGTGGAGGCCTTAAAATAGCCAGATAGCCTGGGGGCAATCGGTGCAGGTTTGCTGGTGTAATTGATGGAGCTGAACAAATATAGGTCATTTATTATGTACTGGTACAATGAGTAAAAGGAAGTAATGGAAATGCTTCAGTTTTGATATTTGTTTCTGGCAGAACTTTTGCATGACCCTAGATTTTCAGGGGCCATTCTTCGGACATGTGTGTGACATAAAATTGGGCTCGTCTGATTTTTGAAGCTTTACCCCTTGTTAACTACATCTGACATTACTTTCACAGATTCATCAGGGTAGTACCACCTTTTACTCCCTACCTCGGGGTGTAGTTTCTACTTTCACAAATTCTGTCAAAATATTAGGTGTGGTCATCAAAGTTTGATGACGTGTGTGACATCAGACGTAAATATGTTGTCAGGCCCATATCAGAAATTCAAAGTTTTAGCTAAGGACACAAAACACCCATACTAAATTTGGATTAAGACAAGTCTTTTGTGATTTACAGTAATGCATATATGAAATATGTACACTTTGTACAGTGTACACCGTTTGCTTTGAAATAGGAATTGTTCTGTGGTCACGTGTGTGACATTTTGTAATTAAATTTATGCTAATTTTGCATGGAAAGACCAACTTACGAATCATAATGTGGTCTTTGCCTTCTCGCAACACTGTATTGAGCCATACTCATTTGTATTACGTACGTCACATAAAAAAGCTTATTTTTTTTCCAAAAAAATAATTTAATTTCAATTTCTGAAGAATCTTCCTCAAATTTTTTGGTTAACAGCTTGCAAAACATCTTTATAAAGAGTCCATTGTCCCTAGATGTGAACTTCCTAAAAGCATCTTACCCAACATAGCTGTGTTGGACCCGGGTCTAACGCTAAGATTTTGGGGAACCCCTTTCACAAGTTTTTAGCAAGAATCCAAACCAGCTTCTGTATGCGTCAAGTGCTTCATATCAATCCTGGTCAGTACCACGGGTGAAAGTCCCTACCTGGGTAGAAATCTTGTTGGGTGGTGCCAACGGGTACCCGGATCTACCCGGTTCCAGCATGGGAACCGGAACAGTGAGACCAATCCTTTCGCTCGGATCCGGCTCTAAAAGAATCGGTCCCAGAACGAATTACCCTTTCTCTGTGCACAAACCCCAGAGCCGAGAACTGGCTCCATGAATGAGAATTCAATCGTGTGAATTGTTGAATACGATCTCTATAGTTTCACTGGAAATGGACACCCATTTGAAAGCGGCTTTTGTAGTGGAATAACATGTACCGGCATTGCACATCGACAATACCACATGATTGAGGAGCAATTGAGCATGAACTTCAAAAGGTGACACCGTTTACGTTTAACATGCAATTATAAACGCGCACATTTTTCAATTAATTTTCCAACAGCTGGTTCTGGCTCGGATTTTTTTAATGGATAGGTGAGATGATAGTGCCGTGCTAGGGAAACAGGCAGATTTTTTTGTCATAAGCTATACATGGCTTACTTTTCGCTGCAATCAAAGATAGAATGTTTCAAATGTATACAAAAAATATTATATCGGTATTGTCTTCTTTTGCCAGGTGTCACTGATGGTATATTTTTTCTATTGTAGGCATAATGCAGGCCAGATGAAGTCATTCTTTGTCGGGGGACCAAACCAACGTAAGGATTACCATATTGAAGAAGGGGAGGAGGTAAATATTTATATTGATTGAAAATTTCTCAATTATGCATTCTCTTCTAACCGACTGTGAAGCACAAAATTTGATTAATTTTTGTGGGTAAGAAGTGTACACATGGTAATCCTTTTCAATCATCAGTGTTTATTTTATTTTCGTACACCGCCACATAATAAAATATGCAGTATGAAATTGAAATCATGAGTTGCAGCTGTTGAAACGCACAGTACTGTAAAGGTGAGTGAAGATACATGTAGCACTATAGTGCGCAGAATGGTTTGTGTAATTAATCCCATTTTGTACCAGAGGCACATGTACATGTAGCTTGGTTAAAAAGTAGCTTCAAAACCCTTCAGTGCACAGTGCACAGTACAGAGTTGTAATGACTCGAGTCAATGACTCGACTCGAGTCCGACTCGAGTCACATTTTTTGGTGACTCGACTCGACTCGAGTCCCGACGGGTAAATGACTCGACTCGACTCGAGTCACTGCGAGCAAATGACTCGACTCGACTCGAGTCCCTCATCAGAATGACTCGACTCGACTCGAGGAAGGCTAATAAGACTCGAGTCCCAAAAATAAAAGTAAAACTTACTTGCGAAAAATATTTGCAATGACTTACGCCGCGCCGTTTGCGTTGCCAGTTTTTGTTCACGTCACGTTATGTTCGCGAATAATGTACGTTCATATACAGCGGCCGTCTGTTTTCCTTCCTCCATAATAATACAACAAACATACACCGTGTCTCGGACTCCCACCTTGTGGTTCTATAGCATTTAATGCTAAACCCGGAACCAGACTTAAAACGCATTTCTCAATCCGTGGTTTCATCATTGGTTTCGGGCGATTTCTTATAAAGCTCTTGGTGGAACGTTGGCTAAATTTATGTCCCGATTTCACACAAAAAAATGGATACGGACGGGACCACCTTTAAATAATCAGAAACACTTTTGTATAATGTAATTAGGTTTTGACGTTGTCAGCGATCAGCAACATCTATACCCAAAGCCAAACCAGTTATAAGACCGAAGTTTCACATCTTCTTATCTGTGACGTGAGCTAGCAATGGAAACTTATGTCTAATTTGGATTTTCGTAATAGACTGGTGCCTTGTATTCTTCAGGGGTTTTCCTTAACTTTTTCCTTTACTGGCCGGCCTGGCCAGTAAACCAGAGTTTTCACTGGCCCGCAACCTTTTTCACTAGCCCACATGTCTTAATAGTAACTTTCAATCAAATCACCATAAGCTTTTTTGATAACATTTTTGATAATAAATTTTGCAATATGAATACAATCGGCAATTATCTTAATCATGTACATAATATTGCATGTAGTTCCTTTTTAAGTGATGTCAATGTTTCTTTAATCGTCCATGCTTTAACATAGAGCAAGGCTTTAATTAAGAGGAATCAAAAAGGGGGAGAAGTTATAATCAAAATTTATGCAGTGTGCTTCGTTCCGAACTTAAGGCTTTAGGTGTTCTATTTCCGACATGTTTTGATAAAACACAAACTAAAAAAGCGTTATCTTGAGGAACAAGAAAACATTGCACACATTCGTGGTATTAATAGGAGTTTACCAAGTTAGTAACTGAACTGTTTTAACTTGTTTGAAAATGAGTGAGAAGGCCAGTATTTTCAAAAAAAATCTCTCGCGCGCGCCATGCATTTCTAGCGAAGAATGGTGCAATCAGCGTGCCTAGCCAAGAAGCGCTGCGGGCGGGCGACCCACGAACTTACGCTGGTCACGTCAATCCATAACGTTTTCCGGAGCACGGTCCACTTTACATTCACTAGTCTTTACATTCAAAATAGGCCCCTCGAATCTCATATTGTCCTCATCTTTTCGGTACATTTGTTTGATAGTGTTCAAGAAATCATCCCAAGAATCCGTTCGGGCACAAGTTTTGGCAGTGAAACCATGGAGTTATAGCTCCATGGTGAAACTGTCATGAAAGTTTTCTCCTCACCACGTTGTATGATACGAATACGATGTTAACGTATATCCGTACCGTGTGGAATGCAGACAAGTAAATCACGTGCGCTGCATGTGTGCACAATGTGTAATGGCAAATACACGTTGATTCGCCTCATGTTCGTCGTTGGGATTTCAATGCACAGCGCACTGCGAATATACATGGAGTGATACGAATTCGAACTACCGATGTTTTTATTTCGGTCGGCGTGGCAAAAGTATTCATGTGTTGTATCACCCTTAACTTTTTATTTTGATTGATTGAAAAATACTGTAGGGAAAACTTCGTTATTTTTATTTTTTTTAACAGTTTTTTGACTCGCCCGTCGGACTTCTGAGAGGAGGGTTTTGACTCGCCCGCCGCTGTTTTCACTCGCATTTGGCGAGCGGGCGACCGCTAAGGAAAACCCCTGAATTCTTTCTCTCTTGTGTTTGTTGCTTTTCATTGTGATTTATTATATGGTGTTCAAATATTTGTGACTCGAATTGACTCGAGCTAAATACTTGACTCGACTCGACTCGACTCGACCACACACTGTGACTCGACTCGACTCGACTCGACCTTGTTGACCTAATGACTCGACTCGACTCGAGTCATTTCTTTAAAATGACTCGACTCGACTCGAGTCACAAAAAACAGTGACTCGTTACAACTCTGGCACAGTACAGTACTCTCATCGTGGGCACTTACACGGTCTATGACATGAATTGTGTGCAAATATTCATTCTTCTGAAATGTACTAAGACTATGAGACATCCAAGATATTTGTAAAGTGCACTCTTTGAAAAATAGAAAATGTTTCATGCTCGTCCTGACAACAGTTGTACTTTACATAATTCTCAAGGACAAGGCATTGTCGTTCCCTTTGTCCCTATAATGTAACACTCTCCCATAGACTAAGCACACAAGCTCATGATCAAGGACCGCTTTCAACAAAAGATGAACTTTCAAGGACAACAATGAATCAGGAAAGAAATTCTGCATTGAATGACAGTGTTGCTCATGAATATGGAAATTGGCATTAGCATAAAAAACCCAAAAGGCAACAAAAACCCCTTTGAAAACGAATATGAAAAATAAAGTAAAATGGGACACGGAAGTATTTCAAGGATTGCATTAAAAAAAACCACTATGACATGGGCCCTTTAAGCAGCTTTAAGCTACTGCACACTTATGATTCAGAATTACCTCAAAAATAACTCATGCTTTGAAGTGTTGCGATAATATTTTCTGTGATCTACACAAACCTGATGAGTTTTGAGTGGGTTTTCATGTAAAATAACATTTAATTGAAAGATGGCTTAATTTAAAAACAGGACTTTGTTTGGCTTTGCAATGAAATTGGATATCTATATCTGCAATTCTTCATCATTCTCATGATTATGTATTGGACAGCAATGATGTATGCTCCATACGTGTAGTTTGAGATCTCCAATCAATTCCATTGAACTGAGTGAGCAATTGTGAGACAAACCTAACAAATGTGTGTTTATCAAGATATTTGATGACATTTTAAAGGAATGTTTTTGTAAACAAATGTGATCATTTATTGGTGTTATCAATGAGGTTATTGTTAATGTCTAAAGCATTTTCATATGTTTTTAAAGTAAAACAAATATTTGCATGAGAATTTAAATGGCCTTTACATTATTTTTTACATTTTCATTTACAGTTTTTCTACATGGAGAAGGGAGACATGTGCCTAAAGATTGTAGAAAAAGGAAAACACAAAGACATTCACATCAAGGAAGGAGAGGTGAGTGTACTATTTTACAAGGGCACTCTCAATTTTTTGCGTTATGAGTGGTAAGAATGACTTTATTTCCTTTACGCATCATTTGTGTTGTTCAGGATTTCCCCTGGGTTTTGGGGAGTATGTGGTGGCACCCCAATCAGTGGCAGACCTGAAAGTGCGCCCTCACTTTCACATTATAGCTTACTTATACATGCTTGCAAGATATACGTTCACATGAACACTGGATGAATTCGTATCAAAAATATCCGATGAAGTTATTTTTTTCCGAAGTTGAAAAACTGGTGACTTTGTTAAAGAAACGAGTACAAAATGACAAAAATCCATGCTTTACACACAATACAATGATTTTTTTGGTATTTATTACCTTTTATTGCAATCATCTTTCGGACGTATGTACGGCGAAAACAGCCCAGGGTCGCAGCTAAAACCAGAGGGGTGGGCCACCTCGCAATTAAATGGGAAGGGGAAACTCTGGTGCTGTTTCTGATGATGAGTTGTTGAGGTTTTGCTCACCATAATTGACGACGTTGGTGTATTTTTGTACCTTTTTGCTGAGTTACCTACTCTCGTTCGTCACAAGTCAAGTCATAAGTAAGGCAACAGGATAAACAATGATGAAGTAATGTCTTTGTCTAGATTCATTAGAGTAGCTTATTTATAATGTTTCCCACTTGAGTTTCCCACTTTAAAATTGGCATAAACTCTAACTCCCTAGGCCTTTTTGCTAGGATGCAACCTCCATCCTGCAAAATCCTCCAACTGCCTCCATGTAAAAATTGCATACAGTCTCAATCCTGCAAAATGCTCTGTTATTTCTTGAATATTGTCCTTGAGGGGTGAACACTGCCTCAATCCTGCAAAATCTTCTAGCAATCAGTGTCAATACATGTATGTTTAGGCAGAGCCAGTGACATCCTGAAGCAGTGCGGAGGATTTAAGTGTAAAATAGGCCTAAATTTATGCACGGCTGAGCATAAACAACACAAGGTCCGACCCAAGACCTTGACACAGTGCATTCTCCAAAATCAGCCACACATTTTTGCCATATAGCCTCAATCCTGCAAAATCCTCAATTTGGCAAAGAGGATTTTGGAGGATTTGGGAAGGCTATGATTCAAAAAAGAAAGGAAAAGAAGAAGATATTTCAAAAAGATTTGCACAGAGATTTACAAAATAAAGCAAGAAAATAAAAAAGCTGTTATTTCACTGTTTCTTGCTTACTGCAGTGTTTCCTGTTGCCGGCCCGCATTCCACACTCCCCTCAGAGGCAAGAAAACACCATTGGTCTGGTGCTGGAACGAGAACGCAGCGAAGACGAAAAGGACGGCCTGAGGTAACATTAATTTTTTGTTGACACTGTATCTGCGCACTTGGTATCTTGTCAACCCCTATAATCCATAGTGCCTCATATATCACAGGGAAGCCAGTTTTCTGGTTATAGCTGGAACAGCGTTTTTTTCATAATTTGGGGAAAAACACCAGCATTCCATTCAAGGCCATAAGGCTTGAGAATTCTGCACCCACTTACGATCTCGACCGACACGAACATTCTTCGGGAAATTTGGATAGTCAAGACAAAAATCACAAAAAACGGTAACGTCAGCTTTCACACACACGTCTGGCTTCCACACACACAATCTTAAAAATACAACACCATCTGCAAATGGTGCCCGACTATTCTGTGCAAAATATATGGTAGCCCAGAAAGGCCACATAAAGCTTATACTCGATCGTAACCCCATCTGAAAACACATTAAAATTGTGCAGCAGCAGGATTCCAGTTGAACCAGTGAGTTTGGCGGTTTTGAGACATCATCTTACATTGAAAAAAAAACCTTTTTGATTTTGCCGATGCGCATGGCTATGGCGACGCACGTGCACACTGGAAACCGGAGCCTTTTTTTTTTTTGGCCTAATGAACATGTATGTGTATTTATAAATGATGAACTGTGCGCATGAAATGATGAACTGTGCGCATGAACCAGTGAGGTATAAAAGAATACTTTAGATAGTGGAATAGCTTACCTGGGTTCCATCTCTTGACAGTTTGACCAATGAAATCAGCCCTATTTTTGTGTGTGTGTCAGGTATTACATTGACGGCACCACGGAGTCCCTGTTTGAAGTCTGGTTTCAGTGTGTGGACCTTGGCACTCAGCTTGGCCCAATTATCAAGGAGTTCTTTGCCTCAGAGCAGTACAAAACAGGAAAACCTATCCCAGGTGCGTGGACCTGGCTAGCTCAATATTTAGGAGAGACAGTGAGCATTGATCTTGGCCTGTTATTGTGTTAGGAATTTGGGCAATTCACAATGCAGTGCGCCACCAAGAGTTTGCCATGGAGAGTCAACTTTTCAAGTTTACGGTCGACAAAAAATGGCCATTTGAATGAGTGTCAGTAGACAACTTGAGCTAGTATGTTAATATAGATAGGGGCATAGCGTTCTGCCGTCTTACAAAAAATCACCATATTGATACAAAGAAAAGAAAAGGGCAAACATATACTCGAATCATATGCTTACAAAACTACTGACCGGAAAAAATGAACAATTTCAAATGTCCCGCACTGCGAATTTGTCGACCATCTCCCACAATCCACTGGGAAAAATGAACTCTCCGTGGCAAACTATTGGTGGCGCTCTGCTTTGTGAATCGCCCGAATTGTCAAACACACTTGATTCTGTACAAAGTATAAGGTATAAGGTTGACTCAAAAGTCATTGAAAAGTTCATGAATTAATCTTGCTGATATCTGATCAGGAATGCTAACAAGTCAATCACAAGTAAATCACAAGTCCAGTCACAAGTATCAGTGGATGAACAATAACAAAGGAATGCCTTTGCCAAAGCTGATTTGAATAGCTTGTGAGTTGAATTGGGACTGGAGGACTTGTGACGGACTTGACTAAATCCCTTGATGTGATCAATATTAAGGCACTTATAATACTTTGTGAAATTGTTTACCAGCATCCTTGATTCTGTGTTAAAGGAAGAGCAGATGATTTGCAGCTATCCAAAAAGAAACTGACAAAATTATGGTGAAAAAAGCTTTCTTGGTTTAAAGATAGTAATGGCACTAATTTGAAAATCCCTGTGTCTGCATGCTGTCATTTTGAAGAAAACAATAAAAAAAAAAAGGTCATTTCCAAAGATTAGTCAAGTGACTCATTTTTGGAAAGTTCCGTTAGTAGTTAGTTTATAATTCACGCAAGTGTTGACACGACACACACGAGCATGCGCGGTTGCTATTATTCATCGGTTCAGTGCGTGACATTGCGTAGCCAGTACAATTAGCTGAATGAGAATGTGTTCCGGATGCTGATTTTGGACTCAATCTAAAATATGACTCGGCAATTTTTGAATAAAAATCGGGATCCTAGAATATTGTTTGCTCAAAATATACACAATTCACCGAGCTAAAACTTCATCAGGTTAGTTGTAAAGCACTCGTCTTTCGATTTTGAGCACTCTTGCTGCTTCAAACGAAACAAATGACAAATGACTACTCTACCTTTAAATAAAACTTAAAGGCAGATTGCGTATTAAAATACAATTCAAAAACTTTGCTTAAAATTTGGGAAAATTTGTAATCCCTGAATGTTTGAACATGTACACCACATCACATTGATGTACATTTATACTGCCAAGTCAACAAGGGTGTTTTACATGTAAGCTGATCAGTGAACTTCCCATCACAATATGAAGTTTTTGTCCGTGGATAAGTCCAAAGGGTCTGATCCGGTTTTTTTGGTGTGTGTTGACCAGGAACCATCCCTGAAAACCCGCCAGTGATCATAGACACTGAGACAGAGGTGGAAGCACCGTTCAGTCTCCTTAGTTGGATGGACAAACACCAGGAAGAGATCCAGGAGAAAGGCTTCAAGAAGCTCTTTGGAGACAAGTATCAGTTTGAGGTGTGGTGCTTTTCACGTGACGATTGTATTTGGTGACCTGTTCTGCAACGCTGAATCCATTACAACTTCAGTATTTCTATGAAAACTGCACAAGTACCCCCTCAGTGGTTGGTTCAAATGCGTGTGTGCTAGGATCGCCATGTGTGTAAAGCCGGCCTCGGGCTGACATGCGTTTTTCTTGCACCATGACGGAACCATCGGCATCAAGCAGAAAAGTAATGCTCAAGTCACAAAACTGCGAAATTGTATGATTGTCGTGGAACACGTGGCATCTCGACACAAAATAATCGCAACCGTGCTTATGTCACCCATGGCGCAACGAAGATTCCACGGCATAGACAGTCATGTGACTTTTTAAAAGCGCGTTGTTAACAATAAAACGACCTTCCATGGCCACACACGTTCATTCTACCATTTTTGCCGCATGCTTTTTGCCTACATGACTGCGATTGATTCCTGCCTGTCAGGAACACGTTGTAGAAGTTGAAATTGTTCTACTCTTGCGACTGTTGATTTATTTTTAGAACTGACTGATGCCGATCGTCTCAATATCGTCGCAGTTGCACTCAGTTCGCAACAAATCGACATCTAATTTGTAACCGACGGTCAAAGCCCAGGCGCAGCTTGATCATAAAAGTCAGTCGCCGACTGTTCTGTCTTGCCACAAGGTCGACCTGAGGGCGGCTTAAGGCCACATCCAACATACTTGGCTTAAGCTGATATTATACACAGGTCTATGGGAAGTGGCTGCGGCTGCCTCCATAGGCCCGTGTGTAATTTCAAGCCGTAGGCAAGTAATTCGGACGAAGCCTAAGTCTAAAACTAACATGGGACCTGATATCACTCAGTGAATTGTCACTGATGCGATATTCATTGAATGTGACGCCAGTCTTGTTTTGACACTTTGGCTCAATATTTGACACTTTGGCTCAATATTTGATGGCTTTATTCACTGTTGGAAATATGTAAAGGCAAGGCAAGTTTTCCTTGTAGAATATATTAAATATTAAAATATTTTGTGCATTTAGTGTGGCCTAGACCGTTGAAATATGGATTGTAAATGTTCTGGAACAAAAATTCTCAGGACAAAAGTGCAACTGGGAGATTAATTCCCAACAAATATGCTGGGGGGGGGGGGGGGGGGAGAGAGAGGGGGAGGAACCGGTGGAACCAGAGTGAGGAGGGGGTGGGGGGCAAGGGGAACCGGGGAGAGGGGAAAGAGGAACCGGGCAAATCAGGAAGGGGGATGGGGAGGGGATTTGACCGGAAATACTGACTGCACTCCAATATAATGCATACCATATCTTTGCTTCCCCGTTAACAATACACATGAATGTATGTTTTGTTTTGAATTTCAAAGTGTGATACAAGAAGGGTTCATTTTGCTGTTGTTTTATTTGCTAGGTTGCTGTGTATGGCCCTGGGGATCATGTCGGAGGCAGTGAAGCGGCTGAGACCTGGACCTGGCAATTGGTTAGTGTCTGCTAAACATGTGGCTTTTTTAGCTTTGGACCCAATTCTATGCCTTGGCTATAACCACACAATTCTTCACACAGTGGCACAGTTATGTGCTAACCTTGTAACTACAGAATCCTCACTTATGGGATGTAAGCATAGAATCCTCAGTTATGGGATGTACATTCCTAGCTCACCTGTGAAATGCGCTACACGATACGATGTTGTAGTACATGTACTTGAACTCGCACTTGTACTTGTACTTGTACTCGAGTACATTTTTTTGTACTTGCACTCGTACTCATGAGAATGTACTCGTACTCATACTCGCAAGAAAAAAAGTTGCCTGTACTCATACTCATGAAAAGGTACTTGTAGTCGTTCTCCTGCATATGTTCTCCCACAAGAATTTAAGAAAAAATTAAGGGGTACCTCCAGGAAAAGAACCAACTTTTGACTGCTTGGGAGGCTTCTGCATATATGCCTATTGAAATTTGCTCCGACTTGTGGAAAGTACTTGTACTTGTACTCGTGGAACAAAATTGCCTTGTACTCGTACTCATTGTTCTTGTAGCTGCACATAGTTCTTGCTGTTTCAGGCTATCAATTTCTTAACATCATTAGCTGTGCAGTGGTTACCATGTAACCGGTTTTCAACGCCTTATTACTGCAGAAAGGGACGTCTGAGATCACTGTTGGAGAAGAGAAGGTCAAAAAGATTGAGCTGACTGAGCGACAGTGCATGCTGATTCCCCAGGACACCAAGTGAGTAAAGAAGGCAAAAATATTGAATTTTAGGCCGTGTCCCAATCTTGTGTCTAGAGCTAGGCCTAGGTCTTCGCCAGTTCCAAATAAGTGGGAACATGCTGATAATAGACACAGCCGTACCTCTGGAAGTCCGTTGCGGACACGGCGGCCTTAACAAAATTTCTGTATTGAGAACTTTCAAATAAACCTCAGGTTTACTTTTGAAGATTTGAATAAGACCAGTAATGCGAACTCTTCCTGCAGTTTTAGGATTTCCTGCCCGTTTAAATTGCGGATAACACATCAAGCTGTTTGACCGACCCGGGCTCCATTGAAGAAAAAAAACCTATTCTACTTTGTTTAGAGTCAACTTGATTTATTCCAAAAGAATATAAAACAAGTCACAAAGCGGTTATTCTATGCTTCCGCACTTCAGACACGCCAACTATTAAACTGGGGTCAATGGCGTCTGACTATGAAGAAGTTAAAAAATTTCTTCCCCGTTTAACTTTGTGTCTTTCTTGGAAGGTACACTGCCAAGCAAGGAAAGGACTCCCTGCGTCTGTCGTGCTTCCAAGACCCACGGAAGAAGACACCAGCCAAAAAAGACTGAAGAATCGGTCATCTTTTCAATGAACATTGCTGCATCTAAAAATGACTCAACCCTACCAGTAGTTAAGTAGTCAAAGCTAGAATTTGCAAGTCACTTGATATGAGAAGTCTGCTTTTAAAAAAGTTGTTTTTTTTTATTGTCAGATGAATGACAAGGGGAAACTGATAAGGTGCTCTGTTAAATTTTTAGCAACCAAAGCAGCCAGAAATGTCCATATTACCAAAATGTCCGGCACGGCCATTGACGGCCGGCATTTCGTTTCAACTAATTTTGACAACACTTGAAAATGGTGAAGGTTTTTAAAATCTGATCAATGAGTTGAGGTGTAGAGCTTAAAAAGAGAAAAGATACCAGGTTATTGTTGTTTCTGAATTATATTTTTTTAGTTTAAAAAAGGCATATAATTTGCCTTATTTTTTAAAATGATCTGGTTGTACAGCATCTTATATTCAGAAAGAATGTCACTGTATGGTCAATCAACTGGAAAAAAAGCAAAAAGAAAGGAGCAAAAAAGAAAGGTTAAAAAAAATTTCACTGAGAACAGAGTAGCAGATTGGTTGTATTGTTCTGAATAGGAAAAACAAGTTACTACTGCATCTAGACTGAAATAAAGATTTGCATACTTTTGTTTCTTATTTTTTTGTTTTAAAGAATTTGCTTTTGGAGCTTGACATTTTAAGTTACGTTTTTCGATTTTCAGCTGAATTATATAATACTGAAATGCGTTTGCTTTGCTAAAATATTGCTTGTTATTAAAAGTCAAAGCTTTTAAAAATCATGGTTTCTATTTTTGTATTGGATGTCATGTGTAGATGCGCTGATCAGGTATGCAACTTTTCCTCGGATCAGCTGAATTCCTTGTGTTTTTGTTATGCTTTTCTAAAATAAAAAAAACACCGTATAAAGTCTTTTACTTCCGAGGTGCATGCCTGGTGGATGCATTTGCATGGGATAGGATCCTGCAATTGCTTATTTTTAATACTAGCATACTGCATTCATACTATGTTCATGCTAGCTTTAAATGTTATTGGTATATGTGCTAGACTACAATCATGAATTGTAGATAAAAGTTGAAGGTTTGCACGATGAGCAATAAGTGAAAATTTGCTGTGACGTGTTGGGATTGCAAATCTCTGGTGTGAGCTTGTGTGGTTCTAAGATGAATTTGAGGAAACTCAACATCTTGGACAGTAGGCTTTGCTTGTCCTCAGGAGACTAAGCAACAAAACGATTTATACAATATCTCAATAAATCCCAGTCGTCTGATTGGTGGGTCGTTTATCACATGTCATTGAATTATTCCTCCCAATGCAGGGCGTGGCCTTGCCACAAAAATAGCGTTGGGAGTAAAAGTATGCATTTCAGGCAGAAACCTCAATTTTACAGCTATTTCAGCGCCAAAAGTTGCCAGAATATTGAGATTTTGCCGTCATAAATTCTCTTTTATTTGGTGATTTGTTGTGTCAGTACATTGCATGCAGTAAGCCAGTGAACAAACTTTTTCCGCAAATGTTTTCAATGAGCATATTTCGGGGTTCACAATTTGAACAGAAAACCCTCAACTTGAATTATGTCTTCCTGAAACGACATCACAGCAACTGCGCCCTCTTTTGTCCACAAAATCATGGAAAATTTTAATTGTTTAAAGAAGTGCACTTTTGAATAAAATTAACCCAAAAGGGATGCCAAATAGTTTTCATACATTTTAAGAAGAGTAGAAAGTTGCACAAACTTTGCTCCTAAGAAACATTTATGCCATGGACCCTCTCATATGAATTGGTCTATTTGCTCAGCATGCTACAATGTGAATCCCTCAGTCTCCCAAAGGCAGGCAGAACATACATTGAGTTTCGACTGTTTCTTTTCAAAACCACACAAACTCATGAAAGAGATGTACTCTCCTAATGTCACCACAAATTTAACACTTACTCGTTGTTAGTATGGCAGATAGGTGATGGGATTGTGCCTTTGATGATACAAGCATGGCATTTAGCACACAGTCGGAGTATGTCATGAGAAAGATATTTGGCTATAGAGCCATCACAGATTTGTCCTTTGAAAAAAAATATTGGTAGAATAACAAGCAATGGCAGCCATTTTGAAAATTAAAAAAATTGCTTGTTATTCTACCTATATTTTTCCAAAGGACAAATCTGCGATGGCCCTATAGCCAATTATTGTTTTTACACTATTTTATGTGCTTTATATGTTATTTCATGTGCTAACTGTTGCTCAGTTAAAAACAATCTTTATATCAAATTCCTGGCTTAATAGCAGCAGTATAAAAACAATTGCAACAAAACCGGAAATAGAAAGTAGTTGATAAGCGAAAATTATTGGTGGTAAAAGCTGGTGAGAAGCTTGTAGGAAAAAAAGGAAAGTTGCCATTGGAAGAAGCCAAAGTTTAAGTGCTGAGGCTGTCAAAAGTGCCACTTGAGTGTTTTCTTTTAAACAATGACAAAGATGGAAGTGTTTTTGCCAGAAAATTGGCACGAGTCCTCACATTATTTGTACTTTGAAAGTATTTTCATTAGTAGGGTAGGCAAAGGTAACATGTAATTGTAAATGATAAAAAAATGAATCTAAAAGTGTGTTAAAGTTTACTAGTTTTCAGGGTAAAAACGAGGTAGTAGTGTAATGTAATATATACAAATGCACGTCAATACTATCATGTTATGATCTTTTATATATCCTTGAATTCATAATCGTTTTCAAAATAAAGTACAGATCATTTTTGCATTTGAATCACCCGTTTTCAGTTTATATACCAGCCCCTTGAACGTCTTAATCCTAAGGGGGGGGGGGGGGTGCAATCACAGATTTTATTCAAACTTTGTATATGTGTGTTGCACCATCATATATCCATCCAACCAGTTCTTTGCTGGGTTTTGACATCGGTGCTGCTAAGTTTTGATTTGGTTTTCTTCAAATACCAATCAATTCAGATTTGACAGGCAATTATGTATAATAGTGACAGTATATTCCTGCAAACACCATTTTAATTCAAATCATTTATAGCAACCACTTGATTGCATATTCAGTATAGAGGCATTTCCACAAGGGTTTACACAAGGGTTTCATCCCCCCCCCCCAAAGGAAACAAACATTTTTTTGTTATCCAATATTCTTGCCAAATTATACTTCACATTTCCTTTCCCCAACAAATAAATGGATGGTTATTAATATTTATTATCAATTCAAGCAAATTGACTTTGGCTTTTTGTTTAATTTGAATTGTACAAAACTTCTATGGCATTTTCTTAAACTCCGGCTTAACTTCAGCGGCGGCCTCGGGTACGAAACCGGCGTTTAGGAAACGGCCATGTTTTTTCTTCATCCGACGGCTGTTGTAAGCTAGGATTCGTATCAAGACTCCATCTTATCCATAGAGTTATACATCCGGCCGGTCCGGTAGATGCAAACACTAAATAGCGCACTATAAGATTAAAAGCGTACATTCTCATTCACACGTGAAATACTTAGACGTTATGATTAGAAATGTAACGTTGTATTCTTAAGATTACTGGTAAAACTTTCACACCTGGAGACAGAGGATGAATAAAGCATATGAAAAGACGATTGACGGTAAAGTTTTGTCTTGAAATTATCATGTTTCTGATGTTTTTGTAGCGTGCAGTGATGCTTGCCCAAATTTCGGACAATACATAATATTACATTTGTACACGTTCAGTTACTGACTGCGCAAATCGGACCACGGAGAATGTCTTTAATTGGCGCACTAGATTGACACTGACATGTAACTGGTGCAACCAATTAATAGATGCATAGGCACAGCTAGTTAACGAACTTTAAAAAGGCGATCGTGTAGTGTAGGGCCCCTGTAAATTCGATGAAATTAGAATCAAGAATGTTTTTTTATTCCTAAAAAATGACATTGCCAACCTAAAGGCTAAAGCAGACTTCTCCCAAATTACTCAGTGTTCTCCAACCTGTAAATATAACCTGGTGCCCTGCCAAGCTTTCTGAGGCACCCGCCAAGCTTCAAAAGTTGCCGCCAAGCTTAATAAAAAGTTGTCTGCCATGCTTAAAAAAAGGAAAATATCAAATCACATTGTTTTGCTAAAATTATTCTGTTCAAAATCACAAAAATAAAGTCATTATTATTAATATTAAATTAAAACTTAAGCAGACTGCTTAAGGTTGCAGAAGTCAACTGATAAAAGATTGATGAAACAATGTAACTTAGGACTAAAATGTACTAAAATACAGAGGGTCCCGTAGCTTTGCAATTGCCTGGGTTTTTATATTCATTTCATTTCTTGCAAAATGACCTCTTAATAACTTAATTTACAGGTTTTCTGAGCAGTGGTCAAATCTCCTGCCTACCTTGGGATCAACTGAAAGAATGTCTGCGTGGAACTGGAACCAAAAACCTGCAACAAGTAACATCTCTGAAAAAGGTGCTACAAATCAACACGAGTCATGAGTAAATGATCACATGCAGCGGGCATGATTGTGTCTCATGAGATGGAAAGAATGTGATATTCAAACTCTATGAGGAGTCCTAAAATTTAATTTTTTTTTAACTGTTTCTGAATCCAAAGTTTGTGCTTATTTCTTAAATTATGCGGGACCAGGAATCTATTTTGTGGGCCCTACTAACACTCAGTGGGTCCCACTAAATTCCTCGTTTAGAACCCTAAGGCCAAAAAAAAAAAAAAGTTCTGCTTCCGGTTTCCCTACCTACCCTATTCTGACAGGCCCTTCCCTAATTTTTTATGGGAAAAATGAGAAAAAACACCTAAAACCATCAATTTCTACCTTTTACCCTTGACAACACGCAGACGCCTCCATATGATCGTACACAAAAAAAATTGGCAAAAACAAATTATTTCCCTACCTACCCTATTTTCAAATGCCATGTAATCGGAAGCAGAACTATTTTTTTTTTTGGGCCTAACCCCCTAGTAGTTTACCAGGACTACCCTGCTAAATCCAACAGAGTCCGACTGTTGTTCATATGAGTTTGCGGCTCAATCCAACACAGTCAAACACAACCCAATTTGTCAAGTTGTTGGGTACCTGAAAATATCACATGACTGACATGCTCAATCCAACAGAATCCAACTGCGCCTGCCTTATTTTTCTGTTTGTTGCTGGATCCAACAGAGTCCAACTTGGCATTACTTACCACTACCCAACAGAATCCGACTCTGAATATTTCCAGTTGCCTTCTGAATCCAACAGATTTCAACAGGTCTAGATACAAGGGGTTTACTGCTCAATCCAACAGGACCAGCGGGTATGTCAAATAGTTGGATCCTGTTGGATTGAGCAGGGTTAGGGCTAATTAGAAAGCGAATCAAATCATGTACCCAATGGTACATCATGGGAATAAATGGATGAAAGCGTTAGGTACCAGACTATTACACTGGTCTCTCAAATTTGCTCACCGAGCACTCGGACCAGACTTGAATTTTGTAGGACTCAAATACGAGTCTGGCATCAGGTACTTGTGTTTTATATATTTGTGTTGAGTAAGGGAATAAATGTGTGCTCCGGAGGTTTTTATCACTCTGTTTAAGACCACTTAGAGTCTGGGTGCTGATAATTACCCGAGCCGGAGGCGAGGGTAATTATCAGCACCCAGACTCTAAGTGGTCTTAAACAGAGTGATAAATACCGACGGAGCACATATTTATTCCCATTCATAAATAACTTTTCGGTAAAAAAAAATCATATAATTCGTTCAAAACATCCCGATTTTGTTCAACAAATTCACTTTATGCTTTTTGAAACATCCCTCTTGCAAAATAATGGAGTGTTCAGCTGGCGAGTCAGATGTAAACAACCCTTTTATGGAGATTGACGCGCGCGTATCATGTTCTGCGCGATGTCGCGCAGAACGCACCTGGGGCGTTGCATTTTGAATTTAGAACTACAAAATTCTGACTCCCTGGTAGTGTTGCGCATGCCTGCGTGAGGATTGTGAACGTTCAACTAATGAAACGATAAGAGGCACTGGATTTTTAGGAGTCCACATTTTATTGTGACACTGGAAAAGGGTTTAAGACCAGCTAGCCATGTCTAGCCATATCATCCGTTTAAGACCGGCCACGTGACGGGCTCTCGACCAATAGGAATAGCTAAACTGTCTGAGGTATTTATGAATTTGTGTTTAATCTTTTTATGCTTTTTATTATTTTGTGTGTGAAAAGTTTGGAGCAGTTTTGAAGAAGCAAACCGTTGGATCCATCTCGGACACAGAAAAGGAGCTGTGCTGTGATATACTGACGCAGTTATGCGTAACAGTGGATCCCAAGGGGGCATTGCATCGAGGTATCGTGAGGTAAGTAGATACGTTAGTTGTGTAAAATGCATTCTCCTGACATATATTTAATGTGAATACCGAGGTATGATTTTTAAACTGTTAATGGACTCTGTGCACAAGTTCTTTCTGAACAGTTACATTTGAATGCACTGCCGATGATGCCTGGCGCTCACACGAAGACGCTTCGGATTTGCTACACCCTTGCTCAGAATTAGTGGGATAAAAAGTGCTTTTCGGAGTTATTTTACCAGAGATTATTATTATTATTATTATTATTATTAACCATTTCTGGTAATGAAACCAAGGATTCCTCAAAAGCGCCCTAGGCACTGTAGCTCGCAAGCCTGAAGAAACCCGTGGAGAATAGACAATGAGAAGAAGCTACAGTTTTAGAGGTGGGAGGAAAAGCCCAGAAGAATATTCTGGGGGAAATCCACGGAATCAGGCAGGGACTGAAAACCCAATCCACATATTGGCCCAGGAGGGATTCGAACCCGGGTCACAGTGGTGGAAGGCGAGGAAAGTACCGCTACGCAAACCTGATAGATGTTCTATTTCTTTTTTTTTTTCATACAATGTTACAGCATCCTTCAAGGTTTTCCCACTGGCGACCATGAGTTGGTTTCCAGGAAGCTTAGTAATGCCATCAGTAATCAAGTAGCGTCATGCTCCTTGACGGATACCAGCGAGTGTCGGAAGTGTGTGGATGGGGTGTGCGGACTGCTTGACAACTTCCCCTGGGAGAACGCAGCTTGGCAGCAGTGTTTGGTCAAGGTAAAACAAAATCCTTATATCAAAGATAATAGGTACCAGGTAGCGTTTAAAGGGAATATACATCATTGGATTTTGCTGTATTTTTTTGAAATGAACTATTTGAGGGGTTAGTGTAATAGATCAAGTACTGTTACGCTGACATGTTTGAAGTTTTGTGTTCAAAAATGCTGGAAAAAAACAAGAAAAACAAAAATGTTCAAGTAGTCTGGTTCCCTGACTCCACTAACTATAAAATGGATCAATTTACAGATGCCGGAAAATTGTAAGGTAAGGGAACCCAGTCTAGCTGGCCTGCACCCGTTCGTGAACGTGTAACCAATAGCAAACAAAATTTGGACTGAACAAAATGGTAAATTTGGAGCAGTAGTTGAAAAATAGTTAGGTTTTTCCAACGGTGGTCGGCCGATCACCGTTGGAAATTTTTACAAAAATACAATTTTCTTGAAAATGACTTCACACCAGGTGCCATAATTTTACAGGATGCTTTAGACTGTCATTTACCAACATCCTAGTAAGGTATTTCGTAAAAACTTGGTAGTTCCCTGCCTACATTATTGACTGGCTGTGAGTGTCTATGTATCTTGATACAGCTTTGCCTTGACTGTAGGAGATTGATAAGCCAGCTGTACCTACCAGTTACCTGCTTTTGTCTGTTGATGGAGTTTGACTAGTCACGGTGCTTACTAGAAATGTGATCTGACTGTTGGTGACTAGCTTGTGTATAAAGCTTGGCAGGGGAACAGGATGTATTTTTGTTTTGACTGCCTGTGACTGTTCAGACAGCAGGAGGGATTTTAAGTAGTGCAAACTACCTTTATTATAAAATAGACTTCAGTCACTCACCTATAGGAGAAATGAAGTAAAACTCTCTTACACTTACCTTTTTAAAGTTATAGCAGCAGTTGGCTCCTTACACCTGCGAGATCCTGCCCACCAGTAGAGTAGTAGACGTGACTTTCGTCTGCTGCATATAATTATCCCCTAATTGTTCCTAGATCTCAAACACTGATTACCGCTTACTTCGAAAATCTTCAAAAGCCAACATTTAGTTTGCTTTTATTTTGATGCACTGGTAGTGATGGAAATTGGATGATTCAGGATTTTGCCGTGCAAAAATTGCCCGTTGGGTTAGGGTTGATTATCAGGAAACAAGCTGGTAAATGTTTTTTGTGGTAATTTTGACTGGATGTTTTCATCACTGCAGTTGTCACATTTCTGAGTGAGGTCCTGCATATCTTCATGGGATCTACAAGGTAAGGTGTATGCTCAAAATCAGGCATTCTGCATGTTAGGTTGGAAACTGCGGTTTTTTAAAAGTACGTAGGAACATTGGTAATTACTCAAGAAAGTACCTCCCAATTCAACAAGAAAAAAACTTTCTCAAAGTGAAGACAGGTCTTGTCCCAAATACCATGTGAGATTTTTCCGCCAGAAATGGTTTCAGTCAAAAAAAAATCCATTGAAGGTGATTTTTAAAAAGTGTGTCCGCAGACACACTTTTTTTTAGTGTGATTCAAAAACGGAATCCAGTAACGAGACCCAAACAATAGCTCTAAGACATAATGATGCCACGCTTTGTTTACCTGATCTACCAAGCTTCCATAGGGAAGTGAACATGTAAACAAAGCGTGACGTCATTAAATTTCTTAGGTCTATTGTGCATATGTTTTATCTGTTCTCTCAAAATATATTGTAGCCACTGTCCACTGAGCTAAAACTCCAACAGGTTAGTTATGCACCCTTCTTTGAATTTTGCACAATTTTATCGCTTCAAACAAAGAAGTACACTAAAGCAAATGATCCTATGTACCTTTAATCGCAATTATTTCAGGGCATGGCTTATAGAGGTATATACATGAGTGCTGTGTTACACCTGAATAAAAAGGAGTTACATATATTTAGAGCCCTGATCTTAGTTTGTGTAAAACAGGATTATTATTTCTAATGACGACGCCTGTTGGATGTAAATCTATCTAAATACGTGTCACCTTTGTATAACCCATTAGTCCATACGCTGCTCAAACTACTCTGCCTGTAACTCTTGATACCGCCTCAGTGCACTATGATATCATAGATTTATGAAAGAGTTCATACAGTGTAGTTCAATGCTAAACTTTGACAGAACTACATATTATTGCTTTGTTAACCAAATGTCCATCAAACTTTGTGCTAGAATTCTTTCTGAACCCTCCATAATCCTCCATCTCACGGCTCCCAATCCTACAAAATCCTCTAAAAAAATGGAAAAAAAACTTCTGATGTATTTTGAAGTGTCTGGAAAGGTAAGAGGTTTGCATATTTTTTTTCAGGTGTTTTATGGACACAGTCGGTCAAAACGAAGCCATGTACAACTGTATGGCAGCCATCAAGGCTATCATTGCAGTGGTTCAGAGATGTTACTCGCTGGAGAGTCATGCTTGTGATGTGAGGATTGTACAGAGAACAATGGAAACAATGGTGCAGACAATGTGGGACATTTTATCGGACGGTAAGTCATTTCAAAGGAATACATGAATGTGTTCATGTGGATGGACCTGTTATTCAGGATGTAGCCTCAATCCCGCAATATCTTCCAATTGGCCTCATGGAAAAATAGCATATAGCCTCAATTCTGCAAATTCCTCCATTATTTCTTGAATATGGTCCGTGGAGGGGTGACCACTGCCTGAATCCTGCAAAATCCTGTGGCAGTGACTGTCAATATGTTGAGGCTTGGCCAGTGACATCCTGGAGCAGTACGGAGGATTTCAAGCATAATCCAGGCCTATATTTATGCATGGCTGAGCAAAAACAACACAAGGTCAGGCCCAAGACCTTGACAAAGTGCATCCTACGAAATCAGTAACGCACTTTTGCCATGTAACCTCAATTCTCCAAATTCCTCCACTTTGGCAAAGAGAATTTTGAAGGATTCAGGGTGGTTAGGGTTAAAGGAATTTGACAATTGGAACAGTTGGAGGTACAACTCATTTATCACATATTGATACATTGTATGGAGTGCTGTGGCCTTGTGGTCTGGAGCATTGAATTCGTGGTCTGCAGGTTAATTCTGCAGGTTGTGGGTTCGAGTCCAGCCTGGGTTATGGTGCGTGTGCCCTTGGGCAAGGTACTTTGTCACTCATTGGTTCTCTCCATCCAGGAGTAAATGGGTACCTGTGAGGGCAGAGATGGTTATTGTGGTTGATTTTAGCTGCTTTGCGTCAAAATGGCAGCATCAAGCTGCATACTCTTGAGGCAGCTGAGATTGACTTGGAATGTTTCATTGGCCCAATGAGCAGGATAATAATGATGTAGTGCCTTGAGCACCAATGCTGGTGGATATGTGCACTTTATAAATACACATTACATTACATTACATTACATTACATTACATTACGACATTTGTTAATTGTAACAAAGAAATGTTCCATCAATTCGGAATTTTTTATTGCTGTGAGAGAGTCACAAATGTGTTAAAGGTAGAGTATATCATTTGCAGCTATCTAAAAAGTAACTGACAAAATTAATGTTGAAAAACTTACTTGGTTTGAAGATAGTAATGGCAATAAACTCCCTGTGCAATTATTCTTTCTGGCATGGTGTCATTTTGAAGAAAACAACAAAAAAAGGTTAATTCCAAAGTTGCGTCTAAAGACGCATTTTTGGAAATTTCAGTTAGTAGTTCGCTTTGAACCGGCCTTTAGGCTTTAGAGAAAGTCACTGTGACATCAACTGTCAAGGATAGTCAACTTTCCATAATAAAAATTTTCCAATTTTTTTTCTTGAGCTTTCATTCAGTGATACTCAATGTTAACAGAAGGTGGCTGGAAAAAACAAATCTTATAATGCAGGAAGTTTTTTGTTGTTTTTGCAGCCTCATATCTTGCTGATTGTCGGAGCGCTGCTGGCATGGCATTGGTGCTCCTCCAGCGTTCACTGGTTACCAGTGACGAGAACCAGCTCTGTCGTGTGGTAAGTGAACAGATTAATTGTACAACAGCCCGGTGGTTGATTGGTAAGACGTCTGCACTAGTAAGCAAGGGGTTGTAGGTTCGAGTCCCACCCAAGTAAGCTTGTACATTTTTTCTCAGGATCCCTAGGACGACACCGAGTGTTTATAATCACCTTGTTATATCTCCCTTTCAGATATATTCATCTCTTTTTGGTCATCTGTCTGCATCTACCTGCTTGTGTGCACCGTCGCGGTTTGACACCACAATTCTCCCAGCTCAGTCCTACCTGTTTGTCTGCCACGGAGTCCTGGCCATGCTAGACCCCAGGGATCTCATGGCCAAGGGCCTTCCTCTTGAAGGACAGTGCCTGCTGCTCAACGTGCTCTTTCCTGAGATACTGGGGCTGACGGAAAGGTAGTCCTAACTGTACCTCAAAGGGTGAATTTGATTAGCTCACCTGGGTCGACTTGGGTTAGCCCATTGCTGTTTGATAAGGTCTGATGTCATACTTGGGTCAACCTCCACAGACCCTGCTCACGGGATCTGTTGTGGAATTACGTTGCACGCATGCGTTGTTCGTTCCAAGAAGCTGACAGTTATGGTGGCTGTAGAAATTGGGAAAGATCAAGTGGACCCACAAATCAACATGATTATTTATTAACCCTAACTCCCCAGGCCTTTTTGCTAGGATTTAGCCTCAATCCTGCAAAATCCTCCAATTGGCCTCATGGAAAAATAGCACATAGCCTCAATTCTGCAAATTTCTCCATTATTTTTTGAATGTGGTCCGTGGAGGGGTGACCACTACCTGAATCCTGCGGCAGTGACTGTCTATATGTTGAGGCTTGGCCAGCGACGACATCCTGGAGCAGTACGGAGGATTTCAAGCATAATCCAGGCCTATATTTATGCATGGCTGAGCAAAAGCAACACAAAGTCCGGCCCAAGACCTTGACAAAGTGCATCCTACAAAATCAGTAACGCACTTTTGCCATGTAACCTCAATTCTCCAAATTTCTCCACTTTGGAAAGAGGATTTTTAAGGATTCAGGACGGTTAGGGTTTATCTCATTGCAACTTTAGAGACTATTATTCCAGTCCAACATTGTCACTTTTAAAGTAGAAAGAGTGGTTCTGAAAAGCACCAGTTGGTTGAGGACGGACAGAGCACACTGTCCGAAACCTCGAGTTCTACACTCAACCAACCGGTTCTTTTCAGAACCACACTTCTTCCAAGAAGAGATTACTTTCCACATGGTGTTACCCGCAATCTTTCTACTTTATTTCATCCGCCGTGCAAAGCTTAAAGTCATATATGTTGTCACTTTTTGCGATTGACGTGAAGTAGTAGATCTCAAAGTAAGAAAAGGGCGTTTTGTCAATGGCTACTGCCACGGCTACGGACCTCGCGTGAGGATCATGATGGTCCGCAATTTCAGGGTTCAATAAGCACGGCTCTTGTGGCTAACCCGACTGCTTTTACCTTAGTCAACCCAGGTGAGCTAATCTAATGCACCAATATGTCACTCAGATATAGACTCCGTGCACAAGTACCCCCTCAACGGTTACAAAGGGAGAGTTGGGGGAGACCACAGGGAGGGACATTCAAAGGCATTGTCACTGGCGTGGTGGTCAAGTGATAAGACATGTGCACTAGGAAGCAGGAAGTCGTGGGTTCGAGTCCCACCCAAGTAAGCTTGCGAATTTTCCTCACAAGCCCTCGGATAGAACTGGACAAGCATTACATTCACTGTGTGGACTTCCGAACAAAAGATGTCCACATAAACCAGTTTTCAGATACGTTGTGTGGACTTGCACACGTCCACACAAGGTTTCGCCCTCTCTGGAAAACAGGTTTAGAGGCATTTTTGGGTTAGGATAATTTGTCACAAAATGAAGAGAAACATTTAAGAGAATCATAGAAAAAAGGTTGGTTGAAAGAGTTTTCACAGTTTGAGTAAAATGAGTTTTTCTCACAGGTTTTTCTTAACTACACGAAAACGAAGGAATGTCCACACTAGGTATGTAACGTAAACATGTCTGAGTTTACAGTGTTAATAAGAACAATACGTCTGTGAAGGGTAAAACCAAATATTGAAATGCATATATTCAAGGTAAAAACCGCCACCTTACCAAAAACAAGCAATGGGCTTTTTACTCACAAAACATGTGGACCCAACTAGGACTCAACTTCAACATTAAAATGGACCAAGTTTGCTCTTGACAGACTGACAGAGCCTGGTTCGGCCCTGATAGCTGCCAGAACGCTCACACTCTGGACCACTACAGCTGTGGTTGCCATGACGTCAGGTTGCCATGACTACAGCGAGGCCAACTTTGTGGGGTCGGCCGAGATGTCCCAGAAACTGATTCATTATGTGTGGACCAACTGGGACCATCCAATAGACGTAAGGAAAATTAGCTTGTTTTGGGCATTCATTGTTGAGATTACTTCAAAAATTATTTGCGTTTTGAAAAAGGAAGATTAGTATGAATCATTTAGCGTTTAAAAAAAAATTGTGTGCAGTAAAACTGATGTTAAATGCACAAATGTGAGCAATCATTCAAGCGTACAATTTTATTTTTCCAGGGTATCCGATACCAGACTAAAAGTATTTTTGAGAATGTTCTGCAGCTTCATGTGATCACTAAACAGAAAGCAGGTAAATTTGTGCACAAGCTTTATGTTGATTTAAACAGAATCCAACCGTTCGATTCGGCGAACAAAATTAAAAGCCATGTTTTGGTGGAACCACGATTGTGGTCAGGCATACGCACACACTCCGGGCTCCTTCAACCAATAGGGTTAACAAAATCGTCTTTAAGAAAATATGGTTCTTTAAGCAAAATACATGTAGCTGCTAATTTTGTTCGCAGAATTGATCGGTTGGATTCTGATTGGATTCAGTAGGTTGTTGGCTCTACTGTGTTTGGAGGCCTTTGGATTTTGTTAAGTGCCAAGAAAAACCTTAGCGGCAATTCCATGGTAACTCACATTACATTTAGAAGGGGTTTTCCGTCAACTTTGTACTGTTATTCTATAAAGTCCAAGTGGATTTTTTTTCTAAGAATATTCCTTGAAGTTAAGCAACTAAAGGGAAAAAAGGTCAAAAAAAATCTTTTGGTTTGGCAATAAGTTTTTTATCGGTAACTCACGTTCAAGAAAAGGACATGGCAAAAATGTCAACATCCTGCATTTGAAAGTTCCTCATACTGTGCACTGATGGCAAATCCCTTTAATGCCCTTACATCATTATGGTGTCAGCCATATGGTACCATTTCAATTATTAAAATATAATCAATCATAAACTCTCTAGAGGGGTATATTTTGATAACTCACGTTACGGTAACACATGTTATAGTTTGTCTACCCATCTTTGGTACAAGTTTAAACATTTAAGAAACTGACAATAAAAACAAAATCTGTTCACATAAAATATGAACCTTTCTCTCTGCCTCAAAAACAAAACTCGCAATTTTCTTGCATTTTGCATGTAAAAACAAGATTCCAAAATGACTACGTAAAATCCCAATTTTTAGCCAAAAAACAGTTTTCTTGACAAAAAATACACTTAACAATATTCAATCTAACTGCCTCATCACTCAAATGAAAGGTTTTGTTGTCCCCTTTAATTTGACACCACATTTGAGGTTGTGATGCTTGCAGTTTTTAAGATTTCATAAATTCGCCATTTTTCTCCATCACACTTATAATCCCCTTATTTATATATTATTCATCCTTTCCTCAGATTACAAGCCATATGAGGATCCCTTCTTACTCGACCTTCTAGACTCGCTGGTCGCTGTGAACTGGCATGTGAGGGGCAAGTACATGCCACTCGGTTGCCTAGTAACACACGTCGGAGCCGAGCAGATTCTCGCATCCTATCCCACAATGCCCCTGGAACTTCTCCGCGTCTTTGGGGACCAAACGCTGGCACCCTATGTGAGTAGAAATGTCTAGATCCATGTGGAATGGAACATGTAAAACCTGATGAGCACAAATTCTAAAAAAAAGAATGATTTGGTTGATGCGAACTTCCTCAATGGTTACAAAGGGAGAGTTGGTGGCGACCACTGGGAGGGACATTGGAATGCATTGTTTATGACGCCTGATGCTCAGTCAAAGATGTGTGCGCGTTCAGAAGAGAATAAGGCCTGCGTACTTTGTGCGCCATATGCGCCTGATGCAGTCTGCGCGCGCGGTGTGTCCTTCATTCTTGGGCCTTTCAAAAGTGGCCTCAAAGCACCATCCATGGAGTCCATTGTAGGAGTAGCTTTGCCTTTCTTATACAGGGTGAGTAAAAAAAAACGAAACCCAAATGTCGGGACCATTGTTTTAGTGAAGTTCTGCATGTAGCACTTTCATAATCTAGGATATGAAAGCCCAATTCATAAGCTTTCTTTTAGCACAAGAATCATTCAAATCACTCATGTACTTTTCAAGTTTTTTGATAAACACAACCGCCGTTTTAAAGTTCTTTCCACGAATCACAAAAAAGGTGTGTGTTCTTTCAGCGAAGCGAAAACAATTCACACACATCCTTATGTGATTTGTTTTTATCGGAATTGTTTGTGATCCATGGACAGAACCTTAAAACGGTGGTTGTGTTTAAAATTCCGTAACTGAAGGTACACGAGTGATTTGAATGATTCTTGTACTAAAAGAAAGCTTATAAATTGGGCTTTCATATCCTAGATTTTGAAAGTGCTACATGCAGCACTTCACTAAAACAATGGTCCCAACATTTGGGTTTCGTTTTTTTTTACTCACCCTGTAGAATGTGTCTGCTCACCCATCTAGCAATTTTTGTAATATTTAGGCATTTTAGAAAGGTGTAGTAGAGCATGAGTTTAAAGCTTGGTGGTGTGCAAGAGCTTTCATATCCAGGTTGCATTATTACTCAGTAGTAGTGAACTTTCGGTTTACTTACTTCATGTGCAAATTGATTAAAGAATGTTGCTTTCATTTTATTCAGAGCCAGTTGAAGAGGTTGTTTACTTTTGCAGAGTGGGCCCACTGTCAGCCAGTCTGAATTATATTCCTTTTTGAATCATTTTGAACTGTCATTGCTTGCAGGCCTGTGATCTTCTGGAGAGATTATTCACCGATCACAAGTCTTCCCTGACGCAGGACGGCCAGGAAACCGATGGCGTAGGCCGATGGCAGGAGACTTGGATTGTGCCCTTTCTGGAGTTCCTCTGCAGTCCAGCCACATCCAAGGATCAGAAAACCTACCTGATAGAGGTCAGTATCCAAAAACATGTGGACAACTATTGAATTTTCATTACAAGTAGAGTTGTATACAAATCCATCACTTCCCAGATCTAGTACCGTTTCCCAATTTTGGGTACAGAGGGGGTAAAATCACGGGCGTCGCCAGACCAATTTGAATGTGGGATGTGAGAACACATTTTCCTTACCATATCACTCATAAACATTATTATTTGTATATTAACCAACATCAAATAATCCACCAATAAAAAAAGACTAAATAATGGAGAATGTATGGAGGAATAATTTATGGTAAACTAGTGATAATTTGCGGTAACACCATGTGCAAATTTCTTTTGAAAAAATGTGTGGTTTTGAAAAGAACTGGTTGGTTGTGAAACGGAAGACTCATTTTAGGCCATGATTTTACTCAGTCGGTAACGCAGTCGGTCAGTCAGTGACTCAGTCAGTTGGAGGGCAATACGCTGGCCTTTTGAGTCTAGCAAAAAAATACAAAAGGAGTTATAAAAAATTTGACTTAGATAGCAGTAACTTAAATATTATCAACAGATTCAAAAAGATTCTACTATGAAGTCATTATTTTTAAATTTCTCTTCTTTTTTCTTACAGTATTGTGTTCCCAGGCTGCTGAAATGCAGCCCAGAAAGTCTAGGATTCATCGTCACTCACCTACACAGAGCCAATGGCAGCTCATCTCCGTCCATGGCCAAATCTGGACTACTGGGGGCGCTAGTCACGTGCCTCAAGACCGCCCGGTCCATGGGCCTCATCAGAGAGCCGGACGGGAAAGGTGAAGCCGATCGCGATGGCCAATCAGAGGCCAGCCTGTGGAAGGGTCTGGTACCCTATGGCAAACTGAAGGAAGCTTTGTGTCACAAGGAGAGTCAGGTACCCAACTAGTCACCTTCTCAGTAAGGCTGTTGTCTGGAGCTACTGTCAAGGTTTTTGACAATTGCTAATACATGGGATGGGATCATGATGACAATAGACAAAGCCCAAGCTCTGGACACCATTTTAGGTTGATATAATATATTTAACCCTAACATACCTGAATCCATCAAAATCCATACCCAATTTGGAGGATTTCGGCAGAATCAGGATACCTCCATATTGAAAAAGTTGGGGGATTTTGATGGATTCAGGACAGTAAGCCTAGCGGTTCTGCAGGATTCTGATGGATTCAGGATACCTCCATATTGAGCAGTTGGGGGACTTTGATGGATTCAGGATCTCAGCAGATTCACTCCCGGCTAACTGGTGGATTCAGATGGACTCACTGCCAACCAACATTTTATTGCATGGTCAAATTGATGGATTTTGGCGGATTCAGGATACTTTCTAGTAAAAATACCCAAGGGGTTAGGGTCAATATAAATATTTACATAATTGAAAAAAACTAAAAATTTGGTCTCTTTATATGCTGACTGCAACACCCTAGCCACCCCCCCCCTTTTAGAAAGCCCTTGACCCACCTCTGGTATAAACACTGATAATATTACCAGCTGATGGCTTTCTTGGCAGGTCAGAATCGACGGCCTAGGTCTTCTCTGCGACTGCAACAAAACCACGGAGGCTGTCTCATCCAAGGAACTGGCTCTACTACAGTTCTTCCTGATGTTGAACATTTGTAGTACCTCACCATCATTCAGACAGACAATGGGTGCTCATCTTAAAAAGGTAAAGGCTTTAAGGGGGAAACAATGGAGCTTGATTGGGAGCATGGCCTAGTAGTAATAGGTTTTCAACTCTTGATCAGAGCGTCAGGGGTTCGAATCCAGCTGCTGGCCATTTGTTGTGTCCTTGGGCAAGCCACTTCACTCCCACTTGCCTCTTTCTACCTAGGAGTTTAAATTTTGTAGCGCTGCTAATAGGATCCCAGTCTATTTCATTGAGACCGTAAGCAGTAAGTGCAGCAAAAACACACTTAACCCCGGAGGAAAAAGCTGCTGAACAATTGAAATCTCCATGCATGCGCAACCGCTAGCACGTCCACGCCATGAAATAGTGCTTAATGGTTTTCTGCTTTATAGTAAGCAAACTTAGCCTATTTGAGATATGGCGAACACAATAGGAGGGCATTTTTTGGGTTGGGTAAATACAAAAGACTTGACCCAACTTAAACAGCGCCCTCTATTGTGTCTGCCATATGTCAAATGGGCTGGTGAAATTGGGCCCTGACTATAAGATGTTTTAGGGGACAAGGCACATGACAAGCACAATCATGAAAGTCTGTGTTTTTCTTATTGTTAGCTCTTCATTAGAATTCGAGAAAATGGCCGAGTGTGTCTGAAACAGTTGACCAAGCAACGAAAGCAGGACAACTTGGATAGCAGTTCCTCTGCTGAAGTCCAGATCAAGATATACAAGGTAGGATTCACGAGTCTGACCTTTTTTGCACATGCAACTTTATTCCATCTGGCTTGTCGTCATTTAGAAGAAATCAAGAAATGTAGGTGATTTCCAACGATCGCTCAATTGATTGATTTTTGGAAATAAACAGTGCTATTGACAAAATTATGTTTCACGATCAAAAGGTTGTACATGGTTTTTCACTGTTTTCTTAAATAGTGTAATATCCACCGAGCTGAAACTTGAACAGGTTAGGTTCTGAACATTCTTCTTTGGATTTTAAGTGGTGTTTTTATTGGAAATGAACAAAAGGCATGAATAGCAAATATCCGATGTGCTATTAATATTGGGTTTTGCCCTTAACTGATGTATGTCATAAGCATACAGTGCTGTCGAAGAGCTTGTGAGAAGAAACTTCATAATTGTTTCCCCCGACACTTAAAACACATTGGGGTTGTTTAATTTTTAAGCTGATCATACTTTCTGCATATCTTTGCTTTGTTTACAGGATTTCATGTCTTGGTTGATAGGCTTTCTGTTTGAAGCGCTTAAACCGGGCAGCTCTTATCCAAAGAGGGCAGTAGCGCTACACACTCTCAAGACAGTAGCTCAGATTTATGACTGCAAATCCAAAGGTAGGTTGAGAATTGTTGCCTTGTCACTAACCCTAACTCTCTAGTGATTCTTTTTTTTTTCCCTTCTCAAATGGTTCCAGCAGGATCAAAAGAGAGCCCTCTCTGCGAGAATGCATATTCATAGATGTCCAACGCTTTTGAGAATTAGCAACATAATGAAAAATAAAGGTGTATAAATCAAGGTGTATACACGTAAAGGTTTCGCGGTATTCGGAACGGATGACGGATAAACATGCAGCGAGAGACCAGAAATATCTGTCTGCGACCTGCTCGCAGCGAGCAAGGCCGGAAATATCAGGGTGTGTTACCCGCAGATGACGGCCTGAACCTGTGTGGCATTGAGGTTTCGTGAAAAAAAAAATCCCGTGCCTGGGTCCGGTCAATGTCAAAATATTCCCGGCGCGAACGGGTTAAATGACAAAAGCGAGGAAGGAACTTTTCGTACAACACTTAAAGCTTATGCTGGGTTTGTATTGGCGAAAACAAGGCATAAGACATGGGTGTTACGGACCAATCAGAAGATGGGAAACCCAATCCGTTTGGGAACATAAAATTTGCAAACCTCTAGGGTAGTTGGGCTAGATACCCTGCTGAAAGCACCAACATAACAGTTGGCAAAGTAAGAAGCTTGCTCAGTCTAATAAAATCTGACGGGTCAGCTATACCAAGGCCATACAGCCTCATTGCCTGGGGCTGTCGGCCACCACGAGATGCAACAGTGACTAGCTCCTATTGGTAGTTTATGTTGTTGACTGCCTAATGCAACAAGCTGCCACTGAACTTAACACTTGAAACTCTTGGTTGCGTCTGGCAGGTTTACACTTACACTTATACTTACGGTTTTATGGGTAATTTGTTTAAGCACGAGCCTTTGTGACCCCATATCCTATTTTTTTTCTCTTCTAAAGTGAGTCAATCTCTTTCTTAAATGCTGGCACAGTTCTGCCTCAGATTTGTAAAAGTGTGAACGGTATGCCTTGCCTATGGTTGCAGGCCAGTAAATAGGCCAGGGGTGTGAAATCTCACCTTTAAAGCTGATTTCACCTTTTTTTTGTTTTGGATTTCAGCTTTTTTCCCTCACTTGCTGTATACTAAAGTATAGGAGATTTCCAAAGTTCAGCTTTTGATCCACCTTTTTCAGCTGTTTTCAGCTATTTTTATCAGTGGTCACTTACACCCCTGTAAAAAGGCCTGAATTGCCTACTCCAAATCTCGATTTGCATCCCCTCAATTTCTATGCTATTAGAGCATTTTGTGGGTCTTGAACTTGAGGGTTCGTAAAATGAAGGGTGGAAGCCGTGCACAGGACTGCAAGCTCGTATTTCTGTGAAATTCGGATGAAATTCGGTCCTACAATTGCTCTATTTTGCAATGGAGCACAGACATCATTATTCAAAACGGCGATGGGCTACATGACTTCTTTTATGGGTGATCATCTTTAGATGGAATTTTCTCCCAAAAGCCATTGGTTAACTCCAACAAAATTTGAACAGAAATTGAAATATGATGATTTAATTTGATGTGTGTCTCAAACACCTTGGAGAGTTGTGAGTATTTTTCCTGAATTTTGGAAGGAGATGTCTTAATGACTAGGGTGGTATGCAGCCTACCTGGTTTCGTTGGAAAATAGTTCTGCCCACAGTAGGCCTGTGTCGATTTCAACATTGTATAGGTGAGATGATAGTGTAAAAAGGCCTATAGAGGGCTCACTTTCTTGAAAAATATTCTCCTTTCTAAGGATTTGCATCCTACATAGGATATTTCATCTGGTTTTTTTTTAAATTGAAACCATTTATGTTACTGTGCTTTTACAGGTAGTAAGTCTGCATTTTTTGACTTGAAAGAAGTCTGGACTCCAGACCACATCCAGCTACTATTGCACAGGCTGACCGACCCCTATGAGAGTAACAAGGTCATGGCTTTTGACCTCTTGAGTGACCTTTCACAAGAGACATTAGAATTAATAGTAAGTTTGTCCTTTTTCTGGCCTTGCCTTTCTAAATAGTTTAATGTCTCTCTGTGCTTGAAGGGATAAATATTAACTCACTGCCTTTTGAAGATGGTGTTTGTAGTTGTTTTTTGCATGTTGGGTGTCTTTGTGGCAATAATACATTTGGAGAAATAGTTTTAAAGGGTTCCTGAGATGACTTTGTCTTTGGAACACATTTTGTGCAACATTCTGCTCCTCTTAAATGTATGAAAACTATTTGACATCCCTTTTTGGCTAATTTTATTGAAAAGTGCACTTCTTTAAACTTTAAAAATTGTCCATGCTTTTCCCGACAACTGAGGGCGCTGTCGCTGTGATGTCATTTCAGAAAGACATTGTTCAGTTTTTCTATTAAAGTTGTCAACCCAAAAATTTGCTCAATTTAAAACATTTGTTAGAAAAGTTTGCTCATTGGCTTACTGTCATGCAATGACACAACAAATAACACAAAGAAAAAAATTCACGTCAGCAAAATATCCTAAATTCTGGCAACTTTTGGTGCTGAAATATCTGTAACATTGAGGTTTCTGCCTGAAATGACATCACACTTACTCATGAATATGGAAATTTTTGCATCAGCATAAAAACCAAAAGAGCACCAAATATTCTTGAAAATGGCTATAAACGAAAATTGAAAAAAAGATAAAATTTATAGGACACAAAGGTCCATTTTCAAGGATTGCATTAAAATATTACAAAGCATGGCCCTTCGAGTGTTTTTGAGTCTTTGTTTTATTTGCTTAGTTTTGCAGGCCAAGAACTTGTGAATTTTCAGTGCATAATGAGCACTACTTTCTTAGTTAGTAGATGGTAACTGGTTACTGGAAGGCCCTGAAATTTTTTTTTTTTCCCTTCATAGGACCAGAAGTATCGCCAACAGCTGTACACAGATGCTATGCAGCTTGCATCTAGTAACAAACCCCACAACTGCGAGACGGCTTCGTATGTGCTTCGTTTCTCGGCCCACGGGCCAGCCCAATCTCCGAGAGGGACTGGTATCGACCTGTCCCAGAGCATCATGGGAATTCTCACCGATCTGTGCAGGAATTTGACGGAGGAGGTGGGCGTGGCTAAGGGCAGTTTATTGGAGGCGGCTGTTCAGGGTCCCATGTATGGAACGCTGCACTGTATCAGGGAGTTGCTAGCCGATGTTGACCTTAGGTACATGTTCATCTTATTCTCAGTTCAATCATTGTCTTGTTTTTTCTTTCCTTGCTGTAGATCAAGGGCGATTTTGGTAAAGGTTTTAAAAACTAATGGAAAATGTGTAAAGGGTCTAATTTAAAGGTAGAAAATGGACCATTTCTCAAATGTGCATTTTTTCGTTTGAAGCAACAAAAGTGCTCAAAATCTACAGACGGGTACCTTACAACTAACCCGATGAAGTTTTAGCTCTGTGAATGCTGTATATTTCGAGAAAACACAATATTCTGGATCTTGATTTCAGTTCAAAAGTTGCCATATGTCATATTTTGAATTGCGCCCTCTCGTGACACAATCCCAAAATCAGCATTCGGGACATGATTTCTCATTCAGCCTTTATAGCTAAGTGATATCACACACTGAACCGACGAATAATAGCAGCCGCACGCGTGTGTGCGTCGTGTCAACACTTGCACCCAATCATGGATTCGCCCAATTACAAACTAACTACAATCGGAAATTTCCAAAAATGTGTCACTTGACACATCTTTCAAAATGACAGCATGGCAGCAGGAATAATTTCACAGGAAGTTTAGTGTCATTACTATCTTTAAACCAAGTAAGTTTTGAACAATAATTGGTCAGTTACTTTCTGGATAGCTGCCAATGGTCCACTGTACACATCGTGTAGCTGCAATCGGCTTAAAATGAGAACGTGTTCCAGATGCTGTTTTCGGGCACAATTCAAAATATGACTCTGCAACTTTTGAATTGAAATCGAGATCCTAGAAATTTGTTGTCTCGGAATATACAGCAATCACAGAGCTAAAATTAACCAGGTTAGTTGTTAAGCACTCGTCTTTAGATTTTGAGCTTCAAACGAAACAAATGCACAAATGACAAATGGTCTAATCTACCTTTAATTACAAAATAATGCTCCATTGACAAGCAATGACAGCACTTGTGACTCTCTGATGGAGGCCTCTAATGACCGCAGTTACTCGTGACTCTTAATGTCTTTCTACAGGACCGTATCCCATTCTGAAGGCTGGCTGTCTATGATACCCAAGCTGATCAAGCTGTGCCTGCAAGTTGCTGAGGCAGCCTCCGTAGTCGTGTGTAACTCCTCCCCAGAAGGATACATACCAGAGGAATCTAATGCTGGTAAGCTTTACTCTGTCCGGTAGCATCCAGATGCGAGCATGATTCGCTGTCCAAATATTTTTGAAAATTATAATTTCAAGCCAGTATATTAGCTTGCCAAAAGCAAAGAGTTAATCCGAGAAGAACTACGATTTCATTCTCTATCTTAAAGGAAAGATGAGTTGCCCCTTTGAAGAGGCAAGAGTAGTGTAAGGTAGAGTCAGTGTAAGTATTCAGACACCACAATTCACTACAGCTGAGGCGTTTTGGGATGACACACAGGTCTAGTCCAAAACCATCTCTAGTATTAAATTTGAAGGATGAAATGAGCAGCTTTATTTCTTATCGAATGAGTTGATCTGCAATAGGTAAATCAAAAAAAGAATTGATGATCTGACGTTTCAATCCCAGCAGGATTATTCTCAAAATATCCTGCCAGAAGCAACTAAGTTTTCAAAGGTTTCTTATAACCAGAACACAACCTTTTGCTTTTAGCGCTTGAAAATCCAGACCCAGGATCTGAAGACGAGAGCTCATCAATTCCCCCAGAAGTTGCTGCCAGCAAGGCCCATAAGGTCACTCCTCAGATGGTACTGGTGTGTTGCTGGCGTAGCATGAAGGAAGTCTCCCTGCTGATGGGTCACCTCGCCCTGTCAGCACCGCTGAGTTTGGATGACTCCTCCCCTGGTCTCATCTCGCAACACCAGGTAGAAACCAGGCGATAAATTCTTGATGGGTGGGGTGGCTGGTGAGCTTCTCTTTTAAGACCTGGGGCCAATTTCACGGCGCTGCTAAGCACACAAATTTGCTAAGCACAAAAAAGTCTGGCTTATAAAAGCAGGTTACCAGCCAAAACTCCACGTGATGTGTATTGCTCGTGATTAGTATTCAGCTGTTGTTTGCTTAGCATGAAAATCACATGGAGTTTTGGCTGATAACCTGCTTTTATAAGCCAGACTTTTTTTGTGCTAAGCTAATTTTTGTGCTTGGCAACGCCGTGATATTGGGCCCTGGACCCAATTGTAAGGCTCTGCTAACCACAGAATTCCCTGCTTATGATCTCATTCTGTGCTAACAGCATTAGCAATAAATATTTGTGCTAACCCTAAGCGCAGAATACTTAGTCACTGGATGTGTACATAGGCATAAGCCAAAATTCCTCGCTTTGCTGTGAAATATGCTAACTGTAAGCACAGACTTTTTCTGCTACATGAACCATTGACGTGAAAATGGGCCCTTATATTGTTGAAAACTTCATGAACATTTGAACAAGTTTTGTGAAAAGTTTCAAGAAAGTTATTTTTCTTTTGTCAGGGAGAGGAAAGCAATACAGAATTTGTTTTATTCCCTGAGTCTAGTGAAGAAAAAAATAAGATCTAGAAAAACAGGTTCATATTTAAAGGGAGTCTATCTTTTTTCCCTTTTATTGTACACCAACCTGATGAAAATACATTACATTTGTAATTGTTCCTGAGAAGTGGTGGGATTCAATAGATATTTTATCATTCGGTTTGAATTCCACTTTTTAGTTTGGATTTTGGAAACTAGATATTCAAAACCAATCTTAAACAAAATTAAGCCTTCTGTTTTTTGTGTGACACAAGCAAAAGAAAACAATTGGAACAGCCCCCAAATTTGCTCCATGGTCTCTGATTGTGACTGCATTCACTCGCTAGTGGTCTTCTTGGTTAATAGCCTGCCCATTCGACTGATCAGAGAGTTCCCACCCATTTTTTTCAACATCAAGTTTGATTATAAAGGCCCAGTGGTTATTGAATCATGCAAATTACACCCACTTATCGTGGAGGGCATTGCATATGGCACCTCACTCGTCACATTTTGTTAGCATTGCTGAGCTTAATGGGAGATTCCAGTGAAAATGGATAACTGTTGTTCGGTTTGAAAAAAATTAGGTTAACTGGATTCGTAAATCTCCAATTTCTCCCTCCATTATTCTTTAGTTTCACTGTCAAAGAATCGTTCATCCCTTTTCTTACTTGTCATGTTTTACTGATGAAATTTGTAAATTCATGTCACCTAAGTATTTGATTAATTTGCCATTTTCAACTCCATATGTTATTAAAAAAATAACTATCACTGGAATGAAATGAGAACAGATTGTGTATTTTTCTTGTTATGCCTGTCATCAGCTGGAAGAGATCGGCCATTTCTTCCTGCGGTTGTTGAGGGAATCCAAGCACAGAGGAGCCTTTGAACTGGCCTATGAAGGATTCATCATGCTGACAACACGGCTTTGGAAGTAAGCATTCTCTTGACCAAATGAGCACAGTCAGGGGCGTCGCCAGACAAATTTGAATGGTGGAGGGGGGCCTGACAATAAAGTTGCTGACAGACTATCTGTACTGGAGGGTAACTGGGAAATTGTTTTCTTTTGGGGGGGGGGGAGGGGTGGGGATGGACACCATCTGATTGTTGGGGGTGAGGTATAAAACAGACAATCTTGGACACTATTGGACAAGTGTGTAATCAAATGCCATTCCAAGTGGTCTCTTCCAAGTCCCCTTTCCTTACCATTGAGAGTGTACTTTTGCACAGAGAGGATACCATCAGTTTTACATTGAATTTACATAATGTTTACAATATTGGAATTAATATCGGGAGGCAACACACTGAGTATACAGTGTATATACGTTGATGAAGGGCAAAACCTAAGTTGATTTATATCACCCCAACGCAAAAATTCCATCTTATGAATATTGGAATTGTTTTCCCTTTTCTTTATTCCTTCTCCTACAGGAGTGAGTTGGCCTCGTTACACCAGCTTCCCAAGCAATGGTTACAGGACCTTCTATCTGACATCACTGCTAGCCAGTCAATGCTGTGTGCTACACGACGCAGTGCTGGTATACCTTTTGCCATACAGGTACATGTCAAATGATATCCTGCCTTTGTTTAAAGTATGGCAAGCCAAGTTTACAATGTATATAAACAGCTTTTTTGTTCTTTGGGTTTTACCCTTTACTGCATAAACCATTCCAAGCATGCTACCACGGTACATTCATGTACACCCCCTTTAATGGCGAAAACATTGTGCAGGCTATTGTACAAAGTAAATGCCCCCGTTACGAATTATCTGGACAATAGCTAGCACAATGCTTTCGCCATTGATGGGGGCCCCGTGAGTGTACTGTGATAGGGTACTCTGATTGGTCTATAAGTTAATTTTTGTTTGCTGTTGTTTTTTTGTATTGGATCTTTCTTCTAGGCCCTAGTTGGCTCGGAGCCCAGCACTCAAGGGAAGGCTTGCTTCAAGCATGCTATGGAGACTCTGCTCAATCTTGCCCTACCTGACTCTGTAGAAACCGATGCCATCACTTCACAGGTAATGGGCAATGTCTTGAGTTCAAGAAAGGTCCGACTCCATCGTTTAGGCTTACATGATTTAGAACCTGATGAATTCTAATTTGTGAGGTGTTCTGGCAAAATGAGACGGAACTCGGCACAGGCCATAGTGGAGAAATTTGAAGAAGAAAAAAAACCGACAAAATATAACGAGTTGGAGTTATTTTTTCTTTTGATTTTCAGATTTATTGATGTTTGTTATCTTTGATATGTCTGATACATATTTTAAAGAAATAGTATAATAATCATGGAATAAAAGTGTTTATAAGGAAAAACAATTGGCATCTTTCATTTTCACGAATACAGAACTCGAAAGTTTATAGGCCTTTTTCTCAGTATTTTACTTTTTTTACATACATGTCAAAAAGTAAAATACTGATAAATGTTGATAAATACGAACTTGAAAAGAGCCATCACTTGTCAACGGAATATCTGATTGAAGTGCGACAAACAGTGCTAAAAGGAGAATTTATATATTATAATACTCAAAACACTGTCTCATTTTGCAAGAACTGCTCACAAATATCAATGTAGAACCAAAGAAAGATTCTGTGGCAGGAACCATTATGAGGTGGTAACCATGCTTACTTGCGCCACTTTTCATGGTGAAATCTCTTTTTTCTCCCACCTGCCTTGATTGGCAACCATAGCCTTTCACTCTGTGACAATTGACACAACAAAAACCACAATTGAAGAGTGGCATGATTCTCTAAACAGACCCTTTCATAAATTGGTCACTGCTCAGTCAACCGTGCATGTAATGACATGACCAGGGTGTCATTTCACATGTGCCCTATACTTCTGTTCCCATTAGCAAAATATTTGGGTTTCGTTTTTTTTTTATTACCCTGTATAATAGAGCTCCATAGCCCCTCCCGTTCTGGAGATATGACGTATTTGCATATTAATTACTTCCTTGGAGTTCGAATTACACAACTGAGAAAACAGGCCAAAAACGAAATAATGGACCTGTCCGTTTCAGGGCCATATACTGTGCACACAGTGCAAGTGACAGGCCGTGTATGTTAAACTCATTATATACTACGACACTGGTCCCCCTAGAGTAGAGACCTCGTGGCTATGTTTTATGCCCTTAATTGTAAACAGTGACCCTATGGAAACGGCTTAATTCTGCTACATGCACTTGATAATTCAACAAGTGAACAATACATATTCATACAGAGTGTTTCTGCTCTTTGATTTCAGAACATGATTGATCAATCTAAAAGTTCCTCGTGTTGGATGTACTGACAATATGGCGTGGAATTGTTTAGCCTTGGCGGAGGTTGCGCTCTCCGAGTGCTTTCTAGTTGTTTCTTGAATCAGCAAAAACACAATTTTTGCAGATGGTGTCCACTACCTTTAATTATGGTCACTGGATAGGTCTTTATGTTGCTTGTCTTTATTCCCCACTCGCAGATTCATGCCTTGAACATTCTACGAGTCCTCTTCAAGGATGCCCGTCTCGGTGAGGATGTGATACCGTACATAGCTGATGGAGTCAAGGCAGCCATTCTTGGCTTCGCTGCTCAACTCTGGGCTGTAAGTTTCTCTCTGATCTTTTCAAGTGTAGGTTGACTTGACTTGCAGCAGTTCAGTAAGATGTAAATTCACACTTTGTGAGATATTAAATAGATGTCTCTCCAGTTCTCCTAAGGTAGTATTGTCTGTCTTCTGTGAGGTGACCAAGAGACCAAAGACAAGTTCTTTTAGAACTTAAAGCAGGACTGATCTTATCAGACCTAAAACTACTTAGCGAAAGTTGATAATAAGCAGGACAAGTTCTTAATATCTACTAAATATCTACTGAGCGACAGTAGTTATTACCACATGGTGTTACCGCAAACCGAAACGATTCTGTGAGGTGGTCGTTCACCTGAGTGAGACATGGTGATGCAGTGCCCAGTTTGATATGGGATTCTCTGCAAGCTACTTATTGTTTATTGGTTATTTTTTATTTAACTTAGGGAAACCTTTCAGTTTCGGATCCGAGTAAAAGTAAACCACGCACATACTATCACAAACAGTTAAACAAACACAACTTTACATCAATACATTGAAATTAATTTTTTTTGAAACATTCATGTCTTAAAACACACACCCAGAATCATTAACTAAATTAAACATGAATAACCATTTTTAAAAATTTGAAAATTGCACAAATTGACAGTATGAACAGCACCATAATGAAATCAGTAAAAATCAAATGAAACAGAATATAAAAAATACAAGAGTATAAAAATAAACACAAACTCTAAGGAATGAGTCTTTTGTGAAGTAGCTTAAAAAGAAGCCAAGATGTCTGCAGACAGCTGTCAATTTTTTTTTAACATGTAACTCCAGGTGAGGAATTCATCCACTCTCTTGTTCAGTGCTCTGGTGACAAGGATCTTTGGCGTTCAGCGGGCTAAACAGGACCATGACCGCAGGAACTGGTGAGTTATTATTATTATTAATCATTTCTGGTAATTAAACCAAGGATTCCTCAAAAGCGCCCTAGGCACTGTAGCTCGCAAGCCTGAAGAAACCAGTGGAGAGAAGACAATGAGAAGAAGTTACAGTTTTAGAGGTGGGAGGAAAAGCCCAGAAGAATATTCTGGGGAAAACCCACGGAATCAGGCAGGGGCTGAAAACCCAATCCACATATTGGCCCAGGTGGGATTCGAACCCGGGTCACAGCGGTGGAAGGCGAGGAAAGTACCGCTACACCAACCTGACTCCCCATGTATGGAATGAAACTGAATGGTGGGTGGCTCTTTATGGGTGCTTTCGAGAACCCTAGTGCAAGGAAGCACTGCATGCACTGGTTCGGGTGCATGTGGCGCAAAGTACGCATGACTAGTTTTATGCGTAATCAATCTGTATTTGGCCATGGAAACATTACTGCAGCACATCTTGTGCATGCTGCGTATCGAATGCTGTGTACTCCACGCACAGTTTTCAGGAAACTTGGTTAACGCAGAATTTTACAAGAATGGTGAATGGTTTTGGTTGGAATCAGTTACTTTCTAAATATTTGCCCTGACAGATTATTTTTAGAAAATTCTATCATGTTTTTTTTTTGGCAGCATGACTGGGAAGGAGTTCTTTGCCCGGTTCCCTTCCCTCCACCCATTCTTATTACAGCAGTTACAGGAGGCAACCAGTGTGAACACAAGGTCGGCGGCATTGGATGCTCTTTAAATTTTGAAATCTGTTGGTTTTAATGAGAATCATACAAATTGTGAGATTCACCTTGACATTATTTGTGACTGACTTATTATTTGACCGGTGATGGCCTGAACTACACATATAACGCTGAGGTTATTTGTAGCATTATCGGGTTGGGTACAGACTTTGCAGAATAGCCTTATTTACTGTCTGGATTGGACTTGAAACTTTGCACATATAAAGACAATGGAAGAGAGGTTTCTCCCAATGATGACATAATGGGGAATTCATCGTGTGATTTTGTTTGCAACTTTTTAATATATCTCCAAAGTTCGGTAGATAATGTATGTACTGGCAGCCATTGTGCTCGCAAAGCAAATCTGTTTGAGTCGAAAACTAAAACTGTTTTTCAGGGGGTTGCAAACATCTCTCCCCCCCTAAAAAAAAAGTCATGTTGAAAATTTATTATGCGAAAACTTTGTTGAAGAGCACAAGGAATTCAACTTTAAGGCATAATTACTTTGACAATTGAAAAGGCGGAAAAGCCCTGTTTTCGGTTGATGAACTGACATAGCTCTAGTTGAACTTAATCCCTGTGGAACTTGTACCCATGTTTGGTTTAGCTGCCAACAAGCACACATATTTGCTGGCTACAGAATATATTCGCTTCGCAAAAATTAATTATCAGCCAAAACCTTGGGTGATTGATATGCTCACATATGGTTGCTTTGAGTATGTCAAGTTTCACTTAAAGGTACAGTCCATCATTTGTAATTTGTGCATTTTGTTCGTTTGAAGCATCGAACGTGCTCAAAATCTAAAGAAGGATGCTGAACAACTAACTTGATAAAGTTTCAGCTCAGCTTCAGCTGTATATTCCGAGAAAAACAGCATTCCAGGATCTCCATTTCAAATCAAAAGTCTTTAGATGCAAGTCTTTGGAAAGGCCTTCTTTCGTTGATTTCTTCAAAATGACAGCTTGCCAGAGATAATAATTTCACAGGGAGTTTAGTCCCCTCGCTATCTTTCAACCAAGTATGTTTTTCAACAATAATTACGCTTTTTATTTTTTCGATAGCTGCAAATGATGGACTGTAGCTTTAAACTAAAAACATGAGTATTTTGAAATCAAGTTCATGATGTGAATCACTTGAAGTAAAAAATTTAATGAATTTTCATCCTGATGAAATCAAGCGAAGTTGAATCATGTAGAATATTTTAATTTTTTCAGTAAATCTCTGTGCCTATTTCTGTACTCTAGGTCTGGAACTGCCCGTCTGCACCCAAGTCTGTTCCCAGTCTTACTGCTCCTCTCTAGGCTGTACCCATCGCCTATGGATGGCTCTCACACCAGACTCAGTATGGACCATTTTGTACCCCACGTTCTCAGGTAACATTGACCTCAAGCTCATGGAGTGTGTGGTCCTGGGACTTGTCTTGTGCTGCTGAAATATTTTGGCCTTGAAGGCATTTTTGTGTCCTCTAAACAAATGTTTTGGGGGACACTTACCAGTCCTCAATTCTGTATGACCATATCCCCATATCCCCATATGTATGTTAAAGTTTAGGTTCAGTGTTTGAAAAAAAAAAAGTATAACTTCTACATGCTTACATGGATTTAGGGCTGCTGATGTGTTGATTTGACGATGTAATGTCAAAGGTCATCCAGGGGTCAATTGAGGTCATAACTCATGATGGAAAAAATGTAAAAATGCTATTGTTTCATAGAAACAAATACATTCCAGGAGCCAATCATTTCTTCAACTGAAAATGATCAGCTTCTACATGAATATGAACACAAAACATGTAGGGATCGACCCCCCATGAAAGGCAACATGTGTGATCCATGGATCACATTGTCTATTAAAATGAACATGACAGACACTTTCCCACTCTAGGTCTGTTGGTACCCCCAACAGACTAGCTCCACTAGTCTATCCAACCTGGTTCCTCCAATCAGAGTGTTTGAGTGAGAAACCCGACTTTCCGCCTGTTCTCATCCATAAACTGTTGCAATACCTAGATGTAGAACAAAAGGATATTTCAATAGCTTTTTTGCCACGTGCTGCATCTCTGTGGAATTACTTGCCTGGTGCTTGTTTCCCTCCAACCTATGATCTGTCCTGTTTCAAGAGCAATGCCAACTCCTACCTTCAGTTTTCCTGAGTACATGTCTGTCTATATCTCTTGTAGCTCTGTACTTTGAGTGGCTTTTAGCCCTGTTACGGCTGAATATGCATAACAAACAAACAAAGCATTTGGGGAAAATGTTGCAACCCGACACCACTTTTTTCTTGTATCATCTCAATAAAGGTCAGTCATTGCAAAAGTGATAAGACATGAATCTGGGACTGAGAAACATTTCCAATTTTGTGAGGAAAATTTTCTTGACTCTCCATAGACTTTGTACGGAAGTGGCGTCAGGTTGCAACAGTTTTCAGCATTTGTTTCACATAATAGATATATAAACTCATCTTCATTTTCCTCTTTTGACTTCTCATTTCTTAGCTGTGCAAGAAGTGCTGTCTACAAGACCCGAGCCATTGCGGCCAGGGCCCTTGTACCGCTAGTCCCTGCCCATCACCAGCTGGATATGCTGAAATATCTCCTGGGTCTACTGCCCAAGACTTTAGACCAACCAACTCATCACAACCACATCCATGGAGTGCTTCTACAGGTTAGTCAAGCACTCTTTGGATCACTTAGATCTCTCTAAACGCCGATTCATACCGGTTCATACCGGTTCATACCGGTATGGTGATAAGAAGTCAGGTTGGCGTAGTGGTACTTTCCTCGCCTTCCACCGCTGTGACCCGGGTTCGAATCCTGCCTGGGCCAATATGTGGATTGGGTTTTCAGTCCCTACCTGATTCCGTGGGTTTTCCCCGGAATATTCTTCTGGGGTTTTCCTCCCACCTCTAAAACTAATTTCTTCTCATTGTCTTCTCTCCACAGGTTTTTTTTTCAGGCTTGCGAGCTACAGTGCCTAGGGCGCTTTTGAGGAATCCTTGGTTTCATTACCAGAAATGATTAATAATAATAATAATAATAACAATAATACCTGTGCGAAAGCGAACATGAATTTGGGAAGTCACAGCAAGTGCTGCTAATTCCCAAAACTTTAATACATCTCAACTCCGGCAGAATTTGCAGCAAAAGTTTCATGACATCAAATTCGCTTCGCAATCACAGGCAGCTCCACAGTGTCGGATGTACATTACGAACAATTCAACAGTGTGCTAAAGTGGATTTTACTCTGATAAAATGTATCAGTTAGTTACTACATTGATTTTAAAAGAAATTATTCCATCAACTGTTTGCTGCTATAGAAATGAGCTTGAAACACCATGGTGTCGGACGTACTCAGACAAATAGAATTTTTTGTGTGCTTATTAACCCTAACAGAACTCAACCCATCAAACCCCAAAGGCATGTTTTGTTGGAATCTGTCAGGATGGGTACAGTACCCCTAAACTGACAGTCTTTTACATTGGGTTGGCACACCTCCAAAATCAAAGTAAGAAATGTGTGAGTGCAGTTTCCCATATGGTGTTGGAATTTGCCAGGATGGGTATGGTTCCTAGTAAATCATGCTAGGGAGTTAGGATTAAAGAATTTTCAGTTAAAAGTAACAGCTGAAGTGTTAAACATTGTTGATGATAAGCTATATTTCAATAAAATGTAGATGTTTCATCTTGAGTTTAGATATTTTAAAGTTTAATCATTGAGGTTTATATAGTTCCATGGAATTGCCCATACATGAAGTATGCACTGGCCTTAATGATGTCAATTCTGTGCCTTTGCTTATAAGACTCCAACTCTTCTCTTTTTGTTTTTTTAAGATTCGTGAGGTTCTTGAATGCTCAATTCAAGTGTCAAGCAGTCAGGAGACTTGCTCGTCTCTGCTAGATGTCATGTCATCAAGTGCTGATTATGTCTGGCTAGCCTCCGAGTAAGTACAAAGGTCAATGGGCTCCGTGCACGAACAAGAGAGGGCGCTTTTGACCACTTGCGAGAGCCCCCCGAGGGACACACTGTGTGCGCGTACTGGTTCACGCGCGTATTGCGCGAAGTTCGCACAACTAATGTCATTCTAAATGCGCACAAAGCCAAAGCATCTTCGCATGAGCATCAGGCGTCGTTGGTAATACGTTCAAATGTTTCTCCCAGTGGTCTCCCCCAACTCTCCCTTTCTTACCGTTGAGGGGGTACTTGTGCACGTAGCCCATAGAGAATCCAGACTCAGCGTGGATGTGAACCGTATACCACTGGTGTAGCATTCCAAGGCTCGGTCCAGGCTTGTAATATTCACTTGACCGATGATCATGCTTTATGTGACTAACCTAGGACTAATTAACCCATTATCACACTGTACTATAATTAAAACTTGTTGACTTCTGTGATGTGGGATAGGACGTTTTGAACACCGAAGGTGCGCCCCGAGTGTGTTAAAAATGTCATATCCCACATCACACCAACAAATGTTTTGTTATACCTCTGTCTTGTATTCTTTGGATTTTGATGTAAACATCACGAAAACAAACTGCAGTAAACACAACAATCATGACAATCGAACGTCAACTCACATGCATGTCGCGTGCTCGAAACGGCTGATCGTCTGCTAGTTCGCTGCTCCCACTCATGTGTGAAATCATGGTGAAAATAGCCTGGGTACCAACGATACAAGCGTTTCACACCATTTGTGCCGTACGTACTGTACGTACAAAGTCATAGCACACTCCCTGTGGGATATCACGTACGTGATATCCCACAGGGAGTGTGCCATGACTTTTTTATAAACTGAATGTGATCGTTCTAGGCCAATGAAAATACAGTATTCAAGAAAGAGGTATAACAATACTCCTTGATAAATCCTGATGATAATAATACAGTGCTGGGGCAGTTTTTGGCAGTATAAGGTGTAATTGTTTTTCTGCAATTTTTAAATTGGGCTTTTTGGGCGGTACAGGAACTTATGGTGAATCTGGTACACAGAATCCTCTAAAGACATTACCTCAGTAAAAGAGTTCAGAATTCTGTGCTAATTAGCACGCTAAATAACGTTAAAACAGGGATGCCAGTTTTCTGGCTACCGCCTGAATTCAGGCTTTGTCATGTTTTGGAAAAACAAACTCAGGCATTCCATCCCTTCACAGGCCGGAAAAAATAAATCCTTGTGTAGCATGCACAGGGAAATAAAATTGTGCATGCATGCCCCATAGCAATTGCCATGCTAGCTCGATACACGAATGCATATATTGTAGTTCAAAGTAGACATGTACAGGTACACGTGTGTGATATGGCAACATGTTTATGGTGTATTGCAATTGTTTGTGCATTTTGCCAATTTTCGCATATCAAATTTTTCAGGGCCTGGGGCAAAAACCCACTTGCATCCCTGGTTAAAACAAGTTGTTTTATTTACGTACAGTGACAACAAGTGTTGTGTGACCCGGGCTGCGTTCCTGGACATCCTAGAAACTTTCCTTTTCAAGGCCTCTTCTTTATCAAGTGCCGTCATCCCCAAAGAGAAGTCCCTAGAGCAACTTAAAACAGCGACAGCTTCGATCGCTTCGGGGTTGATCCGAAATCACGCCATCCAGACCGGATCCTTGCACCAGCCAGGGTGGGTCACTCTGCAGAAGACGTGTGCCTCCATCTGCCTGAGTCAGAGATACGTTCAAGAATCTTCTCAAGATGCTTCTTCCTCTCCGGAGGTTCCTGATGCTGGCATGAGACCTGACAATCCACTGAACACTGATGGAACAGACATGCTCTTTCAATCTCCCAATAATTCACTGGAACTTGACCCAGATTCAGCAGTTGGATACAAGCAGGCTGAATTCAGTGACGGGTACCAGTCAGAGCAGCCGCCTGGCGCCATTCTGATCAGTCTTCTCTGTTCGTCGTTGTACGAGGTCAGGCATCTGACCTTGAGTCACATGATCGAGAGCAGCAGCGGCCACCCCTCGGAGTCGATCATAACATCATCGGGTAAACTGTTTCAGAAGCTGGTTGCTATGGTAACAGAGGAGGAGCACGAAGATTGCCTCAGTAAGGTGAGCCATAGAACACATATTAGAACACAACAGTGAAATCTTACAGTTAGCTTGCAAAAGACTTTTGTTGAAGTCGCTTTTTTTGTTGCTGTCACAATTAATGTGCAACCATACCAGAGTATTGCATGCAAAACGTACACAGATATATAGATTTGAATTATGCAAGGGCATCATGGAATTATATTCTAAATAAATGTTCTCCATGGAATGATATTCTTAAAAGAACATCTAGTTGTTTCTAGAAGGTGATACAAAAATCAATACAAAAATATACAATTTGAGAACTGCAAATGTATGATTCACACTTCAAACATTTGAGTACATAATGCATGTCTGGCCTCCTGTTAAAACTCCCCTATTTAGGAGAAGAACCAACAAAGTACCAAGTACATATTGGGCAAGCCAAAGTATTTTTGCGTTTATGCTAATAAGTAGGTATCTGAGTATTCGCCTTTTTCTGTGTCTGCCTGTGTTTTTTTTCTCTCTCTCTTTCAATCCGATGGTGCAATTTGCGCTGCGGTGGTCATCACTAGTCCCGGCCAACAATCTCGATGCGCTGCTGAACTTGATGCAGCTGCAAGTCCCTGTCCGGTCCACTGTGTTTTTTTCATTGGAACTTAAAATTGTCAATGTCGCATGTCTCCTATCCTTGTCTGTAATACTATGAGATCATTTTGGAAAATAGAAATATTATGTAATTTTGTGATAGTCAGTTCAAGTTGTTAATGGTATGTGTCGTGCCCTGCATTTTCCACACAGGTTTATGAGCTTCTAAGCTACCACCCCATGACTTCCCAGTTTCCATGGCAACAACCTGAACGTCACATGACCTGCACGGAGTGTTTCCAAGCAGCGATGGATGTGGCCACTTTGCCCCAGCAGAGGTATTAACGTGGTGTTTGATGATGAGTTCTCTCTATTTGAAGCTTTTCCTTGTTGTCATAGAGTTGCTCAAACCAGAAGTGTCTAAAAAAATAATTATCGACTCTAAAAGTTTCCAGTCAAAAGATGTTCATTGCCATGAGCAATTTTTAGTTTGTTACAAAAATATGAATGAAATCCTTTGGGCAAGCTTTTCTAAAAAGTTTTTCATGTCAGATTTAGTTGTTGAAAAAAAAACATTCAGTATTACAAAATTGTGTACCCGGACCAAGCAACTGAGTGAATGTGGACAATTAATGTTATGTGCTCACTAACAGATTTGAGATTTTCTAATTACATAATGTAAATAAATCAGTAAAAATAAAATTGGGAAAAAAACAACAAAAGGTCTTCTAAAAGGCTAATGCTACCTGTATGAATGAGTGTTGAGACTCTTGCATTCATGGTATCTAGACAAAAATGAAAAGTTGAGCTAGACATGTAACCAATACTTTTTGCTTTCTAGTCATCTAGCAGGGCCTTTGAAATTCTGCCAATGTCGCCTGTTTGCAGTTTCCCCATCAGAACATGGCTAACTTTAGTTTGATGATGTAATAGTCCGCCCAGAAGTGATCTTGAAATAGGTAATACCACATTATTATGATGATATACCATGGAGTCTCAAAATTCAATACCGCGCAAGCCTTCAACTTAGAGAGGGAAGGTGAAGATATTTCATCGAGTCCATGCAACAAGGTTGTATCTCCTAAAATGGGCTGTACGTGAAACGCGAGTCTCAGAATGTCAAAGGTCGTATCTCACTTAAAATAACCCGGATGTACACACAAAGTCAATGAATGTCAATATACGGCCTTGTTGCATGAAGCGTATTCGCGCGAGATACGAATTTGTTGCCGAATGGAGTTATGACCTTGTTGCATTGACGAACGATTTTCAGTATTAGAGGTTGGCAGAAAATTCTATGGAAAACCTACCAAATCAGGAAGGGACCAAAAACCCAATCTACTCTTTGGCGTGGTTAAGATTCGAACCCCGTTCGGCAAAGTGGAGAGCAAAGGAAAGTACTCTGTCAACCCAACTACCTGAAGATGTTTTCATGCCAAGGACGTTTCAAGTTTTGTTCTTTTTCTTTGTTTTGGCAGAGGAGACGTGATGAGCTCTGTTATACAATTCATGACCTGCTTGGTGCCAACAATCCACTCCGAATTACATTCAGCAGAGGTACGCTAAGGATCATGTAATGACCTCACAATGATAAATCTCTTGTGAATATCTCAGGGATGTAGTCAAGTCCATCACAAGTCCCTGCAAGTCCATCACAAGTCCTCCAGTCCCAATTCAACTCACAAGCTATTCAAATGAGCTTTGACAAAAGGCATTCCTTTTGTTATTGTTCATCCATTGTTTCTTGCAACTGGACTTGTGAATAGACTCGCGAATTACTTGTGTCTGGACTTGTGATGGACTTGACAACATCCCTGAAATATCTTATTATAGTTTGCATTGATATAAACATTTAATGTTGTTTTTTTTATTCAGTGTTCTTGTAAATATGTTTTGCCACTTTGTGAACTCAGAAATAAGTATTATCTTGTTAATTTTATACAAGTTCTTCGATCAAGAGTTATTACCATCCGGCTCGTTAGTAAAAACGTCATACACGCGCACGCACCACTGATTACTAGCGCCCATTGGCTGCAAACTCTCGAACTGCGTTAACTTCCAGTTCCAATCGTGCAGAGAGTGCTGGAGGTGACGTCACACTAACGAACCGGATAGAAAGAATTGAATGTAAAGCCGGATGGATTAAATGACAGAAATGATCTCTATAAGTGACTGATATACATTTTTTTTTTTTTCAATTTAGCCTGGCAATGTGGAGTTGGAATACAAACTGCTCTGTGATTGGTCACTTCTTCTGGATCAGTGTAGTCAGGCTGATCAAACTGTCCAATCACGTCTCACTGTAGTGAAAGCCATTGGCACGCTGGCCACGGTAACTCTGGTAGACTCCTCTGCATGTTTAGGTAGGTTTTGTTCAGAAAAAAATAAAGTTTTTGCCTCAGTTTGTCTCTAATTAAACAAATTAAACACCTTTAATTAAGGTACTGTTTTCTTTTACTGGTGTCCCCCTTCAGATTGGAGCGCTTATGTTTGTGCATTTGTAGCTGGATAACATGGAGAAATGTTTCATTCAAAAAAAAGTATTTGCAAATGGCTTGAAGTATAGACAGATTTTGCCAAAACTTGCATATTAACACCCTCATAGTGTAAGGAACAGGCGTTTTTATTTTGTCATTAGTAGCATTTTGTTTTTTCTTTTATTTTCAACAATCTAGTGATATGTTTGGAAACATTAATAACTGTTATTGTATTTTGCAACATTGGCCCACCATAGTTTGCCAGCCACGGGTTGCCTAAGAAAGGTCCTAGACCTTTATCATGCTGCCACCATTTCAGTCATGTTCCCTATATCCAATAAAAGTACTGAATGATAATGTGTTTTTTGTGCCAAAAGGAACCAGACTATTTTTCCTTCCAATTTAGCTTTTGTTTTGTTGATTTGAATGGGAAAAATCCAATTGGCTGCAACATGATAATTGTCTATATAGGAACTCCATTTTAACGCAACTCTATCAAATGTTGGTTATGTTATATTTTTAATCTCATATTTAAAAAAACCCACTTTACACGATGGTTCAAAATAGAGGAAATCCACTTTTGACAGCAATTTTTATCTACTTTGTTTACTTATTTCACTTGTTCCTTCGCGTAGTAAAGTAATAGGCCTTTAACCATGCATGGTGAAAAAAACGTAGTAAAAGTCGCAAGAATAGTGATATTATGCTAATTTGAATACAAGTCACCTAAATCAGTCTTGTCCAAGTATTATTCGATTGGACACTTTTGTAGTTCACAAATAATAGAAACCTTGCCAACAAAATGTTTTGACCTGGTAACTTTTATTGAGGCTGTCCGATTATCATGTCAGTGTTAAGATCATCTACCCAAGGAGCTGTAGGCTTAAGTTCATTGTTGCATAACATTACATAACAATCAAATGTAACGGTGGTTACCCTTTCAAATGTTAAAATGGGTTTCATTGTTAGCACGTTCTTTTCAAATGGTAATGTTCAAACATTCATTGGTGCATTTCGTGTTGAGAGTATATCTCTGAGTCCATGGACAAACATGTTTTTCACATGAAATGTTGAAACTACCATAGCTCAGAAACAACAAGCGGCAATTTTTTCGTCACTCATGCATTAAAGAGGTTGTGGAATGCTTGAAGACATTTCCGTCATTTTTCGGGTATGTCTAGCCTAAGGTGTGATGAATAAAAACGACTATTGAGTCTGTCATGAAATGAGTACAAAAGGTACTTTTGAGAGCTGTTTTTCAGGTCCTGTTTCGACCCGAATGTGCAATTTGTGTAAAAGTCGTCGTTGGGGGCAGCAAACAAAACATAGTAAATCGTGACGTAATAAACAGGACTCCCGATGCAGCGTAGTATAAACGAGTCCTGTTTATTACGTCACAATTTTTCTCATTTTACGAAGAACCCGACGACTGTTGATTTCAATTATGCGCTCGCCGACCAACAAATTACTTGATGAATTTCAGTTTATAAACATTTTGATATATATGGGTCTACTCTACAATAAAAAAAGTATAAAAAACAAAACGACTTTCAGCATTCCACAACCTCTTTAAAGGCCAGTACTTTAATAGCTCTACTAATCAAAAGTTTAGGTAAAAATAGGTGAAATAGGTGAAAACTGCTGTCAAAAGTGGATTTCCTTTATTTTGAAGCACCCTGTATTATTTGATGTTATTGATGACCAAGTATAATGCTTTCAGTTGGAAAGTTACAGTGCTGCATGTTTCTAATCCCTATTGTTATATATCCATCAAGTAAAAAGTTCATATCTGTAAAAAAAATTACGTTTTTGCAATGTGTAATATTTTTGAAGAAGTTATTAAATTGCTTCACTCATTGTGATATATTACTATGTCCCAGAAATATTGGGTCTTTATAGCACCCCAGTTCACTACTTGATTGATTTTATTTTGTTTTAGGGAGTATTCCATTTACGCTTTGGGGGGTTGTGATGAGACTGATACAGGATGATGATCTTCAGGTTCAGCAAGGAGCGATGTCTTGCATTAAAAAAGTGGCAGCTATCGTCAACCAGTCCAGTGGTAAGGGCTCATAAATAAGCCACAATGTTGTCTTCAAGACATATCCGATCATTTACATTTATCCCCAAAATGACCTCCTGAATTATAATTAAAAAAACTTGGATTAAAGAACGTACTGAACGTATTTCTATTCTGGTGGAATGGAGCTGTCTAATAGAAGTTCAAGTTATTATGTTTGTCTGGCCATCTGTTCTCGTCGTGGTCTGCGGGTAATTCTGCAGGTGGTGGGTTCGAGTCCAGCCTGGGGTTATGGTGTGTGTGCCCTTGGGCAAGGCACTTTGTCACTCATTGCTTCTCCCCACCCAGGAGTAAATGGGTACCTGTGAGGGCAGAGATGGTTATTGTGTTGATTTTAGCTGCTTTGTGCCGAAATGGCAACATCGAGCTGTATACTCCCCAGGGAGCTGAGATGGTATTTGGAATGTTTCATTGGCCCAATGAGCAGGGTAATATTGATGTAGCGGCTTGAGCACCAATGCTGGTGGATACATGCACTTTATAAGTACTTATTATTATGATTATTATTATTGAAATCTCTTAAACATAAATTGATAAATAAGTAAAGAATATAACAAACCAAACCAAATTACATTAGTTCTCATCTGTTCTTGTTTTCTTTGACATCAGACCTGTATTACATGGACGCCCAGCCATCCCTAGGCCTATATCTGGGTGTACAGCTCCTCACATCCGTATTCGTTGACAGATGCCCAACAAAGTGCCTACAGACTCTCATGGAGTGGGGCGTCGGTGGTCTGGAAGAAACTAGCTCTGATCTCAACGAGGAGGCACTGGTAAGCTATAGGATCTCTGCAAGAACTATAGATAGCTTTATAACACCTCACCCACAGATTCTGTGTCTTGATTGGCCGAGAGCGAGTCACATGTTACTTTCTAATTTTGCTATCTTTCTGTGCACGGCCAAAAGTACTATACCCGTAGCAACCAAAGTACTATACCATTAGCAACCAAAGTACTATTTCCACGGCGTGGTATTTGTGTGCAAATGGATGCTGGTGTGCACGTTGTGCGTAGCGCGTATTGTTCCAAAGAGAGCGCGCCGCAGACTTGGGTTCAAACATTTCGTGAAGGGGTAGTTTGGAAGAGAGAAATACATTTTCCACCAATTTTGTATTGAAATTGAAGTTTTTTTCAACAGTGTTCAGATTTAAATAATTTAAAATGTTAAAATCAAGCAGAATCTGTGGGTGAAGTGTTATAAAACAAATATTGAATGCTTTATCTCGTGGTGAAGTAAAACTAGCCTCCCTCGGTGATCCATGGAGCATTCTATTTTCCCTCGGCTTCGCCTCGGGAAAATAGAATGTCCATGGATCACCTCGGGAGGCTAGTTTTACTACACCACTCGAAGCATTCAATATTTGTATACTATGCAGATGATGTCCAATTATGCATGCTAATATGGCACGGTGTATAGTGGTGTCCCGTAACGTTGTGCACGTCAACGTTTCCCCCCAACTTTCCTCACGCAGTGTTGCCAAACTTCTTTGCTGTCAAGCTTCAAATTCATTCAGTTTATAAATACTGGTACTATTACCAATAAGAATGCTTGCTGTTGAACCCTCATGAACAATTTTATTGTCATGAAATTTAGTCCAAAATTAACAAACTATAGCATCCAGAAATTGGGCACAAAATTGGTTGAGTGTTCCCTAACGTGGCGCACTTGAACAAATCTCAGAAATTCCCAAGCGAACATCTACAAATTTCTTTAAAGTTGACAAATTCTGATAAACATTATTTAAAACATTATTTAGAAAGATTATTTTCTTATTTTTGAGCACATTTTAAAAGGGTTTACTGCACACTTCAAACTTAAATGGGAAATGCGTGCATTGGTACAATTTCTCTCTGAACTGTGTAACACATAGATAAATTAAAAGGTTTACGAACAGGAATGTTTCCAGCTTGCTGAAATTTCCCTTAATGTGAAATTTGAGGTAAATTTTCTACGCTAGCAAGGCACTAGAGGCAAAAATCAAACTGCGCCATGTTAGGGGTGCGCCACATTAGGGGACATCAATAATATGCAGGACCAATTTATATCTCCGTGCGGACAAATCTGTTGTGCCTTTGAAGTGATATGCACTTGAGCATGCCACATGCCGGCAGTGGCACTCAGCTGTACATGGGCAATTTCCAGCATTATGAAGGGAAGTGTAATGTCCATGAACGGAGCCAGTGAACAATGATATTTAATTAATGATTCAGAGAAATGATCCAAACACCTTATCTATAATCACCTGGGCATTTACTAGATGATGGATGTACATGAATAAGATTATAAAATACATTTTTAGATTATTCACTGTGCTCTGAAAAGCTGTCACAGACATTACATAGCACTGGAATTGCCCGCTTCTATCTTTTTTTAGGATGCTATACATAGTTGTCTTTGTAGGGTACGGTAGATCATTTGTCAATTTGTGATTTTTTTTGTTTGATGCAAAAAAGGGCTCAAAATCTAAAGACGAGTGCTTAATAAATAATCTGAGGAAGTTTTGGCTCTGTGAATGCTGTATATTCTGAGAAAACAATATTCTAGGATCTCGGTTTTAATTCAAAAGTCGCAAAGTCATGTTTGGAATTGCGCCCCAAATCAGCGTCCAGAAAACGTTCTCATTTAGCCGATTGCAGCTACAGGATGTCACACACTGAACTGACAAATAATAGCAACTGCACGCGCGTGTGCGTCGTGTCAACGTTTTTGCACACCCATTCACGGATTTGACAAATTACAAACCAACTACTAGCGGAAATTTCCAAAAAATGCGTCACTTGACACATCTTTGAAAATTGTATTCTTTTATTATTTTCTTCAAAATGATAGCATGCCAGAAAGAATAATTTCACAGGGAGTTTAGTCCCCTTACTATCTTTAAACCTAGTAAACTTTTTAACAATAATTTGGTCAGTTACTTTTTGGATAGCTGCAAATTATCTACTCTAGCTTTAAAGCCCGAGTCCATCATTTGCAGCTATCCAAAAAAGTAACTGGCGTAATTATTGTTGAAAAACATACTGGTTGAAAGATAGTAAGGGGACTAAACTCCCTGTGAAATTATCCTTTCTGGCAAGCTCTCATTTTGAAGAAATCAACGAAAGAAGGCATTTCCAACGGTGCTTCTTAAGAAGCACTGTAGGAAAATTTAAATTAGTTGTTCGTTTTGTTATTCGGCGCAGCGCGCACAAGGATTGGAACGACGCACAGGCGCGCGCGGTTGCTATAATTCGTCGGATCAGTGCGCGACATCGCGTAAAGCTGCAATTCAAAACAATTCGAAACATGATTTAGCAACTTTTGATTTTAAATTGAGATCCTAGAATGCTGTTTTTCTCGGAATATGAAGCTGAAGCTGAGCTGAAACTTCATCAAGTAAGTTGTTCAGTATCCTTCATTAGATTTTGAACACTTTTGTTGCTTCAAACGAACAAAATGCACTAATTACAAATGATGGACTATAGCTTTAAGTATCAGCGGCACATTTTTGAAAAGTTCGCATATATGCATCTGTACATAACTGTATGTACAAAGCTATGTATAATTGATAATGTTGAGAAATTTGGCGAATCAGTGCTAAGAACTTACTTGCATTCTTTTGGTGTTACTTTATAAAGTTACAGTTTGAGGTTCACCAATGCTTACACTTGACCAATTTCTCTTGTAAAAGTCGCTCAAAAAATCCTGCCACTCTTTTTCCTCAGGACGAGAGACTGTTTGACCAAGGAGAGGCCAACACAACCTTTGAGGGCGTTCACCTGGCCAAGATCATCAGGAATCAACTCGATGCTGTAGCGCAGGTAGTCAACAAACCACAGCCCTGTTCTGGAGACACTTCCAATCAGAGCATCGCAATGAAACAGTCAGGGAAAGATTCTTGCTCTGAGATCTCAAAAACAGAGCAGGAACATTCTCTACAAGGAGAGGCTGGTTGGTCTGAGACCAACCCAGCACATGTTGGAGTTTGTGACGAAAAGAAGACCTCTGGTTTAGGAGACGGATCTCAGCTGCATGCAATTCAAGATGGCGGGCAGGGCAGGGGCGGGGTCCCCACTTCAGATTGGAACCAGGATGCTAGCCAGGGAACCAGTTTAAACGAACCCACTCTTCTCATAGGAGAGGATTTCCTTTCCCCATCCATCCCACTGAGACTGTCTCCTAGCACTGTGCATCAGCTCCGGCAATCTGCGCAGGACGGGATACTAGACCTAGCATCAAGACTAGAGGAACGCCTTCAGGTCTGTTTGCCAGCCTCCCCGTACCTGAGTGCAGGGGAGTGGGAGGCACAGTGCACAGACTGCTGCAGGATTCTGCTCTTCGCAGAAGCCCTAACGAGTCTCGTGCCCAAAACTGTGGAAGCCAGTCTGGTAAAGAGATGGGCGGAGTTACTGGAGGCAGTCCGGAGGAGGTTCCTTACAGATGGATGGGGTTCCTCTTGTTCGTTGGTGTCCGAACCTTTAGAGAAGCTTAAACTATGGTGTTACTCAATTGAAGAAAATAACTGATGCAAGAAGTGCACTTCATTGAGTGTGAGTTTTTAATTTTTTAAATTGTCCCGTGTAGGTTCTGTGTTCTTCTTGATGTTTGGACTTCCAGTTCTCAGGAAAATTGAAGTGAAGAGCACTGTATATATTTTTGCCTTTCCTGCTCTTAAAACCTTGTCATATTTTTCCCACGGCCATGTGAAACAACTGTGAGCTTGAGCTGCTTAGGTTGGTTGGTGGGTGGGTGGGTGGGTGGGTGGGTGGGTTGGTGGACACTTTACTTGGCCATATATTGTATTCATACAACTCAAGTATTACAGCTTTGCATTCGAAGACCGGTTTTCAAAACCCTGATGCGCATGTGTCTAATTTGCATATTTTGGCATATTAGATCACGCTCCATTCGGGTGCACGGACGGTGCCATATTAAAGTCGTCTTCACACGTTACCCGGCCGCCGTAGGTTGTGCCGCTTGGTACTTGTTAACTTGAAAGTAGACATACAGGTAGAAACTCCATGGCATCAATAAGAGGGTGCAAACTTGAAATTGAACCGAAAAATTGCAACATGTCAGAGTCAACATGTAGTAATTACAATAAAAAAAGGTGTTGCAAAGTACCCACTGGAAAGACACTGGTATTGACCGACTGTGCAATAATGGCTATTTTTAATCAAGAAATTGTTTAGTATTTTAATAGCATCTCTGTATTAAATGTATTTAGTCAAGCTCAGCATAAGTTTTAAATTTGTATCCACTCACAGAAACATTTTGTGTATGTAGCAATCAGAAAGGGCCACGGCCAAATTTGACGGTGTGTTGTGCAGAATTTTAGTTTTTGTTTACAAATTTACACACTACACAGAAAATTGGCTAAATTAAATCAATCCAAGCTGTATTATGGTTCTTCTTGCCAGATGTAGTTTGTGTGAGGAGCAGATATCTTTCACAAGCAGCTTTGTAATTTAGGCACTTCACAAAATGTAACGAGTAAATCTTCTGTCACCGTGGCAGGAGATAAAGTAGCGTTTTATTTAAACACGAATGGCACTGCTGTACAATTTGGGGACAACCATGATGGTGAGAAAAAGTAAAACAGGAGGTAAAGTACAAGGAAAGGGAAAACCAGTATTAAAAAGAAAAACAAATCTACAACTCTTATAGCATCAAGAATGGAACAACTTTTATTATACAACAGCTGAATAAATTCCCAATCGTCTGATTGGTGGGTCGTTGATCACATGTCATTGAATTATTCGTCCCAACGCATGGCGCGGCTTCACAGCAAAAAGAAAAGTTCCATTCCACAGTAAATAGAACTTCCACTGCACGGTTACACTATAGTTTGCACTGTCACCCGGCTCGGATAACTCCGATTACCTTGATGAATTCATGGTATCAGTTTACAGAGTAACCGATCAGAATATGATAACTTATTCAGGCGTTGTAAAAAAAAACAGAGAATGTTTCACATTCGTGCAATGCAAAGAATATTTTCATGCGGTGACACATGGAATGTTCCATTCCACTCGGCTTCGCCTCATGGAATGGAACATTCCATCTGCCACCTCATGAAATTATTCTTACCATTGCACTCATAAACCATTCATTATTTACATATTAATTAAAACCTCGATCTGTTTATGTTCCAAATGGAAATCTTTGGAGTTGATTGGGCCTGGCTCTAGAATTTCAGTCTAAAATGGGTGTCACATTTTATTTTAATTTGTAAATACCATAGCAATAATTTATTTTTATATAACCTTTTTTCCCCTCAGAAATCCCATATTTTGTTTTCGAATCATGAAATTGAACCCTTGTATTAATGATTTGTATTACGAAATTATTAATATCAGTATGCTGTTACTGAAAATGTGCTTCTCAGGATCTTGTTTTTTGTTTAAAAGAAGCAAAAACAAATTCATTTTGATATAAAATCTGAATTAGAATCACCAATAAACATTTTTTAATTGTCTTTGTCTTTGTTGTGTTCAGAAAGAATTGAAAATTGAACTCATTTTGACATTGTTAGTTTTCAAAACTGAACAGACCAATAAGAACACAGAGTATTTACATACATATCTTGCACCGGTAAACAAGACAATGTCCATTGTTAAAAATAAAGATGGTGATAGCAATTTTTTTCCATTTTCCTTTCATTCATATCATGGCATCAATGATTATAGTGTTGTCAGTGTCGTTTTAGTCATTATTAATGGAAGTGCAAGTTATCAAGCTATAATTTTTGTTTAGTAGTCAGTACTGAGACACATTACCAAAATTGTTAAGTAGTCAATCGCAAGCTTAACTCAAGTCAATCACAAGTTGAAGTAAGGTTATGAGAAATACCTTTGTTACAATTCATTTGACTAGTTTGTCACTCGATCAACTTGTGATTGACTCGACTGTGATATTTTGTGATTGACTTGTGATTGACTTGTGATTGACTTGTGATTGACTTGGAATTGACTTGGAATTGACTTGTGATTGACTGGTGATTGACTGGTGATTGACCGGTGATGGATTGACTTGTGATTGACTTGGGATTTACTTGTGATTGACTTGTGATTGACTTGGGATTTACTTGTGATTGACTTGTGATTGACTTGGGATTGACTTGTGATTGACTTGTGCTTGACTTGGGATTGACTTGGGATTCACGTGTGATTGACTTGTGATTGACTTGGGATTGACTTGGAATTGACTTGTAATTGACTGGTAACGGACGTGTGATTGACTTGTGATTGACTTGTGATTGTGATTGATTTGTGATGAAACTTTGACTGACCTGATGGAAATCTGATTGACTTTGTGATGTTATCTGATGACTTGTGATTGACTTGTGGCGACTTGACTACAACTCTTCCTAATTTCTCGGAGCTCCAAATTACCCTTGATCGAAACAGACAGGAAAGCTGCCTCCGTGCTTTTACCCCCAACAGCATCCCCTTACCATCTTTGGAGGTGGCAACCATGAACCCGAAACCGTGATCTGCGCGGTTTCCTGACGGGTGTCTTCTTCTTTGGTCTGTGGCTGTCGATCAAGAGCTTTGGAAGGTCTGTCTTTGCTTGGGTTCGGTGGCAAGTTGCAGCCTGTGGCCGAAGGTGACCGTCTACAGCATCTGTTTGGAAGCAATGTTGGTATAGTTGTTACACCCCAATCATGGCATCATCCCAGCTATATTTGGGACGATGCAAACTACAGTTAGCATCACTTACAGTAACAGGGATCACTTACACCATAGCAACATATACAGAGTGCAGGTTTTGTTAATATTGAAGACGAAAACCTTTTACCGAAACCTTTTACCAAAAGCAGTGATTTGGTTTTAACCTTAATTTCCTTTCAAAAAGATAGGCCTATTCAGAGCCTTTTTGTCTGAATTCGCTGCATAATACAGTTCTAAGTTTTAAACCTCTGAAACATTTGAGAAAAGAGAAAACAGATGTACAGATTGTTAATGATTTATTTTGAATTAAACAGATATTCTATGCCTAGAAGTAGCCCAGGTTGGACGCCTTCTTCATTGGATTGCAAATAGGGCCTAATTGCATTACGACTTTTTTTTTAGTGCGTTTAGCGAGTTCACAGGGGCTAGGCTAGGAGTATTATTGTCTTTGATTTGGAGGTGAAGAAAACACCTTTACGACATGTCTTTAGCTACCTTTCCCACGTTCCAGTCCATCCTGCCCATCCTGCACCCTCACAGCCAAACATCCACCGTACAGGTACTCGCTGTGTGTCACAGCCGGTAGACAGGCCCACACTTTCCGTCCTTTTGCCTCATTCAACTCATGGAGATGCCGGGCCGCTTTCCTTTCCTCCCTTTCGCACTGCGCTAGATGCCATCGCCTGCCCCTCTCGATACGGTGCTCTAGCTGCTGTAGACGGCGTTCCTCAGCCAAGACGGCCGCTGGTACCGCCCCGTACTGGTCGATCCGCTTCGTGTAGCCGCCAACGGGGTACAAATGCTTGGGCAGCTTTTGGGTCTTATTTCTGCGATGGTTCATCATCATTGACTTAGTTATTTGGCATCCATCACGGTTTTTTCCCGAACGATCAAGGTTTTTTTTTTTATCGCGCTCTGAAATTAAGAACATGAGTTCGAACAGACGCGCGCAAAGGGTGCGCACACTGGTGCCGCCCTCTAGACTGCAACTCCTAAAGTTGCTCTACCGAGAGTTTCACCTCGAAAACTATATGAAATTGTGTTGATATTGCTAGTTTATGTGGCAACGGAAAAAAAATACTCACCTTTGAATGACACATCTACTGAGAAATATCGACCCACGTATTCAACTATTCGTGTGGATGTTTTGGTAAGTTAGAGGCGCGAATGTTGCCCAAAATATTTTTTTTTCGAAGGGTTGCAGGCGTAACTCGTAACCACGGGGAGGGGGAGGGGGAGGGGGGGGGGCAAGGGGGGCTCGTGCCCCCCCCCCCCCCAGCGGAGGTCTGTTCCTCTCCCCCACGTGAAATCTCGAATTGCATACAAACAATATAGATGCATGTCCTCAGTGCCCCCCCCCGAAAAATTGGTGCACCCACAGAGCCCCCCCCCCCCCCCCCCCCAGCAGCTTAACTCCAGTTACACCGCTGTCCCAAAATAGAAAAAAAGTAGGTTATTAAATATTAAACATTCGGAGAGAGAAAAATACCCGTCGAATTTATAGAAAGGGCATGGTGAGATCACAGACCTATACTGTGGGGACAGTGAGACAGAAAATCTCACAGATAAGCCCAACAAAAGTGGTAGGGGCCGAGTCTGATTGAAATGACGGTTTCGTCATCACAGTCAAAATCAAGCGGGAAAAAAAACTGTTTAATTCAAGGCCAACAACGTTTATTTTCCCCGTTTCTTTGTAGGAAACCCACATAATGACGTCACTATTACAGCTGATTGCATTCTAATATCAATGCCGATTCAATACAAACAATGGGCGCAGTTCATTTGACGTTTTCCCTGGTGGTTGTGATGTCACGAACTGTGATTGGCGGAGAGTTCAGAACAACAAGGCAAAAGTGAACTGAAAAAAAAACCCCACCAAGTTTCTGACGTCTTCTCTTGCCGCTTTAGAAAACGGATGCGTCATTGACAAAAATCATTTTGTTCAAAGGAAAGTGAAGATCTAAGTAAAAATATCTACGAGCCCGTAATTTCTCATAATCCCCACCCGTACCCACAAACTCAGGCACGTTTTTTATATGTCACTGACAAAAGCGTTAATAACTTGTATTGTGGTTAAATACAATGTAATTGTTTCACCTTTAAAATTGCGCTCTCCTTGCTCTTCAGCTATTTTTTTACTTTTTTTTGACGTCTGCAATCCTTTGAAAAAAAGAAGAAGTTTGTTTTGGGGCACGAACACATCCGCTTTGCGAACACACTGGTCCGAGGCGGGAATCAGCCTACCTCACGAGAACGCATTGTCTGCCAGCAAATAGTTCGAAACTGTAAAGTAAAAGGAACATTTTTTTCGGTCGATGTCGCGTTCAAAACTAAATAACTCTTACATTGCTAGAAAGATAGCAAAATTTGAGAAAAGTAATGTATTTTCGGGATGAAACTCTAAAATAGCACGTGCAGCTTTGATAATTATACCATTGTAATAAACTTGTAACTAAGTGGACCGTTCTTTTCACCACACCCATTTATTTTATTGATCAGATAAGAAACAAAATCGAATGCATTATTTTTTCATACAATTCATCTGTGAATCTTCTCAAGTGCCGATTTCCACCTGTAAAATAAGTTCACATTTTAAAGGCAAACATCTGAACTCGGAGTCACAGCTGAACATTTTCAAATTGTTAGCTGATGGATGTTTTAGCAACATGGATCACCATATCACAACAAAATTGCCATAACCGGGTATAACCCACTGATCTCTATTATACTGACTGGACTGGATAGCGCTTCGACCTATGCGTGTACAGAAGACCGTGACGCCCTCGCACACACGCGGCGGCCATTTTGAAACTCCCTCAGGGTGCACGCCTGTAAATAGGCCAAAAATCCGTCCGCCGAGCCCATGAATAAAAGTTATACCCTCAAAATATTCTATATATAGAGAGAGTTTTGAGAGCCATTAAATTAGGGAATTGAAGAGATAATGAACCTCTGGCCCGCCGGACTTGGGGCTTCCAATTCTGAGCATTTTGCTATAAAGTGGCGCTGTTCCGTGTGGAGGGATCGTTTTTCAAGATGGCTACTTTCCCGCTTTGGGGAAAATAGGGGGCGTCTTCTTTGGATGAGAATATCTCGAAAAGTCAATGGTCAACCCACCAAAACATGAAAAGAAAATGAAAGATGACACATTGATCATCAATTTTCTGTGAGGTTGAATACCTGTGAGAGTTCTGAGTATTTTTAAAAGAATTTTGTAGTATGTGCATTTAGCACTAGTGTCTATGGGATTTTTTTTGCACCCCTCAAAACCCCACAACGCACGGATCCGTGTATAAAAAGCACAGAATTATAACAGTTTAAGCAATTTTGGATCATCAAACACGTATTATTTATTCATTTTGCCCACAGTGTCATTTTACTCATGTTAATATTTGTTCAAAAATATAATTTTATTTCGTGACTTTGAATGTATTTTTACGTGGTCAAAGGGAGTGTCAAAATGGCGTCCAGTGACTTCACCCCCATGGCCCGAAGCGCTATCCAGTCTGTATAATGGTATTACCCTGTAATCTTGGTTTAAATGCTGCTAGACTCTTAAAGTCCTTTTTAAGTTCATTTCCCGGATGATACGATATGAGATCACAACAGAGGAAGTTGTATCCGACTTTTACCCAACTGTGACTAGTCTTTCACATTAATATTCTTGGAAGCAATGATAACTTTAAGACGCTATACGAGAAATTAAGCTTGGAATGAAATCTGAACTAGGCAACAATCGCTACTTTTTATGATTCAATGAATGGAAAAAGAAAAACTTCCAATTTGATACAAAGGCTCGTGATGACATTCAAAACTTTAACCAAACATTAGTATCAAGGAATATCTCAATATATTTACTTTTTTGCCTTACAAAAATGATGAAATAGATTGTTCTAGACTGTCAATTCTTAAGATGGGAGACTTTGGGGTACATTAAGACACCTAGTTGGGAGTAATAACGAAGAGAAATCCTGGTGCACATTACAAAACTTTAAATGCTTTGAACTTTCTAAACTACTCAAAGTAAAATCAAAACTTAATTCCGGAACCAAACTCTAGTCCACATGTCCCAGCGGATGTTCCTAGTACAGCATCAAGAACGAGCCTTGTGAGGGTAGTCACGTTTAAGCTTGTCCCGTCATAAACAGGCCCATCCACTTTGAAATGTCGAGTCCATTTGACTGAGAACAACAAACAAGATGGAGAAAACAAAGAAATGAATGAAATTAAACTCAATAGTAAAATACAGGGTGGTTCAAAATAAAGGAAATCCACTCTTGACGGCAATTTTCACCTGCTTAGCTAATTTCAATTGTTCTTCACGTTGTAGTAAAGTTTAGGCCTTTTACCATGCATGGTGAAAAAAAGCTTAGTAAAAGTCGCAAGAAGAGTGATATTACGCTAATTTGAATACAAGTCACCAAAATCAGTCTTGTCCACTTTTATTCTATGCAAATTGGATCTTTTTGTGTAGTTCACAAAAGTAGCAACCTTGCCAACAAAACTTTTTGACCTGGTATAACCTTTTATTGAGGCTGTCCGGTTGTTCATGTCAGTATTCAGATCATCTACCCAAGGAGCTGTAGGCTTAAGTTCATTGTTGCATACCATTACATAACAATCAAATGTCACGATTGTTACCCTTTCAAATGTTACAATGGGCTTCATTGTTAGCGCGGTCTTTTCAAATGGTAATCGGTAGGTGCATTTTGTGTTGAGAGTATACCTCTGTGGACAACAGGTTTCGCATTATGAAAATGTTCGAATTACCATATCTCAGGGTCAAAATGTGCCATTGCAACGATTTATTTGTTCACCACTTGTGCTTAAAGGCAAGTACTTAAATAGCTACTAATAAAAAGTTTCAAAGAATTTAAGAAAGAAGGTGAACATTGCTGTGAACAGTGGATTTCCTTTGGTTTGAACCCAGGCACACTCTTTTGCCAAGGCAACATTTCAGTAGGGAAATGAAGGCCCATGGAAAGTAGTAGGATGTAGTACAGTCCCGACAACAAAAACTGGGTGTTGGATATGGAACATTTAGGTACCGGGTACAAGCATTACATTCACTGTGTGGACTTCCGAACAAAAGAGGTCCACACAAATCAGGTAGCAGCGACGTTGTGTGGACTTGCCAGCGTCCTCTCTGGAAAACAGGTTTAGAGGCAATTTTGGGTTAGGTTTATCTGTGGCAAAATGACGAGAAACACTAAAAGAATCGTAGAAAACAAAATTGGGTTTGAAAAAGTTTTCATAGTGTGAGTAAAATATTTTTTTTCACAGATTCTTTTATTAACTACACGAAAACAAAGGAATGTCCACACTATACGTATATAACGTAAACGTGCGTGGGTATACCGGTGTGTACAGGCATTACATTCACTGTGTGGACTTCCAAGCAAACGTGGTCCACATAAACCAAGTAGCAGCGACGTTGTGTGGACTTGCCCACGTCCACACAGTGTTTCCCCCTTTCTGGAAAACGGGTTTAGAAGCGTTTTGGGGTAAGGTTAATCCGTAGCATGAAGAGAAACACGAAAGGGAATTATAGAAAAAAATAGGTTTGCAAGAGTTTTCACAGTGTGAGTAAAATGAGGTTTTTTTCGCAGGTTTTATTAACTACACGAAAACGAAGGAATGTCCACACTAACGTACTTACCGGGGTGTGGGTACCGGGGTGTGGGTACCGGGGTGTGGGTACCAGGGTGTGGGTACCGGGGAGTAGGTACCGGGGTGTCCGTACGGGGGTTGGGGTATACTGGGGTGTACGGCACCAGGGTGTCTGTACGGGGGTGTGGGAAAACCGGGGTGTACAGTACGGGCCCGGGTGTGGTTACCGGGGTGAAGGTACCGGGGTGTAGGTACCAGGGGTAGGTACCGGAGTGTAGGTACCGGGGTGTAGCAACGGGGTGTACCGGGGATGAGTTTACTTACTTCTGGCGTAGCATCTGCCATCTTAACCCATGGACGCACGCACAGCATCAAATATCTTCTTTTTCTTGGCGTCACTGTCAACGAAGGCATCTCCACCCTACAACAGCAAATATGAAAACTGCTGTGATTTTCTCTGAGGGGTGGTTTTATATTAATTCAAATTATTTCATTCTTGTTCACAAATTGTGTTTCTTGGTTGGGGTGAGGGCATGGGCTAACGATTTGATTGGGCGCCACTGAAAAAAGGCACTTCGCCCGGGAGTGTAAAAACTCCGAGGGAGGATGGCAGTGGCACTCCGAAACGACAGTCGGCCCCGCGTACGTTGAGCCCCCCCCCCCCCCCCCCAAAAAAAGAGGTTGCCATTTAAAAACAAAATTGGGGGGGTAAATTTTTTTTTTAGTCCCACGATTTGACTGTAGTGATGTGGCCTATGTTCGAGTAGTATAATAGGGGTGTAAATGGCCCAACCAACGTCAAAATAGTCCGCCCCCCCCCCCCCCCACCCAAAACAATATTTTTCTGCGGCCAAAAATGTTGGCCAACAGTTTTTGAAAAACTTCTAAAAAAATTCAGGGAAACAAAAATTGTGATCCCCCAAGCCAAATCATGGGTGCGCAACTGGGAGAAGACGGATGCCAATGCGGGGACAACAGTGGGAGTGATCTCCCAGGTTGAGGCCAGTTCAATTCATGATGAGTTGGACGTGGTGACAAATACATAATGTGGAACGACTCTTAAGTCTGACTATCAAAATGACCGCTACTGACCTTCTTGGAGTGGATAAGGTTACCATTGACAGATACCTCAAAATAACCAGTTATACCAGGAGTGGACTCGCCAACCTATTGACAAAACAGACAAAAGTTACTGAAGTTTATGATGAACCGTTACATTTTCAACTTTTCATCCGGTAAGCTGATACATGTACATGTCACTGAAAACAGTGAGCCAATATTTCAACTCAAATGTCATACTTAACCATTTAGTCTGAACCCTGTAATAAGCCACAATGCAGATGGGGTCACGCCCAAAGACACAATGCAGACCTGGGAAATAGCAAAGTCAAGCGACGTGACGTACGCGTGCATTAATTTTGATGGCACGAAGCACTGACCATGCATGCAGTCGCCCGTACGGATTGGTCAAATCGCGGCCACATTCCAATGATGAAGAGCGGCTGATTTGATGATTTGTTTTTAATTTCCACTGCCCAGTTTCTGTGTTGCAAAATTGATGGCTTCGTCCACGCGGTCCGACATTTTTTTTGTTATCCAACGGCACTTACAGGCTTATATAAAGCTGTACACGACTGGCTCGGAAAACTGCAATATATAGAAACTAGAAATAACCTTTTTTTTGGAGAGTAGAAAATTGTAAAGTTCGATAGAATTATTTGGTTGTCTTTTACTTTCTACTTACAATGGCTATCTCGTCATCCCCAAACTCATCACTTAGCTCCGTCTCCAACCTACGATACTGATCACAGAAAATGAAAAACATGATATTGGCACGGGTACTGCAATCTTTTCAGTGTCAATATTATAGTGTAAAGCGGCCAACTCAATAAACCAAAGAAAACAAGTTAACAACTGTCCATGCAAAAAAATTATAAATCTAAACTTGGGGTGGGGGGAGGGGAGTGAAACGGAATGACAATCCCTTTGTTCAAGTTGACTCGAAGATGACATCTGCAAAGGAGTACTGCACCCAAATAATCTGCATATTGCTTCTTCGTAAAATTTGTTAATCAAGAATTATGGGGAAAAAATTAACAAAAACTGCACGCTAAAGGAATGTGGTTAATCTGTGTTCAATGTAAAACCTATCTAGCAGTAATTGGTTGTGGAATACAAACCACATGCATAATTGAAATATAAGATAGAAACTGACTCTATGGGTGTAGACCTGTAAATAGGCCCAGAATTCCCTAAGCGGGCAAAATCACTATATGCCCTCAAATTCTTCACTATAGGTTTTCCCGGCTATTTTAACACTTGTATCTCACGAATTCCCTATATCGATACTTTAATTTCGTCCTCGAACATCGCCAAGCTCAGTTCTCAATTTGAATTTCAAAAAAGCCACCACTAGATTTCATTTAAGGTTCAGTATAATTCAAACTGTAAGCATTCCGATTCGCCCAAAACTTTTGAAATTCGTCTCGTGAAGCAATCGGCGTTGGATTGAAAAAGCAAATTCGTTTTTTGTCATTCGTTTTAATGTTCTTGTCGTTACATTTCGTCTCTGGTGACTTAAAACGTTACGATTAAAAATGTGCCCAATCTTTAGACTTATTTGAAGAATTATGCGTATTAAAACAACGACATTTCACAATATGCACTTATGACGTGGGCCATGAACTTGAATGTTTTAAAAAAAAAGATGGGTGGAAGCAAAAGGAGAAAACAATGAAAATAAAAGAAAGAAAAAGAAGCGCAAAGTTGTACTGCTGTTAATTTAATGGGTGGGGGGGGGGGGGGGGGGCAATGTCCCTGTCCACCCTCGAAAAATGATAAATCGAGAATATGCTGGAAAAAGAGCAGGGATTTCGGAAGAAGGTGCTTTGCCCCCCCTGGCGATGGATGGAAGGCGTGCACAGGAGTGTGAGCTCATTTCTGAGCAATTGGCATGAAATTGGGCCCCTGAAATTTCAAACATCTGTGACTTGTGGTTTCCAATTCGGGGTGCTTCGTTCACAAAAAAAACCCGTCAGCTTTTGTTTGCGGGCCTATTTCGCATAATGGTGTGGGGCTATATTTAGATCTGGGCCCATATAGATTGGCAACCATTTTAGGGGTGGTTTGAGGGGAGGGGAATATACCAAAAAATTGACTTGGCCATCTCTGGTAACACTGAAAGGAAAATTTAGCGGTCGCAACAAAAACATCGCCACCTTTCTCCTGAGCGTCACCAGGCGGCGCTTTTCTGTCCGATTTTGTGTTGTTTTCTATTGCATGATTGTACAGATATGATCTGGAGCAGTAAAGAAACTTTGGATATATACATGACTTTGAATGATGCAGACTCGCGCTTACATCAAAACGGCGCATTTTAAAAGCTTTTGTACTTTGTTTCTCCACTTTTCAGTGCTTTTGAGTACGTTTTGGTGGTTGGGATGTTCGAAAAATACCTCGAAATCCACATATTTTTTTTTCTCATCACAAAAAATTGGGGGATGATTCAATATACACCATCAACCCCCCCCCCCCCCCCCCCCCCCCAGATTTACGCCCCTGTCTTCTGTGCATCTGCAAACATTTGAAATTGAGGTCAGAAACAATACGGGAGCTCAGAGCTGACAAAAACAACTATACTTCCAAATCGTCTGCTCTAAAACAATGGCGGCAGCCATATTCTCAGCATTTATGCATTGAGGTCAGCTGACGGCTATCTACCAAACAATCCCTCGTGTCATTTCTCAAGAAGACTGTCACGTAGTCTGGTTCCCAGACCAAAGGATTCTGACTCTTCCTGATGAAAATTAGGTGAGGCCGTGTCCGAAACGGTCTTCCAGAGCTACGGCTACGTCTATTGTCAGCGCATCCCCGCGTGGTCTCCAAATTTGGCTTCGCCAGCTAAGTGCTATTTGGGTCCGTACCTTTTAAGATTTCAGGTCACAATTAGTCAAGGTTTTCCTACAGAAATATTAAACTGTATATTATGTTATGGAGCAAGTGATTGTTTAAAATTAAAATAAAATTTGATCGGAACATAATGAAGCCAAATCGGAAACGAAGCCGAGCTTTGAAAAAGGACTGTCAATGTCGTCATGTTTATTTTTAGCCACGGTTACTGCCTGACCTACAATTTAGACGTGAGCGTCGGGAATAATTATCAGGTCTGGGAACCAGACTAACTGTCACGCATTAACACAAAAATGTGCAAGCTGGTAAACAGACGTTTATAAGGAGTTAGCCCGTCACCAATTCCATCGTGGCTTAACTTGCCCGCATTAGACAAAGCGGCTAATAAGGAGTGGGCTCTGCGTGTGTATTAACGTCACTGCATGTGTATTATGCTCTTTGGACAGTAAATCAAAGCCACCGGACTATTTCATGTTCAGTTCTCTGTCGTAACAAGACAGATTTCTTACCCTGGAGCCGTACCCACATCCACCACTGAAAAATAAAAGAGAGAGACAGAGAAAAAAAATTGCATCAATTTTACAAAAAATAGAGATTCCAAGAACAATAAAATGGTCACGATTAATCATGCGTTAAAAAAAAATGCAGATTTAACATTTTTTTGAACATCATGTACACCAAAGCATTTTCATTTTAAAAACAAATTTGTCAAGTACTGGTAAATGAAAAAAAAGATGTATTGTGAATTTAAGATTATAAAACTCTCGGAAATATTCATCCCGACTGTCTTGCAAATTGAAAATAAATTACATTGTGAGTGGTGTATAAATATGATTAATACACTTGTATCATCAAATAATTCCAACTATGCCATTTTTTTTTCTTAAAAATCAAAACCATGTTTGCAGAATTTTGCTGGATACAGGATTTTACAGACTGTTTATTTGTTTTGGCCTAAATTTCGTCCAAGAGACACAACATGTGTGTCATAGGTAATAATGCATTTTGCTAGATATTTTGAGAATTCAGGAAGATGCCGGACGTTAACACACAGGGTTGAGGATAAGTCACACCGAAGTTTACTTTCCCTTTTCTTTGTAAAACATCTGAAAATCCTCCCATCTTTTTATTAAACTGCTCACTTTTGTTTTTGTTTTACTGTTAAAGACATAAATAACAGTGGAAATATGCTGCCTTTTAATTTAAACATGTTTAAGAGTTGTGTTGCGTCCTAACTACGCAACCTTACGGTTGACAAGGCTTTGCCTCGTGCGTTGATAAGCGAAATTAATCCGATATACATACATAATAACGCTACAGACAGAGCACTGAACTGATTGCGCCCCCCCCCCCCCAAAAAAAAACATCGCTTTTGAACGTTCTGTTTTTTTTTCAAGAAATATGCTCAGTATGATTGAAAAGTTAAATTGAAATAGGATAGAAGAAATCTTAAACTTCATGTCAGTGAAAAAAAACCCGCCGTTATTGATGCAGAAACGTCAATACTGGTCACTGGTAAAGCTGACCTAAAAGTCGTAAACAAATTGTTCGAAATAGTCCCCAAATATATAATCTCAATTTCTAGGAATCCTTACAAGGTTTTATTTCACGAGTATAGTTGTCAATTGAACACTAATATCATATATTTGAAGTGTATTCCGAATTTCAGTTTAATCAGTCTGTTGTAGCAAACGCTTGTATTACACCTTGTATATCACCAAGGTAAATTTCGACTCGGTTTTCCTGCCGAGCAAAACAACACGTGGCCTTTAGCTATACCACGACCGAATTTGGACGCAACGGTGATTGGCGCGTTATTAGCTATTCGCGTGGGTCTCGGTATCGACCAATGAGGCCCGCCAAAAAGGTTGACATTTAGGGGCATTACGGCCTGAAATCCCCGAACATTTCATGTTTTTGATCAAAAATAATTGTAGGGCCTAACTCTCGAAATTCGTTCTCGCATGGTTCCCGCAGAAATAAAACAAAAACGCCAAGTTTTTAAAGGATTGTTGTGTGGACGTTTATATTCTACTTTTAAATGCTCTTTCCATTTAATATCATTTCGTTCAAAACGCGTTTTGTTAGCCAATTGGGCGTGTTCCAGGCCGTAATATACCTTTAATTAATAACACGTGTAGGAGGGAGTCGTACAATTTTCTTTTACTGCACACCATAAGGATAGGAACCTTATTAATATAACAATATTCGTGGGGTTTGAAAAGATAGACAGATATTGCAAACACCATTTGTTACAGCTTTGAAAAATTGACGTTCCAAAGCCCATTTTTCCAATTTGAATAAAAAATACTGAACATATCGAAACGAGTTTTAGCTCATTATAGTTGGATCATTTTAAGTGAAACAAACTTCGAAAATGTCATGGAGATTACATGTCAGCTATCCAAAAAGTAACTGGCGTAATTATTGTTGAAAAACATACTTGGTTGAAAGATAGTAAGTGGACTAAACTACCTGTGGAATTATTCTTTTTGGCAAGCTGTCATTTTGAAGAAATCAACGAAAGAAGGCCTTTCCAACGCCGGTGCGTCTTAAGGCTATAGTCCATCATTTGTAATTAGTGCATTTTTTTCGTTTGAAGCAACAAAAGTGTTCAAAATCTAATGAAGGATACTGAGCAACTAACCTGATGAAGTTTCAGCTAAGCTTCAGCTGTACATTCCGAGAAAAGCAGCATTCTAAGATCTCAATTTCAAATCAAAAGTTACTGAATCATGTTTTGAATTGTTTTGAATTGCAGCTATACGCGGCGTCGCGCACTGATCCGACGAATTATAACAACCGCGCGCGCGTGTGCGTCGTCCCAATACTTGTGCGCGCTGCGCTGAATAACAAAACGAGCTACTAATTTAAATTTTCCTACGGTGCTTCTTAAGAATCACCGTTGGAAATGCCTTCTTTCGTTGATTTCTTCAAAATGACAGCTTCCCAGAAAGAATAATTTCACAGGGAGTTTAGTCCCCTTACTATCTTTCAACCAAGTTTGTTTTTCAACAGTAATTACGCCAGTTACTTTTCGGATGGCTGCAAATGATGGACTATAGCTTTAAGAAGCACCCTTGGAAATTTCCGTTAGTAGTTCGTTTTTTTATTCGGCGAAGCGCGCGCAAGCGTTGACACGACGCACACGCGCGCGCAGTTGCTATAATTCGTTGGATCGGTGCGCGACATCGCGTGGCTGCAATCGGCTCACTTGAGAACGTGTCTCGGACCGTGAGTTCAGGCCCAATTCAAAACATGATTCAGCAACTTTTGATTTAAAATCGAGATCCTAGAATGCTGTTTTTTTCTCGCAATATACAGCTGAAGCCGAGCTGAAGCTTCATCAGGTTATAGTTGTTCAGCACCCCTCTTCAGATTTTGAGCACTCTTGTTGCTTGAAACGAACAAAATGCACAAATTACAAATGATGGACTATACCTTTAATACACCATTCTGTAGTTTGATACATTTCTAATTCATTAAAAACGACTGCACCTCTAAGTTGCTCTAGTGGCTTTTCCCCCAGATCATTGACAATGCGCGCGCGCGCGCGTACACAGACTTGAGATTTTTGTTCACCCCCCCCCCCCAATTATTTCCTTTCCCCAATTGCCCCTAGTCTGAGTATCACCCGTTCTATACGGAGCGAGCCGTGTGCTCCGTACGAACGTCTGATACATGCGTGCATGCAAATATTATGCAACGCAGCACATCAGCCAATCACAGCCGTTTACCGTCATTTTCCGTCCAGATTGTGACGGAGGATGTTGATTAGTCAACAGCTGTCAGCTGACTCAGCAGACATGGCGGCCTCCATGAAACCAACTTTTGTCAACAGAGACATGCTTGTACGATATAGTAGACGCCTGTTGATTGGTCAAAACTTGGTGGTCAGTACGCGGCCGTCTTGCATAATTAATCGTGGAATCTGCACGCATGTGATAGACGCTCGTCTTCAACGAGCGTCTATTACATAGACTAAATTGCCCCCCCCCCCAAAAAAATTGAGGCTGGCGCCGCCACTGATGTCAACACAACAATTTTAGGAGTCGCTCTTTTATTCAGTATTCAACTTCTGCATTCCACGGGTATGCATAAATTTGCCCATCCCTATACCATTCTCACTGCATATACCATGCATGATCTACACTATTATAGGACACATGTAAAAAAAAAAATTAACTGTCATGGGACCATAATTATACCACCGTGGCTTAACTTGCCGGCATTAGACAAAGCGGCGAAAAAGCGAAGCGATTGGAGCGGGAGACCACGCGCGCGAGTGGCGAAGCCACGAGGGCCTTTTCCAACTTGTCAAGAATTTCTTATGTTTTTCGTTATAATCTCGATTTTTGCTACCCCAAAAGGGTAGCCAAATTCCAACCAATCATCAGCCTTTTAGTGCGCGCATGGCTGCTACCCGGACGCGTCGACGCGCCCGGATGCTTGCACAAAATTAAAAAAAAAAAAAAAAATCATCTGAACGTACAGTTATTTGCTCTTACGTTTTCCTTACTCACCCTTCTTTCGCAAATGGAAGCCACTAGGCAAAGTCCGCGTTGTGATTGGTTAACCTTTCAGCACTCTTCTTATTTGCATAAAAACTATGAATAATTCAACAAAATCAAGTTGGACAAGGCCTCGAGGCTTCGCCACTCGTTCGTGCTGATTTAATCTTTGCTCCAGCTCCGCCGCTCTAAGCCACGATGGCCTTGGCGAAAGGCTATAGAGACTGTTGTGCCGTACCAATCCGCTGCATTTTGCCATGGCCTCGGTGCCTCAGGTGACTACTGTTACGGTGTCTGGATCACAATATGACCACTGCTCAGGCTCATTAGCATATAAAGGAGATCGGGTATAAAAAAAATAAAACATATAGGCCCCTATATACAGATTATTGTTAGGGTCTATGTCGCAAGAAAACAACAAGAGAGTCAGCGTTTCTACTGTGGATCTGATAGGAAAATAAAAACACTTCATGCAACAGTGAGTCAATGCGTACCAAATACAAGACACAGGGGAACAGTTGTGTTTTTTCAAACACTTTCTCCGGATTTTTTCCCCCACTTCATGGAAGATACTTAAATGGTTAATGGTACAGTCTATACAATCCCAGAGATTTTTATGTTTTGGATTGTTGACTTATCCTATTTCAAACTATGAAACCATGAATTTCAAACCATAAATTTCATGATCCTTTTTCTGTTCTGCATGGGCAGCTACATCAGTGTTAGTTGGTGAAATCGAAAAAAATTCTGATCAGAGAGAGAGAGAGGCTAAAACTTTTTAGGACCGAGTTGTGGGGACTTTCTGCATCTGCTGTTCTATTCCATACCACGGCTTGTTCATGGGTGTGTGTGTGTGTTTTATGGCACATGCACTGTGGTATTTTCGTAGGCCCTCAATTTTTTCGTAGGCCCCCATTTTCTTCGTAGGCCCCCATTTTCTTCGTGGGCCATAATCTGGGCCTGACTATATGGGGCTCCACGAACAAAGTAGTTCCAGGGAAAGAATGTTGCATCCTGCCGCCACTTTTTCATAACATATTATCTCAGTGAAGAGCAGTCATTGCAAATATGTTGAAAAGACATGAATTCGGGACTGAGAAACATTTCCAATTTTGTTAGAAAATAGTTTGAAAATAAACTCAACTCTCTACAGACTGCACACAGAAGTGGCGTCAGGATACTATAGTACATTCTTACCAAAACAAGTTTGGGGAGAAAGGGCTAAACAACTGCTGCTGGCAACGGCGTTATTTTGGAATTGAAACATTAGCTCGCCCTGAAAAGTACTCACCAATAAACAACCTTGATTGTAACTTCCGGCCCACTCCTGGCGACTGGTCCTAAAATGTCGTCCAACAATCGCTGGATTTCTTTGCTCTTGTCAAAACTCGAATCCACTTCCACCATCAACACAAGGGCGATAGCAAGATAGAGAGAAGCAGCTCGCGCCGCGCCCTGCATGATGCGCACCATTATTTTCGGACGGCGGCCGATTCGTTGTGACGAACGTGCTATAATAATGCTGCACTAGCTTCAGCTCGGGCTCGGTGCGTCCACACCGAACAATTTCGATTATATAATATCGAGAATGGCCAGGTGACGACTTTAATAAGCCTCTGCACTAATGACGTCACACTTTGCTCACGTGTGTGCTTTCCTATGGTGCTTAGTGGACCATGGGCCCCCATGCTCCATAGGGAAGTGCATAGATTATGGGATTATGGGATTATCAGTTTATCCTTTCCTAAGCCCGGTATGAAATATGTTTCCGCAAAAAAATACAAAAATATCAAACTTTATGCTCACGAAATGTGCATAAAGTTTAAACGCGCGCTGACAAAAGGTCATTATTAATCTTCTGTAAGGCAGGCATATAATTATCATGTAGAAATATGCAGATAAGCTGTAATAATTAGTTTAAATGCAGTGTTTACTATATATCTTGATCTAGAAGACACACAATTAGCCTGCACTACAAATTAGACATTTTATTTACACGTATACACAGAGTTCGAAAGTTTACAAACAAAAATATCAAAAAAAAATTAAACATAATTAGAGTTTCGCGTTTGTTGAGTTACAAACGCAGAGTAGTGAGCGGACAGCCTTTTCATAATTATACACTGCCCAGTTAAGTTAAGAGTATATGTTTATGTAGAAAAAAAGGATCACGAAATTAAATCCCTTCAAGCACAATCAATGTTTCAGAAAGATATCTTTAACGGTGTGATAAATTTCAGTAAACATTCTATGTGCACAAAAAGTTATTTCTGGTTTGATGACGTCATCAGTCAAAAATGGTGAGTGAATACTGATGAAGTTCGGAGAGGATAATTTCTCATTGTAAAGTTAAAATAACGTATGAAAATATGGGAAATATAATTGTTTGTATTAATAACACCTAACTTCCGGTTTGATGACGTATTGATAACACCTAACTTCCGGTTTGATGACGTCACAGCATTAGAGATCCAAAGGTGAACATTGGAATGGATATCATTATTTGGACTTCGAAGACATGACAGGGATCAAATGATAGAATTAAATTAAAACTATGATCTTTTTCAAATTCTCCTTAAGGCAACTTCCGGTTCGATGACGTCATGAATTTGAAACCTTGCCAAGTTATCTGTGGTTAATCAGAGAATGTCAAGGGGCGATTTGGTAAAATTTGGACGGATGGTTTTAAAATTAAAGAAGGGAAACTCTATTTTATGTGCCGATAGGGGGCGCCGTTTCGGATGATGACGTCATCACACTGTTTTTTGCATCTTGCATTCCTCACTAAACACTTTCATAATATATATGTCTGTAGTAAAATGCTTCCGATTTTGAGTTATATTCAGTTTTTATTGCACTTCCGGTAACACCGGAAGTAAAGGTCAAGCGGTTTTGCGTCCGGGAACACGAAATGTTTCTCACGGCATAGTCTACAACCTCACGAAAAAACAAACACGATACTCTATTTAGTTCAAAAGATATAAAGCAAACTATTTTGTCAAAATTTGCCCTTAAATCGCTTGTAATTTGATACCTGATGACGTCATGATGACGTAACAAAATTTATAACATCTTCGTAACACGGTACAAGTTCACCCAAGGTTTTGTGATCATACCGTGAACCGTTCGGAAGAAATTCTACTTTGTTTTGATGTCAGGCTAACGTCTTCATTTTGAATTCACCTAACTTTGACCTTCCAGTAGACCCGGAAGTAAAGGTCAAGCGAGTTCACGTACGCGACAAGAAAATGTTTATCAATTCATGGTCTATCTGATTACGGAATACAAACATCATTGATTATTTTGTTCAAGAGTTATAGGTGAAAGTAATTGATCACTGTTTCAGCTGAAATCGCTTGTAATTTGATACCCAATGACGTCATCATGACGTCAGAGTAATATGCACCACTAGGGATGAGGGTCGATATATATTGAACGTTACAAGTTCATAACATTTACCGTTTAGTATGGTGTTCTATATCTGCCATCTTGCGTCGCGGATCTCGCCTCGCGGATCTCGCCTCGCGGATCTCGCCTCGCGGATCTCGCCTCGCGGATCTCGCCTCGCGGATCTCGCCTCGCGGATCTCGCCTCGCGGATCTCGCCTCGCGCCTCGCGGATCTCGCCTCGCGCCTCGCGGATCTCGCGTCGCGCCTCCCGGATCTCGCCTCGCGCCTCGCGGATCTCGCCTCGCGCCTCGCGGATCTCGCCTCGCGCCTCGCGGATCTCGCCTCTCGCCTCGCGGATCTCGCCTCGCGGATCTCGCCTCGCGGATCTCGCCTCGCGGATCTCGCCTCGCGGATCTCGCCTCGCGGATCTCGCCTCGCGGATCTCGCCTCGCGGATCTCGCCTCGCGGATCTCGCCTCGCGGATCTCGCCTCGCGGATCTCGCCTCGCGGATCTCGCCTCGCGGATCTCGCCTCGCGGATCTCGCCTCTTGTTTTTTTTTTCTGGGTGTTTTTTTTCGAGGCGAGATCCGCGAGGCGAGATCCGCGAGGCGAGATCCGCGAGGCGAGATCCGCGAGGCGAGATCCGCGAGGCGAGATCCGCGAGGCGAGATCCGCGAGGCGAGATCCGCGAGGCGAGATCCGCGAGGCGAGATCCGCGAGGCGAGATCCGCGAGGCGAGATCCGCGAGGCGAGATCCGCGAGGCGAGATCCGCGAGGCGAGATCCGCGAGGCGAGATCCGCGAGGCGAGATCCGCGAGGCGAGATCCGCGAGGCGAGATCCGCGAGGCGAGATCCGCGAGGCGAGATCCGCGAGGCGAGATCCGCGAGGCGAGATCCGCGAGGCGAGATCCGCGAGGCGAGATCCGCGAGGCGAGATCCGCGAGGCGAGATCCGCGAGGCGAGATCCGCGAGGCGAGATCCGCGAGGCGAGATCCGCGAGGCGAGATCCGCGAGGCGAGATCCGCGAGGCGAGATCCGCGAGGCGAGATCCGCGAGGCGAGATCCGCGAGGCGAGATCCGCGAGGCGAGATCCGCGAGGCGAGATCCGCGAGGCGAGATCCGCGAGGCGAGATCCGCGAGGCGAGATCCGCGAGGCGAGATCCGCGAGGCGAGATCCGCGAGGCGAGATCCGCGAGGCGAGATCCGCGAGGCGAGATCCGCGAGGCGAGATCCGCGAGGCGAGATCCGCGAGGCGAGATCCGCGAGGCGAGATCCGCGAGGCGAGATCCGCGAGGCGAGATCCGCGAGGCGAGATCCGCGAGGCGAGATCCGCGAGGCGAGATCCGCGAGGCGAGATCCGCGAGGCGAGATCCGCGAGGCGAGATCCGCGAGGCGAGATCCGCGAGGCGAGATCCGCGAGGCGAGATCCGCGAGGCGAGATCCGCGAGGCGAGATCCGCGAGGCGAGATCCGCGAGGCGAGATCCGCGAGGCGAGATCCGCGAGGCGAGATCCGCGAGGCGAGATCCGCGAGGCGAGATCCGCGAGGCGAGATCCGCGAGGCGAGATGGCAGATATAGAACACCATAGTTTAGGAGAAAACCTGCGGAGAAGTATTGACCGGAAAAAAACCTAGAGGTTCACGTTTGTTGTTACAAACGCAGAGTGGACGGGTAGACAACCATTTTATTAGAGATTGTCCAATTAAGTTATGATATGTTTATGTCAGAAGGACCAAGAACTTCAACATTTCCAGTACCAGTTATTTTGTACAAAAATAATGCACCTTTTAAGGTATGATAAATTTCAGTAAACAGTTAGGTACACGTACAAGTTATTTCCGGTTTGATGGCGTCATCAGTCAAAAAAGAGAAGGTAGGACACTTGTTTATTATTTAGTAAAAATAACGCGTGGAAATATGGCAATTTAGTGTATGTAATAATAACAGATAACTTCCAGTTTGATGACGTCACAGTATTTGGAAGCAAAAGGTCAATATTAAGTGTAACAGATGTCATTTTCTTTTTGGGGTGCAAAAAACAAAGTCATGAGACAGGGATCAAATGATGGATTTAAATTCAAAATAAAATGATCATTGTTGAATTCTCCCTACTGTAATTTCTGAAACCTTGCAAATTCATTTGTAGTTGCATAAGGGGATATATAGGGGCAATTAATATATCATAAAAATTTGATTTAGGGCTGTAACATTTTAAAAGATTAAACGGATTTCGATGTGCCGCTAGAGGGCGCCTTTAGTGGACAATACAGAATCTGTCAGTCACTCCCCCATTCTTAGTTCTGAAACCAACGCTGATGAGGGATTAAACTGTGTCAGTTAATTCGATAAGACGCGCCATGGGCGTCAATCGGTGGGGCACGGGGGACCAAGCCAAGTCTCCTCCCCCACTTTTTAAAGTGTGTGGGGATATCATATCGTTTGCCCCCCCCCCCCCCCCCACTTTTATATCCCCGAATAAAAATGATTAATCATAATGATTATATAGCTCAGAATAGCTGATGCACTGACTTCCAACTCGAAAGTGACGTTTAAAGGATGATCTTTTGCTAAAAAAAGTGGCAATAAGTGGTCAGAAATTGCCTCAGATCACACCAAAGAGCGTCTAGAATCCATATTTTTTTCGGGGTGCGCCCTTATAATTACAGCGGGCCCCGCACCCCACACCGTTAGGGCTTCGCGTTCATATGCCTTGATCCCCCCCCCCCCACACACACACACTTTTGAGAATCGATTGACGCTCTGCTAAACGTATCAGTCCACCAAACGGGATGAACATTGAACATCCCAGATCAAAGCAATGACATATTGAGTAGCTTAACTGAATAGACCAATGAAGTTGCTAACAATTTGAGAGATACACTTTTGAGCTTTTTGTTATTAGAGCCAAACTTCTGGGGTGCATGGGGTGCATCATTTTTTTTAAGGGCCAAGGCAAATAAAATGTACCGTTTGATCATGCATTTTCAAGGCGGATGGAGGGCTAGGGACGGATATCCGCTGGGGTTACCACTGAGTGTATCAACTGGAAGAGGACACATTGAATTCCTTGGGATGGAAAAGTGAAACTGCAGTTCCCTCAGTTTTCTGCAGATCTGTGGACATGTAACCTTGTTGTCGCCACTGGCTAATAAGGATAGCCTCGATAGCTTGCAATTATTATCGCTCGACCGATTTAAAGTCGATAGACTGTTAAATGTCTGAACTATAAAATGATATATACTATTCTCCACTGATCCTGTCTTAGATACAAACCCTAACATCCGAACTGGCAAGTTTTCCTAAGCCGAGGTCAACACATCCATGAAACTAATGAAGCTTGGCAAGGCTACTGGTCTGGACAATACCTATTGAAGTTTGGAGGCTTCCTAAACTAAAGAAACATCTCACAAGGTTGTGTAATGCAACCCTTGAAGGTAACCGCCCTCCAGAATGGGGCTTCTCCGGCATTGTCCCCGAGTTCCAAAAAAGGGGACTTCACCATCCCAGACAACTTCCGGGAAACAGCCTCTCTCAAACAGCTACCAAGATCTACAATCTTAAAATTAATGTGGCCTGACGTTGCGAACTTAGCAAGTTCTTCTTCCTAGGCTAAAACAGAAATGACAGAGGTACATACATTAACATGGGGGTGCACCCCCATGTTAATGTATCTACCTCTGTAATGTATCTACCTCTGTCATTTCTGTTTTAGCCTAGGAAGTAGAACTTGCTAAGTTCGCAACGTCAGGCCACATTAATTTTAAGATTTATATATTTCAGGTCCATCCAGTCAGTAAGCAGTTTGCAGCAGTTTTACTTTTTTTTCAAGATCTACAATCGGCTACTTCTAAATCGCATTCGTCCAGAAGTTTAGAAGTTACTCCGTCCCAATCAAAGTGTCTTTCGGCCTCTATGTTTAACCTCTTCTCAAATCCTTGCCCTCAGACGCCTTATTAAGGAAATTCGTAACCACCAGATGGAAGCCGCCATCATTTTCATCGATTCCGTAAAGCATTTGACTCTGTTGACAGACCAACAATGTTTAAGATCCTGCATGCTTACGGTATCCTGGAGGAGACCATTCATGCCATCAAAATTATGTATAAAGATACAAGTGCTGTTGTTCTCACTCCCGAAGGTGAATCTGATTCGTTCTCCGTCAACACTGGAGTTCTTCAGGGTGATCCTCTTGCCCCCTACCTATTCATCATAGTTCTGGATTATGCCTTGCGGAGAGCATTAAATGTCACAGGGGCGGATCCAGGAATTTTCGCAGGGGGGGGGGGGGGGTCATCAGCCAAAAAATCTGAAAATGTACACACGTTTTTTTCTCCGGACACTTGGCCTCTGTAAAATCAAAATCAAAAACTGCTTTCGCAGCTCCGCTTCTTTAAGCCACGATGGCCTTGGCGAAAGGCTATAGAGACTGTTGTGCGGTACCAATCCGCTGCATTATGCCATGGCCTCGGTGCCTCAGGTGAAAGTTACGGTGTCTGGATCACAATAATGACCACTGCCCAGGCTCATTAGCATATAAAGGAGATCGGGTATAAAAAAAATAAAACATATATATATACATATACAGATTATTGTTAGGGCCTATGTCACAAGAAAACAACAAGAGAGTCAGCGTTTCTACTGTGGATCTGATAGGAAAATAAAAACACTTCATGCAACAGTGAGTCAATGCGCACCAAATACAAGACACAGAGGAAAAGTTGTGTTTTTTAAACACTTTCTCCGCATTGTGAGCCACGCGGGCAAATGCTATGTGTGGGGAAAAGGTGATTATTGAGGAAATTAAAATCGGATTTTTTTCCCACTTCATGGAATATACTTAAATGGTTAATGGTACAGTCTAAAATCCCCCAGATTTTTATGTTTTGGATTATTTACTTATCATATATTTCAAACCATGAAACCATGAATTTCCAGGGGCGGATCCAGCAATTTTCGCCCAATTTTTTTGGGGGTGTCACAGCAGGGGGGGGGGGGGGGGTTCGACTTATTATTTAGGAATTTGTATGAGTATTTTGTGGGGGGGACAGAGCTGGTTTTTTTTTTTACCCCCCCCCCTCCCTCTGGATCCGCGCCTGTTACAGTCACTGATGGCTTCACTCTCTCAAACTGTAGGAGTACTAGACACCCTGCCCAATACCCGACCTAGATTATGCAGATGACATTAGTCTGCTTGCTGACACCCTCCTTGCTGACGAATCTCTCCTCCATAAAGTACAAGTTTGCTGCAAGTCCGTTGGTCTCTCTCTTAATGCAAAGAAGACGAAGTACATGGTCATCAACCTATCTACCTTGCTGCTTCTAAAGCATTAGCATAACTTCGTCAACCCCACAATCATGGGCGTCGCCAGGATGGGGCAAGTGGGGGGGGGGGGGGGCGGGGCGCTTTCCCCAACCCCTTGGAAAGCCACCAGAAAAGGACTAGAAAAAAAAAGAATAAAAAAAAGAGATGTGAGGTCATATTTGCTATTAATTCAACACACATTGAACAAATGAGCGTCTGCATGGGTGGCAATGGAGGTGGGGTGGGCAAATTTACCCCGCCCACCCTAACAAAAAAGAAAAGAAAAAAAAAGATAAACTGAGAATATGCAAGAGAAAGTACAAGGATTATGTGAGAAATGTGTTTTGCCCAACCCCCCCCCCCCTGAAAAATTCTGGCGACGCCCAAACCCACAGGGGAGTTAAAGGGAATATACAACATTTGCAAACATCAAAAAATAAAATTACCACGTTTTTACGAAATACCCTACTAGGATGTTGGTAAATGACAGTCTAAAGCATCCTGTAACATTATGGCACCTGGTGTCAAGTCATTTTCAAGAAAATTGTATTTTTGTATACATTTCCAACGGTGGTCGGCCGACCACCGTTGGAAAAACCTAACTATTTTCAACTACTGCTCCAAATTTACAATTTTTTTCCGTCCAAATTTTGTTTGCTATTGGTTACATGTTCATGAATGGGTGCAGGCCAGCTAGGCTGGTTCCCTTACCTTACAATTTTCCGACATCTATAAATTGATCCATTTTATCTTTAGTGGAGTCAGGGAACCAGACTACTTAAAAATTTTAGTTTTTCTTGGTTTTTCAAGCAATTTTTAAACACAAAACTTCAAACATGTCACTTAAACAATATTTGATCTATTATATCTATTATACTAACCCCTCAAATAGTTCATTTCTGAAAATTACAGCAAAAGCCAATGATGTACATTCCCTTTAAGTTGGTCAATACCCCAACTCAAAAGGGACGGCAACGCTTTCGAGATGTTTGATGGCGGATGACACCTCACGCAATATTCAGGTTGATGGCAGTGCAGGTGTCCAAATTGTCAACCAAGTTACACAAACGAGTTTCGCATAATCACTGACAAAACTCACAGTCGGCAAATCGAACAACACAGGAAATTTCTCTATAAAATTCAGGCAACTCTCTGAAAAAAGGGCTTTTGTTTTTTGGAACAACCAGAGCCGCATTGCGAGCAGACTGCTCCCGGCCCGTACATTATCGATGTAGGGCAGGAACCAGCACAGCCTACCCAGCAAAAATAGAATTGTTCGGCAGGCAATAATTCGAAACTGCAAATCAATAATTCAGTAACATAACATGGGCCGATTGTTCTTCGGTCAATATCTCATTCAAAAGTGAATAACTTTTGTATTGCTAGAAAAAAAAAGCAATTTAGAAAAGGAATCTATTTTTCAGGAAAATAGCATTGGGAACGCAAATTTAATTAAAAAAGACAATCATTTTGCCCGTCCCCAGATATTGATGAGCGGAAGGGCGTGCCCCCATGTTCCCCCCCCCCCCTTAAGCCACTGCACTTTCGAGGGTACGCCATGTTTGTTTCATGTCTTTGCAGGATGCCCCAGGCCCCAGCTGGTGCCTTACTTCTTCTCCTTTAATCGTTATAATGCCACTACAATACACATGTAAATAAGTGGACCAATCACCATGCTTTTCACCACACCGAGTCCTTTTTATTGGTCAACGAAAGTAAGAAATAGATTGCATAATTTCTCATAGTACAGCTGCTTCAATTGCGGTTTGAATAATAAATTGCAAATATAATTTATCTGTGAATCTTCTAAAAGTGATGATTTCCTCCTGTAACATAAGTTCAAATTTTACTAGGCAAACATCTCAACTTGGAAGCACAACTGAACAGTTGCAAATTGATAGACCGTTGATATTTTAGCAACATGAAAAGTCACATTTTTAGTCTCATTTTTTTAGTCGCACATTTTAAGATCAGAACGTTTCATTTCTCATATGATATGAGAGCAAGATAGAAGAAGTCATATCTGAGTTCCCCAACTGGAAATTTTGCATTAATGTTCTTTGAAGAAAGGGTAACTTCAAGACGCTTGACAAGAAAATTATGCTTGGAATGAGATTTGAATAACTAGGGGAAAAACTACTTTTTTATGATTCAAAGAAAGGAAAAAGAAAACCTTCCAATTTGCTACAAAGGCTTGTGATAACATTGATAAACTTGACCAAACATTAGCATCAAGAAATATCTAAAATACGTTTATTTGTTCTTACAAAAATGATGTCAATATATATTAAATATATCCAATACTGGATATGTTTAAAAACTGCAGTTCGCCCGAGTGGTAAAGCTTATATGGCACTCGGCTGAAGCCGAATACCTTGAACAAAAAAATAGTTGGTGTAGTTGCCTAAATAAAATGTACCAAACCATTTACAGTTGAATCTCGTTAGTACAAACTCTGTTAATACAAAATTCTGGTTATAGCAAACATAAAGTCTTAGTCCCGACTGTGCATTTATGTGCACAATGAATGGGACTGATGTTCCTCTTGATACAAAATTCTGATATAACAAACAATTTGGCTAGGTCCGAACGAGTTTGTATTAACGAGACTCGACTGTAAATGAAAAGTGTAATAACCAAGCTAAACACCTGCACAAAAAATTAAAATAAACCATGTTCCCACTGGACTTTTAATACCTTGACTTCCCTGAAGAGTGACAATGGGGACGAATGGTAAACTAACCTCCCTGTCAACTTACCGCGACAGCGATGTAAAACTACCAGGCCGAAAGTGGTCATAGAAGATTACCCCTGCAGCCACGGTAAGTTATCAGGGGCATTCTGCCAGATTGAGTAAACGTTCCATCGGCTTTAAAAAATAAAAAGTCTGAGTCGGAACACACGGTAGACTTACGCAAAGAAATGCCGCGTTAAGTCTCCGCATGGCCGTGGAAAAAAAGTCCAATGGGAATGTGGCTTTGGTGAAAAATATCACTTTTCACGGTTTATCATTTAGATGGTGGTCCCTGGTACAGAGGACACCATGTTGGAAGTAGGCAGTTAAACTGAAGAAATAATTTGTGCATATTACAAAAGTGTCTTAGTGCTGAACATCTTATAGTAAATTCATTTGTTTTGGTACCAGAACCAAACTCTAGTCCACATGTCCCAGCGGATGCTCCTAGTACAGCATCAAGAACAAGCCTTGTGAGGGTAGTCACGTTTAAGCTTGTCCCGTCATAAACAGGCCCATCCACTTTGAAATGTCGAGTCCATTTGACTGAGAACAACAAACAAGATGGAGAAAACAAAGAAATGAACGAGGAGAGTTTCTATGAAATGAAATGAAGCATGGGCTCTGGACAAAACTACTTGCATTCGCTGTATCAATTTCAAATAATCCTAAATTTACTTTAAAAAACAAAACTACTTGCATTTACTGGACAAAACTACTTGCATTCGCTGTATCAATTTCAAATAATCCTAAATTTACTTTAACCTAAGGCCAAAAAAAAAAAGTCTCCGGTTTCTGGTATGCGCGCGCGTCGCCGTAGCCATGCGCGTCGGCAAAATGAAAAAGTTTTTTTTTCAATAAAAGATGCTGTCTCAAAACCGCCAAACTCACTGGTTTGACTGGAATTCTGCTGCTGCACAATTTTAACGTGTTTTTAGATGGGATTATGATCGAGAATAAGCTTTATGTGGCGTCGCCGCACCACTTTTGGGGCAAGCTCCATACCAGAAACCGGAGACTTTTTTTTTTTGGCCTAAACTGCCCTGAATCTTTGCCAAAGTGGAGGAATTTGGAGGATCGAGGTTACATGTCAAAAGTGTGTTGCTGATTTTGTAGGATGCACTTTGTCAAGGACTGGCAAGCAAAAGCTGTTTCATAATGAAAATGATGATGATGATAATCGGCATTTAAGAACGTTCTTATTAGTAAACTAAATCACAGCACTTACAGTATTATTATTACCCCTGATCATTGGGCCAATTAAATATTGCAAATACCATCTCAGCTCCCTGGGGAGTATACAGCAGCTCAATGCTGCCTGTTAGGCGCAAGCAAGCTAATTCAATCACAATAACCATCACTGCCTTTACAGGTACCCATTTACTCCTGGGTGGGGAGAAGCAATGAGTGACAAAGTGCCTTGCCCAAGGACACAGGCACCATAACCCCAGGCTGGACTCGAACCCACAACCTGCAGAATTACCCGCAGACCACAAATTCAATGTGTGGATGTCATCTGAAAGTGGCTTTACACAGCACATGTTTCTGTCAAACAATTCTGCTGTGGTTTAGGCTTCAACCCTGTTACACGATTTACATCTGACATATATGATTTTATAATTCTGAGTGCACTCCTTAATCAGTTTGCGCTGGATGACTTGTTTACAAGCAAATGTTTTGCAGTATTCAAAACGGATGACCGATAAAAATGCTGCGAGCGAGGCCGGAAATACGAGTGTGCTGCCCGAGGGTGATTGCTTCAACCCGCCAGGCTTGAGGTCGAGTGAAAAGTAATCCTGTGCCTTGTTCCGTTCTTGTCAAAATATTCCCAGCATGAACAGGTTAATGCAATTGTCCTCCAAGAGTGCAGCCCTGTGGTCCAGTGTTCGACTCACGTGCCGTGGTACATGGGTTCGAACTCCGACAGGGAACACGGTGCTTGTGTTCTTGGGCAAGACACGTTACCACAATTGCCTTTCTCCACCCAGGAGCATAAATGGGTACCTGTGAGGGTAGAGACCAGACTGTGCTGATCTCGAGCTACTGCAGGAAAGTGGACTCGTGGCCTGATGAACAGGGGTAATAATTGTGAAGCGCTTTGCAAGACTTTGGTGCAAAGTGCCAAATAAGCCCCAGACCATTATCCATAAGTAATCCCAAGGACGAACCTAGTGCATGTTCTATCGACCCATGTCGGCATGGGGATGAAATAACTTACTTCTGGCGTAGCTGTGGCCATCTTATGCCTTCATGGCAGCACCCACAGCATCAAATATCTTCTTCATCTTGGCGTCACTGCCAATGTAGCCATCTCCATTCTACAACAGCAAATAGGAAAACTGCTATATTTTTTTCTAAGTGGTGTTTTTATATTCATCCAAAATCATGGGTGTCGCGAGGGGGGCGCTTGCGCCCCCCCCCCAGAAAAGAAGGAAAAAAAGAAAGAAAAAAAACAGGAAGAAAAAAAGAAAAAGAGGCGCGAAGTCATAGTGGTGTAAATTTAATGAGTGGGAGGGGAGGCCAAAATGTCCCTGCCCCCCTCTAAAACTGAGAAATTGAGAATATGTTGAGAAATACAGGAATTTATTTGGAAAAAAAAATGTTTTGCCCCCCTCTAGAAAAAATCCTGGCGACGCCCATGTCCAAAATATTTAAGTCCTGGTAACCAGTACATTTAGGGGGGGGGGGGGGGGGGGGAGGGTAAGGGCTGACGATGTAAAAGGAAGTTCTAGGGTTTTATTTTTAAATCTCTTTTGCACTGCCCAAATAAACTCAAAATTGGTGGTCAACTGAAAAAAAAAATCAATGTATGACTTGAAATTGGATGAACTGTGTACTGCTTGTAAACATTGACCTAATTATTGTATGCACTTTTTTTCTTCTTTCAATTCATTAACAAGCCACCTCCTGGAAAGGAAATGAACAAGGTTAGTTCCTTTTTCCTAAACAGGCGCACGGTCATTATGTGAAGTACTGCCATGGCCAGCGTCTATGAACAGGAAATATAGTACAAAGACATACTTTGTCCTGATCTCTCTTAAAACAATCCAGTCCCAAGTACATCAAGTGTTTCTTTTACATGTATCCCATCAAGGCCAATACGCCAATATGCACCAATTTGTAAGTTGCCACTGGCTTTGTGTTAACATGTCACATATTGTTTCATGTGAAGATTATTTGGGGTCAAAGGTTACACACACAAAAAGGGGAGGGGTGAAACAAGTTATCAAAATCTGACACAGCATGTCAAAATTTTGGTTGATTTTTTTTCTATATTCAAATGCAAATGTGAAGCGATTTTGATGTCCTTAAACTCTCTCAGTAACATGTACAGGTGCAGAGATGTGTTCAACTTTTGCAAATTCTCAGCGTGAATACTTGCAGTGAAGTAACAAATTCAAAGGTTTGATTGAGTTTGAGTATGAATCAGCCGGTCCTGGTCTTTCTGAAATAAATGCGGAACGACCCCTCGACTGACCATCAAAATGACCGATACTGACCTTCTTGGAGTGGACCAGCTGACCATTGACAGAGACCTCCAGGTAACCACTTATATTAGGAGTGGACTCGCCAACCTACGTGTTAAAAAAAAACGACAAAAGTTACTACAGTTTGTGATGATCTGTGAAAATCTTCAACTTTTCATCCGGTAACTGATAGTGATATATCGGCACAAAAGGTGATTGCTTGAGACAGCAAACCAATCTATCACCTGGAATGTCATAAATACCACACTGTTTTAGTCTTAATTCCATATAATTTGGGCAATTAATTCCATACTCTCTCAGTTTATCCATAAGGCCAAAACAAAAAAAGTCTCCAGTCTATGGCATGTGCGCGCGTCGCCGTAGCCATGCGCGTCGGCAAAATGAAAAAGTTTTTTTTTCAATGAAAGATGATGTCTCAAAACCGCCAAACTCACTGGTTTGACTGGAATCCTGCTGCTGCACAATTTTAACGTGTTTTTGGATGGGTTACGATAAAAAATAAGCTTTATGTGGCCTCTCTGGACTCCCATATATTTGCACTTAGTTTAGCCGGTCACCATTTGCAGTCATCAGCCAACATTTGAAGAAAAAAAATATGGTTAAAAAAAAAAAAAAAAAACGCCTCGCCGGACCACTTTTTGGGCAAGCTCCATACCAGAAACCTGAGACTTTTTTTGGGCCTAAGATATTGAAGTACAATGTTTGTGCTCCACAGTTTGTTTGTAAAAAAAAAGTGCAACAATTCAGGGTTTGAGTTTGGAGGAAAAAACCCTTCACATTATGGCCTTAGAAGTGAAGCCTTTTCTTTACGTGAATCCTTTTTTTTCAAATGAGATGAAATTATACTAGCTGATTTTCTGCTGAAAAATGACAAGCATTGCTAGAGCAAGGCACATACACACACGAATGGCCTAGAATGGACATCTTTCTGACTAACTTTATGGTCGAGCAGAAAAAGAACCAGTTTATGCATGCTTAGAAGTTGTTGGAACATTTGTATAAATCCACGGGGCAGTGAATACATTTGATATGATCATTTTGTGGGCAGACAAGAATTGAAAACATAAAATTTCTATAAGAAACTTTGATCTAATTTGAGAAATGAGAATTTTACAGGTAAGTTCAATAGACTAAATTGGTTCTCTTTGACTGTTGCAACTTACAATGTCCATCTGGTCCGCCTCAAACTCGTCGTTTAATGCCATCTTCAGGTTAATAAACTGATAAAAGAAAATGAAAAACATGGGTATTGCAATCTGTTCAGTGTCAATGTACAGAAGTCAAACAAAAAACCAAACAAAAACAGAAGAAGTACTGTAAATGCAAATATAATTTTTTTTGTGGAAAATTGAAACAGAGTGACAATGTGTAAATTGTTTAAGTTGATTCGATGTTGACATTAGGGTTGTCTATTCTCAGTTGTTTGCGTACCTTCCACTTTTTTTCTTCACGGAATATTCAAACTGGGAAAAAGCTCCTCGAATATTCGGTTGATGATCCATATTCGAGTATTTGGTATATTTGAGACAGCCCTACGTGTAGTTGACATCAGCAAAGGCACAATGTACTGACATGTATAAGTAATATGCATACTGTTTACATAAATCACTCAACAATGGCGGCAGCCATTTTCTCAGCATTCATGCATTGAGGTCATCTGACGGCCATCGACCAATCAACAGCCCTCATGCCATTTCTCAAGAAGACTGTCATATGTAAAATTTGCATGCTTGCATGAATTATATCAGACCTTGTTAGAAGTGGACTCTGCAGTGTACGAAATGACACTTGTAATAAAATTCAAAGTCACTGCATGTCTTTGGACAGCAAACATAACATCCGGACTATTTTATTTTCAGTTCTCTGTTGCAAAAAGGTAGACGTCTTACCTTGGAGCGGTACCCTCATCCACCGCTGCAAAATAAAAGAGACACAATTTGCATCAAAAATTACTGTATAATAAACATTCCAATACCAAGATGGTTAAGATTATGCATGCTTAAAAAAAATGCAGGTTTAATTTGTTTTTGAACAGCATGTTCACAATGTACATGTACATTACAGCATTTAGGGGTGTAACAAGGTTTTTTGTTTGTGTTCCAAATTCCATAACTGGAAAAGTACATGAGCGATTAGAATGCTTCTTTCACTAAAAGAAAGCTCGTTAATTGGACTTTCATATCCTATATTTGGAAAAAGCTACATGCAGAAATTCTTTACAAAATAGGAGGCACCATTTGGGTTTCTTTTTTTTTTGGCTTGCCCTGTATTTTGCTACATGTAGGATTAGGCAAAACAAAAATAGTTGGTCTCTGGTCAGCGTGCGCGTCGATTTTAATCATGCGCGTCAATCTTTTTTTCCCCCAAAATGTTCCGCGGTAGCTCCAACAGCGCCCTCCATTGCTGCACCTCCTCAAATTGTTGTACCAAATAGCACCAAGGAATGGGAAATTGCACCAAGGCAAATTATGGAGGACACCAATGTACATGAGGACACAAAAAAAAGCAAAAGAGTACCCAACCTTGTCTGAACAATCCAAGCTTGAAAAAAAAAAAAAAAAAAAAAAAAAAAGGGCGTCGCCACATCAATTCCAGAACTTTGGTCTGACCAGAGACATTTTTTTGTTTTTGCCTTATACAAACTCTTTATTTGTACAGGCCTAAATTCACGTTTGAGAATACGAAATGTGTCATTTTTTGTTTTACTCAATTGGGTTGGAACTAGGACTGTTCTTTAAAATAAAAGAGGGCATATGCTTTTTTTAAGAGTTGTGTTGCATCCAAGCTACAGCTTTGTCTAACTTTATAGTTCAGCTATGGTCTTACATGCCAACACAAGATACTTCAACGAAAATTATTGATTTTGGGGGTCAGGGTGGCAGAACATACATTCAGTACCCTCTCACTTTGAGTTCAAACCCTAGCCAAGGCCGCGTCCCAATTACTTGGCTACGGCTTGAAATTACACACGGGTCTATGAGAAGTGGCTGCAGCCGTTGCCATAGGCCTGTGTGTAAATCAAGCCGTAGTCAAGTTAATCGGACACGGCCTAACATATGGATAGATTTTCCCATACCCACTTATTCCTATTCCCAGCTTACCTAAGGGGCCATTCAGAATTTTCAATGTTTTAAAATTTCGACTTTTTTTCCAAACTATTTTGACCCACCCACCCACCCCTATAATTTCGATTAATAAAAAACTGAACATGTACATGTACATGCACTTACATGTACATGTACTTGAACACCATGTACATGTGTGTCTAGTTCAGTGACGGCGTGAAGTTGTCGGTCTTCCTCTTTTATGTGATAAAATTATGTGATACCTCACCAACAAGTATCTTTTAACGAAATTCAATCAGAATATTTATCTTTTTTTAAAAAAATGTTTAGTTGTTGGTGTCCCTGCCACACTGTACGACGGTGTAGCCGTGCGTTATGCACGTGGATTGATTACTTTCGTTTTGACGGGGACTTTACTGAATAGAGTCTGGTGACTGTACATAGAAATTTCTTTGAATAAAAGTCGAATCGTTCATTCATGTGCACTTGTTATGCAAAGCAGGGGCAGTGGTTCAAGGATATCTATGTCGACTTGCAAAAAGTGTGCAAGAACGCGACTTGAATGCTTTTATGTGTTCACATAATTATTCATTATTCAACCTTACAAATATAAAGATTTGAAGTCTCTGAATTTTTTTTTCTGTACCCACCAGAGTAACTGCTGGTCGTTTGGCCGGTTCCCCAAACGCATTCATACTGCCTATACAATACACTGGCCATGGTGTGCACTGTATTAACCGGTGCTGCTATTGACAAGTATTGTTGATGACGGCCCCCTAGCGCGGCGCACTTTATTTATTTTGGCATGAATCTTTTTTTTTTTTTTACAACTTACAAAGAAATTGAGAATTTCTATTAATCCTTGTTTAAAAATGTCGAATTTGATGATCATTTCTGGGTGTTCAGTGCAAAATTGAAAACAAAATTGAAACAAAATGATTTTGCTTCTGTCCAGCTTCCGGACAGCACTGTAGGTTTTGGATAAAAACAATTCGGACTTCAAAATTTAAAATACAAAAATCTTTCTTAGTGAGCAAATTTCCCACTAAACGTTTTTCCTTTGCTCAAAACAAATTCACCCCATACTTGTTGTTGAAGCGGTTGTGCCTCAGGGGTTTGGATTCATTTTAGAGTTACAACTCTCCACATCCAGGGTGCATGAGTCAGCCCAGGCTAGGAGGTGAGCTTTGTGGGGAACAATTAAAAATAGTGCATAATAATATGGAAAATAAAACGCAGGTGTGTTTCTAACCCAAAGGACATTTCCAGTAATTTAGTAAATTTAAAATTATCCTTTTTCGGTGGGTTCTAACCTTACTCTTTACCCTTTTAAACAAAAAGAAAAATAGGTCCCCTAATATTTCATAATGAAGACCAGTCTCTCGTCAGTACAGAGACACAAAGTTTGATTGTTTTCTTGGAGCACAACATTTGTCAAATACTATAAACCATTTCTCATATTTGTCTCAACTTGGTCATAAACTAAAAGATGTATGTAAAATTTCTGTTTCATACAGACAATGCCAAAGACAAAGAAGAAGATTACGCCAGCCTCCTGATAGGCCATAAGAGGCCATCAGCACATCTTTTTTCAGTTTTACCTGTGAAGGTCAAGAAGAAGTTGAATATTATAGTGAAAGTACATGTAGCTGTGTGTCTTCATCACCATTCCTTTGAATTAATTTATTTATGTGACAAGTTCTTTTTTTTTGTATAGTGCTACATGTAGCTTCTGGAGTGCTTAAATTATTTGTGTATAACAATTAAACAGACATGCAGGTGTAATAAAGGCAAGAAATTTAAAGGCGTTACATACATTTTTATTAACCAGTACATGTGAAAGAGAAGTAAGGTGTTTGAAAAACTATGCTACTTTGCATGAAAAAACCCACAGAACATGTCTATTTCTGTGATTCATCACCATTTATTTATATGACAGGTATATTTTTGGATTTAAAAGGGGTAGCTTCTTGAGTGCTTTAGTTTTGTATTACATTTACATTTTACACATGCAGGTACCACATGTCAATATATTGAAAGGGTTATCGGGATGTACATGATGAATGTGTTGACATTTTCTTTTATGTTGCCCAAGCATGATACACGTACAGAGTTAATATGTGCAACAACGTATGAGGAGTAACTGAACCCTCTCTTTAACTTTCCAACGACATTATAATTAGAAATTGCCATTGCTATGAAACAGCCATAGGATTTATGACATTTTTAACAATTTGTTTTAATTTATTTGTGAAATTTAATTTGAATGTGAAACAATATGTATGTGGTCTGTATGTTTCTGGCCTGCTGAGGCCTGTTCCCCTCCCCTCCCGGCCCCCAGGTTCCCCCTACTGGATGTTGGTGCACACAAAATTAAGCATATTGTGTTTTTACCCTGAACATATTGAAACACTCCCCCCCCCCCCACAAAAAAAAAGTAAAATGAAAAAAAGGGGGAGGGAATAAACAAAAGTAAATAAATAATAATAATTAAATAAACAAATAATATTAATAAACAGTGCTTCCCTACAGACAATGATTCAGTTCCAATTCATCCAGCCATGCAGTCACTTCCTTAAGTGTCATAGGAATTAAAAATGATCCTGGAGAAAATATTAATTCAAATTCATAAATAACTGGTCTGTGCATATGTGAGGAAAAAAAACAACCAACTGGAGCAATTCGGTACAAGGTTTGCGTCTGGTTTTATCCAAAGTCAGAGTGTGTCTAAATACAAATGAAATAAGAATAAGACAACAACAAAAAAGAAAAATATTAGTGATTGCAACTTGCAAGATGATTGACAGAATGCACAAAAAGCAAGAAAGTCATTTAATTGAATTAAAGCAAGTCAAATAATTATAACGTAAAAAAAGATCCAACGAACCATAACAACTTTATGGAGTTACATTTTGTAAATTTGGACGCATATTAATGTGCAGACCTTGGCTCATGCACTAGTCCGAGTAACTTGGACCCAACTTATCGCCTTTTTTAACATTTGGACATGGTCTGGCGATAGGACCCAACTTATCGCCTTTTTTAACATTTGGACATGGTCTGGCAATAGTGGGGTCCAAGCTAATACCGCGACCTGGACAACATCATCCTGTCACTGTCCCAAAAACCAACATTTTCCAACAAAAAACATCAGATTTCACCTTCAAAACGGCCTCCAAATGACTAGATATGCCACCTGAGGTACAAGTAGACATCGATAATTAAGATGGTTGTACTGAAGTTTACTTACGATCCGGAAAAAAAGTGAAATTTTTCGTTCATTTCGGAGAGCTCCCCTCGCGATCTTGAACACGTTAAATTTCCGATCGTGTTTAATGTTTGAACGACGCGATTTCTTCTACATGCCCAGCGTACATTCGATGGTCCCCGTATCCCGAGTGCGATTCCGTTACCGAGCGCGCGCGATGCATCGATTATGATAATGAGTAGACTGGACCACGTTTGTAAACACATGTGCATTTCAAACTATAATAGGGAGTCGGGAACTAGCGCAGCTTTTATGGCGGATACCAGTTCAAGCTGGTTCCCGATTCCCTTTTACAGTTCGAAATGCACATGTATGTGTTTACAAACGTGATCTTTATCATAATCGATGCATCGCGCGCGCTTGGTAACGGAATCGCACTCGGGATACGGGGACCATCGAATGTACGCTGGGCATGTACAAGAAATCGCGTCGTTCAAACATTAAACACGATCGGAAATTTAACGTGTTCAAGATCGCGAGGGGAGCTCTCCGAAATGAACGAAAAATTTCACTTTTTTTCCGGATCGTAAGTAAACTTCAGTACAACCATCTTAATTATCGATGTCTACTTGTACCTCAGGTGGCATATCTAGTCATTTGGAGGCCGTTTTGAAGGTGAAATCTGATGTTTTTTGTTGGAAAATGTTGGTTTTTGGGACAGTGACAGGATGATGTTGTCCAGGTCGCGGTATTAGCTTGGACCCCACTATCGCCAGACCATGTCCAAATGTTAAAAGAGGCGATAAGTTGGGTCCAAGTTACTCGGACTACTCTAGCCCCATAAATGTGGCCTATTTACTGGACTGCCTCCGTAAACATAGGCCACACATCCACATGTACAAAAATCGTGTCGACGGAGCCAAATTTTGATTTTCACATTTAGGCTTAGTTTGTAGGGTTTTTTTGCTTTAGAAGCATACTCACCCTCTTTATAGGCTAATCAGAAAGTGCTGCCTTTTTCAGATGTCTAATTTTTGTGAAATTTCATGTTGAAATTTTGATACGCAAACGTGTAAAAATGAATCTGGAAATTTCACGAAAAATATACATCTGAAAAAGGCAGCACTTTCTGATTAGCCTATATAGAGGGTGAGAATGCTTCTAAAGCAAAAAAAACCTACAAACTAAGCCTAAATGTGAAAATCAAAATTTGGCTCCGTCGACACGATTTTTGTACATGTGGATGTGTGGCCTATGTTTACGGAGGCAGTCCAGTAAATAGGCCAAATTTATGGGGCTAGGACTACTCATGCACAGGGAAATATAATCCACATCTTTTCTTGGCTGGTTTGGGGACAAAAACGATCTAGATTTGGCCAGTAAACAAGGAATATTTTCAGTCCAGTCTCGCAGAGGGCGCTGTTTGCGAAACTGGAAAACGTTTGCGGAACCGGTCAAAGCACTAGCACTGACCTCTACAAAATGTCCTGGCAAATTTCTCTTTCAAACGATCGCAGAAAACTATTCATATCATGAAGTAGGTGAGTAATTTGCGCATATTTATAGATAGCCCCATAAATGTGGCCTATTTACTGGACTGCCTCCGTAAACATATGCCACACATCCACATGTACAAAAATCGTGTCGACGGAGCCAAATTTTGATTTTCACATTTAGGCTTAGTTTGTAGGGTTTTTTTGCTTTAGAAGCATACTCACCCTCTTTATAGGCTAATCAGAAAGTGCTGCCTTTTTCAGATGTATATTTTTCGTGAAATTTCCAGATTCATTTTTACACGTTTGCGTATCAAAATTTCAACATGAAATTTCACAAAAATTAGACATCTGAAAAAGGCAGCACTTTCTGATTAGCCTGTAAAGAGGGTGAGTATGCTTCTAAAGCAAAAAAAACCTACAAACTAAGCCTAAATGTGAAAATCAAAATTTGGCTCCGTCGACACGATTTTTGTACATGTGGATGTGTGGCCTATGTTTACGGAGGCAGTCCAGTAAATAGGCCACATTTATGGGGCTAATTTATAGATAGGTAGCTTCCTGTGAAAGCACGTTTTTTCGCCACAAGACGCTTCAGACGATTTGCGATTGCGGAACCGGTCAAACGACTGTACTTTAAAAAAAAAATTTTTTCTTGACTTTCCATAGACTTTGTACACAATCGCGGAAGTGGCGTCAGGTGTTGCGCGTCAGGTCGTGCAGGTTGCAACATTTTTTTCCAAAATGACCTTGCAACGCCCTGTACTGTAGAGCATGAAGAGTGCGTTCTTTTGGAATTGAAACAACAACTTGCCCTGAAAAGCACTCACCAATACAAAACGCTGATTTTAACTTTCGGCATGCTGACAAATGGTTCTGAATCGTCGACAAGAAATCGCAGGTCCCTTTCGCTCCACTATAAACTCAACTCAAAGTCAGTCAAACTTTACCGGCGCGGCACTGCACATCGGGTAGACCGTAAGGTCATGGCCAAATTCTGCTAAATGCACTTTAAAAATCTGTCAGATTTATCCAAAAATCTGCAAAATTCCCCAAAATTCGAATAACACTATAAACACCTAAAATCACATGCAGATGTTGCAGTTTTGCCTTAATTAAGGTTCAAATCACATTATAAACAATCTATAGTCATAAAAATATTATGGAATTGGGTAAATTTCAGGCGAAACGCGGTTGCATCACGACGAAGTCCGGTACTCAGCAACCTCGTCCCCAGGGTGTCGAGCAGTACGCGCCCATCACTACCTGCTCTCTCACCCTGGTATTGGATCATTTGCAGGGTAGCATAAAATGGCACGACAGTAGAGCGCGTAATGAATATGCATGACTATGACGTCACTGGAAGCTCATGAGTAATATATCACGCACGATACTGATATACATGTAGATGCACACTGTATGTGCTGCATCCCACTTACCGATGATATCACATATTTAACAAGTCCTCTTTCTCTACTGTCGCGCCGCCACCCTCTAGTGTCGTCCCACTTACCGATGATATCACATTTAACAAGTCCTCTTTCTACTGTCGCGCCGCCACCCTCTAGTGTCTAGTAAACCCTGGATAGGAAACTTTCTTCCTGTATCCTGATTGGATACCGCAATTGGCTAGTAATGGATTTTTATCGTGTACTTGGTGCTATTATTCACAACGTGCAGTACGTGTTTTCGCGATCATTCGTCCACGCCTTCTCGAAAATACTAAATTCCTTTCCAATTTGCTCATATTAATTTGAAATATGATACTGCATGTTGTCTCGATAAGATCGTAACAGTTTGATTTCAAAAATCGTGTTTTCGTAACTCACGCCGTGCTCGCGCTGCTACGAATTGACTCTGTTTTTACCCCAGACACCGCATAAAAAAACAAACGCTAATGTGTAACGCATATCCAGGCACCAGACTGTTCCTCATTTGCATACGTGTGCAAAAATCTTTGCACCTGCATAAAATGGCACGACAGTAGAGCGCGTAATGAATATGCATGACTATGACGTCACTAGAAGCTCATGAGTAATATATCACGCACGGTACTGATAGATATACATGTACATGTAGATGCACACTGTATATGCTGCCTCCCACTTACCGATGATATCACATTTAACAAGTCCTCTTTCTACTGTCGCGCCGCCACCCTCTAGTGTCGTCCCACTTACGTACCGATGATATCACATTTAACAAGTCCTCTTTCTACTGTCGCGCCGCTACCCTCTAGTGTCGTCCCACTTACCGATGATATCACATTTAACAAGTCCTCTTTCTACTGTCGCGCCGCCCCCCTCTAGTGTCGTCCCACTTGATGATCATCGGTAAGTGGGACGACACTAGAGGGTTGCGGCGCGACAGTAGAAAGAGGACTTGTTAAATGTGATGATCATCGGTAAGTGGGACGACACTAGAGGGTAGCGGCGCGACAGTAGAAAGAGGACTTGTTAAAATGTGATGATCATCGGTAAGTGGGACGACACTAGAGGGTAGCGGCGCGACAGTAGAAAGAGGACTTGTTAAATGTGATGATCATCGGTAAGTGGGACGACACTAGAGGGTAGCGGCGCGACAGTAGAAAGAGGACTTGTTAAATGTGATATCATCGGTACGTAAGTGGGACGACACTAGAGGGTGGCGGCGCGACAGTAGAAAGAGGACTTGTTAAATGTGATGATCATCGGTAAGTGGGACGATACTAGAGGGTGGCGGCGCGACAGTAGAAAGAGGACATGTTAAATGTGATATCATCGGTAAGTGGGAGGCAGCATATACAGTGTGCTTCTACCTCACCATTACCTCCATTCCGACTCACGTGAGATTGTATTGTTTAGTAGCTAAAGGTATGCCACAATTGAAAGAAAAGAATGCAATTCCTGCCTGCGTGCCCCTATAAAAGGCCCAACCACAGGCATGCTCACCAGTGTATTTTTAGTGGCTACCGCGTGTACATCGGTGCGTTTTCACGCAGCGCTCTAGCCAGTCACATTGAAAGTTGGACCACGAGCGTGGCCAGTAGTGTAGCAATGGCAGATGAAGCCATATTGCATATTAACCCCTCGGAAGACGAGGGCCTAATGGGTCAACTGGATGACGAGTTGTCATTTCTCACGCAGCTACCAATAGCGGAGACTGCATGCTCATCTTTAAGCAAACCAACGCCACCGGCGCCAGCAGCTAAAGCCAAGAAGCGAACTGCTAAACGTAAGAATATAGATCAAGCAAATTCATGTACGCTGAACGAGCCGCCTAGTGCCGCGAAAACTAGCAGCGACAATTCGGACTTGCACAAAGCAGTTTCTAGCTTGCAGCAAACAGTTGCTACTTTGACAAATGCGTTTTTGCACCGCAGCGATTCCGGTTCTAGCCATTACGCTAACCGCTTTCCAACTGAGGAAATATTAAGCGAGGGTGAAATTCCTGATGATAATTTAGTGGCATTAAACCTTGCACCGGAAACGGGCAATGACAACGCAATTGTTGGCAATAGTTATGTACATGTACCTGAAAAGGGCATAGACACTTTCACTGAAGGTGATTTAGATAACCTGTTGTGCGATACTGGCAACCAGGATGACTTGCTGACCGAAATGGCGGCCTTAATTGAGAGTGACGAAAAAGAAAGTTCAGCCCTAAATGACCAATTGGCTAAAACAGTAAATGCACTTGCTCAAGGCAAGATAAAGCCAGAAAAACTAGAAGAAAAATTGGGCAAATACAACAAACCAAGCAACTGCGGTAATCTTTGCCTAACTAGAGTGAACCCTGAGATATGGTCAATCCTAAAACCCACAACACGTGCAAGGGATGTTAAATTCCAAAAGGTGCAAAGCTCTTTTGTACGGGCATCAATAGCCATCGCAATGGCCACTGATCAAATGCTAAAAGCCAGAAATAACAATGAGACTATTGATACAGCTCAGCTTATTAGAATGCTGGTTGACGCAATTGCCATACTTGGCTCGGGCAACGCCCAACTCAACTTGCGCAGAAGAGACAGTATCCGACCTGATCTCAACCAAAAATATGCGGCCTTGTGCTCATCGCAAGTCCCGTGCACTAGTCTCCTTTTCGGGGATGACTTAGTTCAGTCATGCAAAACTATAGTGGAGACAAACAAAATAAGTTCACAGATGTTTGTAAATGACCCCAAACGTCGTAATACTAGACAGTTTTCAGGCCGTGGATCATCCCACCGTGCGGGGCACCTTATTACCCGAGAGGCCGAGGCTACTATCGTCGAGCACAGAGTCAGGGCCAGGGTTATTACCGTTCCGGCGGCAGCAGCGGTCATGGCAGTGGCAATTACCACCAAACCCCAAGCCAATCCACCAGCACCGGGGCCTCGACAGCCAAGAAAACGGTGACCTAGCGGCACCATTACAGTTGGTAAGTGAGTATACATCACCTATTGCTGGAAGATTGCAACAGTTTATCCCTGCTTGGGAAAACATAACCTCTGATGAATGGGTGCTAGATACAGTTGCACATTGCCATATCGAATTTAATCGCACTCCGGTCCAGGCACATGAACCTAAGCTTATTCAATACTCTGACCCGGAGGCGCAACTGATTGACGAAGAAATTCAAAAATTACAAGAAAAAGGAGCGATTATCAGGGTCAACCCCTGTCACGGACAATTTGTGTCCAACATTTTTCTTCGACCAAAGAAAGACGGCTCAATGAGACTCATTATCAATCTAAAAGCTCTAAACAAATTTGTCAAATATCACCATTTTAAAATGGAGACCTTTGAATTTGCACTGACATTGATTCGGACAAATTGCTATTTAGCATCAATAGATTTGAAGGATGCATATTTTACGATACCCATGGCCCAGGAACATCAGAAGTTCTTACGGTTTCAATGGCGAGATAAACTGTGGCAATTTAAATGCTTATGCTTTGGGCTTGCTAGTGCACCTCGTATCTTTACAAAGGTCATGAAACTACTCACATCAACATTACGTAATGCTGGCCAAATTTCGGCAAATTATATTGATGATTCATTACTTATTGGTGACACATTACAGGAATGCACCAGTAACATTGCAGCTCGTTGTGCACTGACAAATGAACTTGGGTTTGTGATTAATCAATCAAAGTCACACTTTACCCCAGTCCAAGAATTGGAGTTTTTGGGATTCACCATTAATTCAGTAGAAATGACAGTGCGTTTACCGCCTTGCAAATTATCAACCGCGGTTGAGGCATGCCATGAACTCATAGGACAGTCGAACCCGACGATTCATCGGGTGTCACAGGTCATAGGAAAACTTGTGTCATGTTTTCCAGCGGTCCCACTTGGGCCTTTATATTACCGAAGTTTGGAAGTGAGCAAAAACATCGCTCTGAAAAAATGTCATGGAAATTACAAGGCCAAAATGGCTCTCACTGCAAGCAGTAAGTCCGATTTGCAATGGTGGATACAAAATTTACCATATAATTTTCGACCAATATTACCCCGTGTAACAGACATCGAAGTGTTTACTGATGCTTCCCTCATGGGTTGGGGAGCCTCTTGTCCAAAGGCTAACATTCAAACTAATGGCCGTTGGAATTTGCATGAAGTAAGGTTTCATATTAACTATCTAGAACTCCTTGCGGTTTTTTATGCTCTAAAGTCATTTCAAACTGACATTCAGAACAGAACTGTGTCCATTGCAATGGACAATGTCACAGGAGTTTCATATATAAACCACATGGGAGGTTGTCATTCAGCTGAACTGAATGACTTGGCCAGACAAATTTGGTTTTGGTGCATCCAACATGACATTTGGTTGATTGCACGCCATATACCTGGTGTACAAAACACTTGTGCAGACACCTTGTCACGATCCTTTAAGGATAATCTGGAATGGAAACTAGATGCCAATATTTTTAACAAAATCATATCAACATTGGGTGTCACACCAAGTATTGATTTATTTGCGTCCAAAGCCAATTATCAATTTAAGCCATTTGTGTCATGGCTGCCTGACCCAGAGGCTACGGTGGCCCACAACTGTCACGGCAAAAGCAAAAGCGCCACGGCAAGCGCAAAAGCGCCGCGGCAAGCGCAAAAGCGCCGCGGCAAGCGCAAAAGCGCCGCGGCAAGCGCAACAGCGCCACGGCAAGCGCAAAAGCGCCACGGCAAAAGAAAAAGCGCCACGGCAAAACAAAAAGCGCCGCGGCAAAAGAAAAAGCGCCACGGCAAAACAAAAAGCGCCGCGGCAAAAGAAAAAGGGCCACGGCAAAACAAAAAGCGCCGCGGCAAGCGCAAAAGCGCCACGGCGAGCGCAAAAGCGCCACGGCAAGCGCAAAAGCGCCACGGCGAAAGCAAAAGCGCCACGGCGAAAGCAAACGCGCCACGGGTTTATTGGGAAGGGGCGTAATCATACATGCCGCTACTACATCAAAATATAAAATGGGAAGGAGAATGGCCGCCACCAGGAATTCTTATTAAGCACAGAATTTAATTCTTTGAGAAGTGATTTTATGGCTGAGAAAATAGCAAGGACTGATAAATCGTCGATATTAATTTGTTGTAGGATGATTCCAAGATTATTCCAAGAGAGTTCCTGCCGTGAATCAGAGTTTATAAAGGAGAGGGAAAGTGGGACTCGCTATATCAGCACCATCAGGGCCGTTCCTCATTTCTTTACATTTCGTGGGATGCAAACAATTACGAGGACGGGAGGCTCTGTGAGCTGATGCATTTTTGAAGACATTTTTCCCCCTTCCGACTAGCATGCAGAGAAGAGTTCCGTTAATTTGAGCCTTTTTTCACAGGTGTGTATACCAGTGTAGGCACGCTAGTGAGCTGCCCAGAGTGTATGAGTTAATTTTTTTTTCCCCAGAGAGCGGGAATTTCAAAACTCTTCGCTGAACGTTGCTTGCACTGACCGGTTTTCCTTGCTATTTTCTCGGCCATAAAATCACTTCTCAATTCATGGTGGCGGCCATACTCCTTTCCATTTAATTTTAGATGTAGTGGCGGCATGTATGATTACGCCCCTTCCCAATAAACACGACTGAGTTGAAGATAACTCACAAATCGAGAAAGGGATCGTTCTATTAGACAGTTGCAACGCTTTCGACAGAGGAGGTTAGGTCGTGGATTTCATGTAAGGAACGTAACACAGGCGAAGACTTTGGATATAGAATAAGAAATAAATAAATTAACTTTAAAAAATGGGGGGGGGGTAAGGGAGAGACACTAAACAAAGGAGAAGTGTTATCGTTGAGATACACAGTTCTAAGCTCTTCTATGAAAATTTGGTGGCTCTGAAAAGAGCCGTTTGCTTTGTTTCGAGTGAATACGGAACTCTTTGATGCCGGAAACAAGCCCTCTTTCTGCCCTGCAGGCTGATTCTGCGAGGATGTGAAAGACTGTCCACAGGGCAACTCATCATCGCTATCGCTAAGCATCATGAGGTCTTGTTCGGCTTCTTGGTTTCTTGAGCCGGGGTGGGTGGGCCAGTGAGTTCTAGGTTCTGAGTTAATTTCTTTCTTTCTTATTCTATATCCAAACTCTGGGCAGCTCAATTGTGTGCCTACACTGGTATACACACCGGTGAACTCATGGGCGTCGCCAGGATTTTTTTCTAGAGGGGGCAAAACATATTTTTCCCAAAAAAATCTTGTATTTCTGAACACATTCTCGATTTCTCAGTTTTAGACGGGGGCAGGGACATTTTGCCCCCCCCCCCCAACTCATTCAATTTACACCACTATGACTTCGCGCCTCTTTTTCTTTTCTTTTTTTTCTCTTTTTTCCCCTTCCTTTTTTGTGTTTTATTCCGGGGGGGAGCGCCCCCTTGCCCCCCTCGCGACGCCCATGGGTGAACTAAGTCTCAAATTAACGGAACTCTTCTCTGCATGCTAGTCGGAAGGAAAAAAACTCTTCAAAAAAATGCATCAGCTCACAGAGCCTCCCGTCCTCGTCATTGTTTGCATCCCACGAAATGTAAAGAAATGAACGGCCCTGATGGTGCTGATAGTGAGTCCCACTCCTTTATAAACTCTGATTCACGGCAGCAACTCTCTTGGAATAATAATTATCCTACAACAAATTAATATCGACGATTTATTTCCTGACCGGTTTTCCTTGGCCTTGCTATTTTCTCAGCCATAAAATAACTTCTCAAAGAATTAAATTCTGTGCTTAATAAGAATTCCTGGTGGCGGCCATTCTCCTTCCCATTTTATTGTTGATGTAGTAGCGGCATGTATGATTACGCCCCTTCCCAATAAACCCGTGGCGCTTTTGCTTTCGCCGTGGCGCTTTTGCTTTCGCCGTGGCGCTTTTGCGCTCGCCGTGGCGCTTTTGCGCTCGCCGTGGCGCTTTTGCGCTCGCCGTGGCGCTTTTGCGCTCGCCGTGGCGCTTTTGCGCTTGCCGCGGCGCTTTTTGTTTTGCCGTGGCGCTTTTTCTTTTGCCGCGGCGCTTTTTGTTTTGCCGTGGCGCTTTTTCTTTTGCCGTGGCTCTTTTGCGCTTGCCGTGGCGCTGTTGCGCTTGCCGCGGCGCTTTTGCGCTTGCCGCGGCGCTTTTGCGCTTGCCGTGGCGCTTTTGCTTTTGCCGTGACAGTTGTGGGCCACCGTAAGAGGCAGTTGCATGTGATGCGTTTACAATGTCTTGGGCGAACGAAATATTTTACGCATTTCCTCCTTTTGCTGTCATTGACAGGGTATTGCAGAAAATCGAGGTAGACGGAGCCATGGGAATACTTATATTCCCATTATGGCAAACCCAACATTGGTTTCCCAGAATGCTGCGCCTGTTGATAGCTATGCCAGTAACACTACCAAAGACATACGGGTTGTTGAGACTACCACACGATCCACACAGTCGCCATCCACTAGAGGGCCGAATGACAATGTGTGCTTCACTCTTATCCAGCAGTCGCTCCGATCAAGAGGATTTTCGAAGGAAACTATTGACATTATCCTCCAATCATGGAGACCGAGTACCAAGAAGCAATATGCATCATCCATCGAAAAATGGCTACGTTTCTGCACTAAACGGGCTGTCGATCCAGTTCGTGCGACTGTAACCGTGGCAATGGAGTTTCTCACCAAGTTAGTTCACTCTGGGGCAAAATACAGCACTGTTAATACAGCACGGTGTGCATTGTCATCACTGCTTTGGTCAACGTCTGACAATAAAACAAAGTTTGGTAGCCATCCTTTGGTTATTCGTTTTATGCGAGGACTATTTAATTTAAAACCTCAGTACCCTCGTTATTCACATACATGGGATGTTGGTATTTTACTTCGATATGTTAGTAAGATGGAACCATTACAGTCTATTGCATTGAAACAATTGACTTACAAACTGATTTGCTTATGTGCACTTACCACTGCACAGCGGGCTCAGACATTGAGCCTATTCGACATATCTAACATGAAGGTTAGAAACAAACAAGTTTGTATTAAAATAACTGATTTGATTAAAACATCTAAACCGGGCAAACCTCAACCACAAGTTATATTGTCAGCATACCCGCATGATAAAAGTGTATGTGTTATGCGAACCCTCTTAGAGTATCTGAAAAGGACAAGAAGTTTTAGGGGCTCCAAGTCAAAATTATTTTTAAGTTATACAGTGCCGCATAAGGAGATAGGCACTGCCACTGTTTCCCGTTGGTTAAAACAGTCATTAACTGAGGCGGGCGTAGATGTGTCCGAGTTCAAAGCACATAGTTTTAGAACTGCCTCAACCTCGGCAGCCGCCAATAAAGGTGTACCAATTAACTTAATTTTGCAGACGGCAGGTTGGGCAAGTTCAACAACCTTCGCCAAGTTTTATAACAGAAGTGACAGTATTTTATGCTCAGAAGGAGCACAAAGTCAGTTTTCTCAGGCAATCTTAAGTCAAAAATGATTAGCCGAGCATATGTTGTGTAATAAAAATGAAATGGGTCAAGGAAAGTTTTATTCCATTAAATAGCACGGTAAAGTGCTGATTCGACTCATGAAACAAGTGCCAGTTTAAATATGGATTTATACTGAACATCGTCAAGAGACAAAGATAGTCTTGATTTGTTTATAATGAAGTGAATACTACTTTTTGTCAAAAGACAAATTAGTCTTGATTTTGTTTAAAATGAGAATTATACTGTGTTCGGTTGTCAGAGGACAGACTAAAATTTAACTTTGTTTATTATACCGTGTATTGCCAAGAGACAATTTAGTCTTGGCGTAAAAGTGTGTATAATGAGATTTATACTGTATGCAAAGTCATGTACTTTTGTCAAGAGACAAATTGTTTCGAAGTTATTAATAATGATGAGCTAGAATTAGCTCTAGAAGTAGAATGCAAAAATAAAATCTAATATATCCGATAAGGAGTACTGCAAAATTTCTCTGTGCAGTTTCTTGTTTTAAGGGACTTGATTAACATTACACTGTCCCGCTTTAAAGTCTCACGTGAGTCGGAATGGAGGTAATGGTGAGGTAGAATCTCCCAATTAAACGAGTAAAGTGATGTTTAATTAGGATTCTACCGATACATTACCGTAATGAGGAGTCACGTGACTCCCACCCAATGTGCCCAAGCACAAGTTTTGACTCCGTCTCTTTGCTCAACCCGCCCTAGTATACGGGACCAGTGTAATTTGTTATAATTACTTTAAATCACTGGTGAGCATGCCTGTGGTTGGGCCTTTTATAGGGGCACGCAGGCAGGAATTGCATTCTTTTCTTTCAATTGTGGCATACCTTTAGCTACTAAACAATACAATCTCACGTGACTCCTCATTACGGTAATGTATCGGTAGAATCCTAATTAAACATCACTTTACTCGTTTAATTGGGAGAATCTACATGTACATGTATATCTATCAGTACCGTGCGTGATATATTACTCATGAGCTTCTAGTGACGTCATAGTCATGCATATTCATTACGCGCTCTACTGTCGTGCCATTTTATGCAGGTGCAAAGATTTTTGCACACGTATGCAAATGAGGAACAGTCTGGTGCCTGGATATGCGTTACACATTAGCGTTTGTTTTTGTATGCGGTGTCTGGGGTAAAAACAGAGTCAATTCGTAGCAGCGCGAGCACGGCGTGAGTTACGAAAACACGATTTTTGAAATCAAACTGTTACGATCTTATCGAGACAACATGCAGTATCATATTTCAAATTAATATGAGCAAATTGGAAAGGAATTTAGTATTTTCGAGAAGGCGTGGACGAATGATCGCGAAAACACGTACTGCACGTTGTGAATAATAGCACCAAGTACACGATAAAAATCCATTACTAGCCAATTGCGGTATCCAATCAGGATACAGGAAGAAAGTTTCCTATCCAGGGTTTACTATTGGAAACGCGGTTGGAAATAAAGTAAGCACTGGGGACGAGGTTGGGTACTCAGTGAACCTCAGCACCTAGACTAGCCAACCTGTCCCATTTATGCAAGGGTTTGTTTCAAGCTTTTTCACACAAATGTACCATTTTGTTCAAATTTGCTATGTTTTTCTGTCAAATTTTGCATAATTCTGCCAGAAATCTGCCAAAAAAAATCCATTCTGTCAAATTTTCTGTCAAACTCGTTCTTTTAATCCAAAATCTGTCAAAGTTAGCCGAAAATCGGCTAAAACGGTCACCGTGCTGCACATGTACACTCTCCGCGGTGCGGCGCGTCAACACCGATTCATTCGATTATTTCGAGAATGATTTGGTGGTGTCGACCCCATAGTATGGGGGGGGGGGGGGGGGGGGTAGATTTTCAGCACTTCTGGGGCCGGCGAATTTAGGACCTTTTGTCTAATAAAAGTAATTTTGAAACAATCGATTAAGTTCCTACGGGCGTACTAGTCCAGCGAAGCATATTTGTTCAAATATTTTGTTTTATATTTGATGCTTTGAAAAAAAACCTTAAAAATGATTCTTATACCCAAGAAATGCACGGCTTACAAAAGAAGATTTGTATTAATTTACCTATATTTTGTTTACCATTTTTTACCATTAAGGTGATATATAAAAAAATTTACATTTAAATTTTCTATATTAAAACAATACAAACAATTTATTGCCTGTCAGTGTGATCTGAGATTATCATGAATGAACTCAAAATACTAGTCCAGGTGGCCCCCAAATTACTAATGTTTAGCTTTGCAAAAGTACTTATTTTGAAATTGATTATAAAGTGTTTGGGTAAATTTATAAAACGACAGTTCGCGCAAAACGCATTACTCGATTCTCAAAAATCGACAAGTTATCAAGTTTAACAACCGTATCGATTCCAACGCGTCCCTAAGCGCCTTTCTATTCTGCATGGTACCTGATCTTGTATCACCTAAGAATTAGTTATTTAAAAATAGGGCACCAGTAAGCATAACTTTTGCGCGCGCCAGACTTGATTTTAGCATGGACTGTACTGATCAGCTGATGGAGGAATAAGAACACAATTTGCATGTTTTTGTTTGCCTCGTACATTATACATGTTTTGTCGTACAAACTGCGATTGATAGGCCTAGCTACGAATTAAATCAGGATCATGTTCATTGGCAAAAGGTAAATTAAGGTATGTCACTGGCCAATCATTTCTGCCGACACATACGAAGGTTGGAAAAATTAGGCCTAGTACTAGTAGTAGTGTCGAGCGCAATTTTGAGTCCCCCACGCAAGTTTAAACTTGCGCGCGCAAGTTTAAACTTGCGCGAGGGACTCCTGAAGCACGCAAATTACACCGCGCCATTTTAATTTGCGCGCGCAAGTTTAAACTTGCGCAAAGGCGATCGCAACCTTCTTTTGCGGGCGGGATTTTCATTGATGAAGAAAAAATTTTTCAAAACACGAGTAGGCCTACATGGAGAAATTATGGAATATATGAATGAATTAGCTGGAGTTACCAACATGACCAAGCCCTGAGTTTATCATTGGGTTGTCTAGCTGGAGTTACCTACTCCTAGAACTATGAGGCTCCACGTAGTGGAGCTGAGCCTCATAGGTTCAGAACCCCGCAAAATTGTTGTCGGCACAAAACACTAATTAAGTACAAAAACGTCCATCCCAACCAAGCTGTTTCCCACAGAACCGCTGCACAGTTTGCCCCTTAACTCCGTACAATACCTCATGACATACTCACGTTATGTGCACCCAACAAACATCGGTGGATTCTGTCGGTTTTTCGGCAAAATGATGAAAAATATGCCTTTTCTGCACTGAGCCAACCTGACACTTGAAATTTGCACGCGCGCAAAATGATCGCAGTCATTTTCGGGTTCGATAGCTCGGAGCGCGCCGCGGGGGGTACGTACTCGCACTTGTACGGATGCGCATACTATCGTTCCGCTCCTGCACCATACCCCCCGCGGCGCGCTCCGAGCGATCGGACCGAAAATGAGGGCGATCATTCTGCGCGCGTGCAAATTTCAAGTGTCAGGTTGGCTCAGTGCGGAAAGGGCATATTTTCCATCATTTTTGCAAAAAAAACGACAGAATCCACCGATGTTTGTTGGGTGCACATAGCGTGAGTATGTCATGAGGTATTGTACGGAGTTTAGGGGCAAACTGTGCAGCGGTTCTGTGGGAAACGGCTTGGTTGGGATGGACGTTTTTGTACTTAATTAGTGTTTTGTGCTGACAACAATTTTGTGGGGTTCTGAACCTATGAGGCTCCACTACGTGGAGCCTCATAGTTCTAGGAGTAGGAGTTACCCAGCCCTGAGTTTTATCATTGGGTTGTCATCTAGGGCTGCAGCGAGTTTTTCTCGTAAACGATAGTATAGGCAAAAATATTTTGAATGAATAAAGAAATAAATAAAAAGGGGAATTCAATTAGCGTCAATGAAAAGAAACATTGAGATTTAGCAGTGCTTATCAGAGAAGTAGTTTAACTGGTTACGTGGGGGCGGGCGGAGCCGGGGAGGGGACCGGGCAAGCAATAAACTTAAGCACACTAGCGGCGATTGCTTGGAAAGTGTACTGAAGTTGTTCAATAATGGAGACCAGCTTCAAGTTTTTTGCTTTGTAAACCTAATTGGCATTTTATTTATATTCTTGAATGTAAATAAATCATAATTTCCTAGGTGTAACCCGCTGTTAACGTAAAAAGAATGATTATGATCCCTTCAATTGTTCAAGTTTTGACATTATAGTAATCATTTACATTATTTTTAAAATGCTTATGTATTCTACAATTAAAAAAGTACTTATTCTTAAAAAAAATACTAATTAATTTAACAATTAATAAATTGGACGGTACAATAATTCATATTGTTTTTAGAAATACTTGCATAACATTTCGCCGGAGCGCTGTCACACTTCAAAAATGCATAATTTGAAAAAAATTCATGAATGCATTACTTATTTAATTAATTAATTAAATTTATTACTTTAACAAATATTTTTTTATTGCAGGCTCAATCATTCATATTAAAAAATGTTTACAACTTAAAAACGCTATGCATATAAAATGATAATTATTTTAAAGGGAAAATACAACATTTGCAAACATCAAAAAATAAAAATACCAAATCATTTTGAAATACCTTGCTGGACTGTTAGTGAATGACAGTGTAAAGCATCTTGTAAAATCATGGCACCTGGTATACTGTCATTTTCAAGAAAAGTGGTATATTTGTGTCAATTTCCAACGCTGATCGGCCGATCAGCGTTGGAAAAAACTGGCTTTTTTTCAAATACTGGCCCCAATTGACCATCGCACTTGTATGCAATCAATTACAAACCTATGAACGGGTACGAGCCAGCTAGACTGGTTCCCTGACCTTACAATTCCCCAATGTATGTAAACTGCTCTGTTTCTTCTTATATGGAGTCAGGGAACCAGACTACAGGAAAATGATTGTTTTTCTTGGTTTTTATAGCTTTTTCGAACCCAAAACCTCAAAAAAGTCAGTGTAACTACATTTGCTATATATTTCCAACCCCGCAATTCCATCCATTTCTGAAAATTACAGCAAAAGCAAATGATGTATATTCCCTTTAAAATAAATAAATTTGCAAATGATTTAATTAATGAATTTAATAAAATGTTTCAAAAAAAGGCATTAAGGCATTGTCTCCCGAAGCTCAGTGATGCTATTAAATCGGAGAAAAAAAATCTGCTTTAAAAATAATGTTACATATCTGCATGACTATTGAGTATACCCGGGGGAAAAAATAGTTTAGCGGCTCTGTATGCGTGGCCGGGAAAATCTATGCAGTGCGCAAGTTTAAACTTGCGTGCGCAATTTGTAGCAAGGAAATGAATGAGCGCGCAAGTTTAAACTTGCGTGCACGCAGGTTTAAACTTGCGCGGGGGACTCACTTTGCACTCGACAGTAGTAGTAGTATAAGCTATGGTCTGGATATCGGCAACCGCACATTCTGAAAATAGGCCTAGGATTCCTCCATACATGGAGGAATCCTAGGCCTATTTTCAGAAGAAATTCAGCGCCGGTGTCATATGAAAATCGGACTCGTATGAAAATCGGACTCTTTTCCCGTTTTATTGGTTAAACCCTCCCATGAAGAGTACGCCACTTCTTTGCTTGTGTACAAAGTCTATCATGTCTATGGAGAGTCAAGTATATTTTCTAACAAAATTGGAAAGGTTTCTCAGTCCCAGATCATTCATATCGTTTCAACATTTTTGCAATAACTGGCCTTTTACTGAGAAAATATGTTACGAAAAAAGTGGCGTCAGACACGTTACGTCACGTCAGGATAATGGGACGCAACATTCTAGGAAAGAATGTTGCATAGAATGTTGCATCCTGACACCATTATTTAAAACACATATCTCAATGAAGGTCAGTCATTGCAAAAATGTTGAAAAGACATGAATCTGGGACTGAGAAACTGAGAAATTTCCAATTTGTTAGAAAATACTTTTAAAATACACTAAACTCTCCACCATAAACTTTGTAAATGTACACTGGCATCAGGATACTGCATTCTTTCCGTTTTCATCAGCTGACGTAATCCTGCCTACAGTCTATTTCTTCCTCCATGCCCATAATCACTTTGTCCTGTTCCTTATTCGTATTGGCTGCGTCGGCTTTCCTTTGGTAACAATTAGTTTGTCGGATCGAGTCTTCTTTGATTTCTCTGGCAAATTTGTGGGAAAAAATGTTGCAACCTTACGCCACTTTTTTCTTCATACAATGTATATCACCTCAATAAAGGTAATTCATTGGAAACATGATGATAAGACATGAATCTGGGACTGAGAAACATTTCCAATTTTGTTAGGAAATACTTAGAAGAATTTCTCGACTCTCAATAGACTTTGTACACAATCGCAGAAGTGGCGTCAGGTCGCAACATTTTTTCCAATTTGTGTTTACTAAAACTAAGATGGCCGGCGCAGCCAATATGATGTAATTTATATGAGCCAATCCGAGAAAGTTTCTGTGAAAATTACGTTTACTAACAGGAAACTGGCTCTGGCCAAACGCCCACTGCCTTTAGGGAATATTAGCCTTATCGCAAATGCTGCTTGAGTGAATTTGCACAAAGGATGACAATTGTACATGTATTGTTGGAAGAGAACAGCACGGACATTGCCCCTTTTGCCTTCCTACAGTGCTTAAGTTGTAGCTGTTGTATGTTCAAAATCAACTGATTGCAGCAGGGTCTATCTGTGGGGAAATTTTGATTTGTTTTGTTTTGTATGTATGTTCTATGAATCATGTGTGAATGTATAACAAGGTTTTCTTTCTCAAAATTGTTTCTGCATTGGTAATTTTCAATCACAATGTACAGATTGCAAAGATGGAGAATCTGAAATTCTATGTGCTGTTGTCAACAGTTGACAAACCGCAAGAAATCCCACTTGCAAGCGACACTGAGGCTGGTGAGCCCATAAACAGCAGGTAAAAGCTGACTTTTCAACAACAAAAAATTGTTGCTGCTGTTTGGAAATCTAGGCCAAGTAAAAAGTTTCCTCTTTTAAAAAAAAAAAGGATTGAGGAGGCCTTTTTCCGCCAAGATGGCAGACCGATTCTTCCATTTTCTTGACGCTTTTGCTGATGATTTGGTGTCCAAAGGAGCCGTCACCCTTTCTACAAGATTGTGAACTTTTTTTCAAATAAACCTCAAATAAACAAGCCATATCCTCTCTGAATGATCCTCGTTCGCCATTTCCCAGGTTTGCAGCATTGCTAATCTTGCTAGCATTGTGACTTTGGGCGTGATCCCTGGCTGCATGACATATATGGGTTCATGGCTTCTGACTAGCGCCCCTTGAACAAAGACATTGGCAAAATGGGGAACCACCAACATAGGGCTGGATAGCTCAGTTTGTAGAGCACCGAAATGGTAATCCGGAGGTCACAAAACCCGCACCAATCAATTTCTTTGTTCAACTTTGAAAATTAAAGATTGTGAACTTAAATACATAGCTACAATTTTGCAGGAAACAAATAAAAAATGTTGATATATATTGCAAATGTTTGATTAAAAAAAAAAAAAGAAAAAAAGGAGGCAAAAAAAAGAAAGCGGTGGATGGGGACGATAAACTGGTTTAGTTTTTTGTTTTGCCTAATAGGATTCCGATGGTAGGCACTCTTCATTTTAATTTTTTTCGTGTTTTTTTATTTTAATTTTTTTTTTATTAATCTTCTGATGCCACATGAAAGGTTTTTTTTTTGGGGGGGGCAAATTTTGGAAAGAATGTTGCAACCTGATGCTGCTTTTTTCTTCATATATCATCTCAATGAAGGTCAGTAGTTGCAAAAATGATTATAAGACATGAATCTTGGACTGAGAAACATTTCCAATTTTATTAGGAAACACTTAGAAAATCTTCTTGACTCTCCATCTAGACTTCGTACACAACCGCTGAAGTAGCATCGGGTTGCAACATTCTTTCCCAAATTTCTGAATGATGTTGCATTGATTTCTATTTTACCTTATGAATAAATTTACTATTATGAATAAATTTACCCGATCCTGAGAAAAGACGTTTATGTTTTTCTGTTGACAGAGGACAGCAAGATTTTGAAGGCATTCTGCCTCTCCCCCTGCCCAACTTTCTTATGATCTTTGCTCTTGGAGAATGGCCAGACGATCGCTTTCAGCAAATGTCTGCTGAAGTTCACCTGGGCAAAGACCTAGATCCATTTCAGATTGGGACACTATCTAAAGACAACAGGTAATGTAACACTATAGACCATCATCATGTTGCGGCCATCTTGATTTTTTCCCATTCAAATCAACGTAACCAAAGCGAGGCTGGAAGGAAAAATAGTCTGGTTCCTTTTTGCTGTTGTTGCACTTGGAAACAGAATCATTCAACAATTCTGATACATGCACAACCAAGCTATTTCTTCAAAGAATTCACTCTCAAATTCACAATCAACGTCTATCCTGCAAGTTAGTCATTTGCCCTTAAAGATTTATCTGCATTTCTACACCAACACTTGTGGATTGGAGGCCTTGTACACTGTACATAAAAACCAATTTATTTGCAGAAACAAATTCCATCCTAAAAGCTAATTTCACTTTGTGTAAAATGTGTACAATTTGGCAACAATCGGTATTCATGAATGCCATGAGGTAATCTGGCCCAATGAGACAGAACTGGGCAGAGGTCCAAATGAGGCTTTGCAGGTATTAGGAAAGAGAATAAAATTCTCCTTGAAATACTGTTTGTTGCACTTTAATCAGATATTCCGTTGACAAATAATGGCTGTTTGCATTTTTTGACATGTCAAAAAAGTAAAATACCGAGAAAAAGGCCTTTAAAGTTTCAACTGTTTTGTAGTCCTGAAAATGAAAGATGCCAATTGTTTTTCCTTAAAAACTTTTATTCCACAATTTCTTTAAAATATGTGGTTCAAGAAAAAAAAGCCCATGCGTTTTTGTTTCTTTTTCCCCCATTTTTCTTCACCACGACCTGTGCCCAATTTCTTCTCATTTTGCCAGAACGCCTTACATGTAAAATGAGTGACTACCATTTGTGCAAAATGAATACGGTTCGGAACATCTGCAGACGTTCTTTTCCATATGATGCACAGCAAGAATGGCATCTCCATAGTTTCATTTATCTTTCCTGATAATAAAAATCAGGAGGCTGAATGGAACACAGACAGTTTGTATTTTATGGGTGTTTGTTTTGATCTTAGATCTGTGTGTTGGCAAGGTACTTGGAGGGACGATCTTTATGTCCGAGGGACCCTAATGTCTGATGAAGGACAGCCTGGCCTTCTAGTTATTACTCCATCGAGCTCTGATCAAAATGCCGCCGCTCAGAGTCACAGTAAAAACAATAGTCAAGGTAAATAGAACTTGGAAAAAACAAAACAAGAGCATTGGAGATGCTCTTGGAGAAAGCTTGTGTGTCTGCTTTTAAAGTAAGGATGGGACTTTACATTTAATTTTGTAGGCGTTTAACAAAATAGTTAAGCACCGTTTAAACGTTAAACCACTTTACAAAGGCTGACGCCTGCTGCAGTATTTAAAAAGAAATCAGGGCATGTTTAAAAAAAATTCAAAAATTTATTCATAACAGCACAGTGAGCGTTGATGTTGAGCCAGCGGCATGTTTAAAACATGAAATAATACATTGTATACATTGTATATAACTGACACAATAGACAGCCAGGAGTCATTGAAGACATGTAAGCTTAACTTACTGCCCGGAATGTGATTAAGTTCTGCAGTGCTTCAATGCTTTGTAAATCAAATTGGTTTAAATGGAATCTTTGAGTCTTTTTGAAGTGCAAGTGAAACTTCGAGGGCAGTTCGAGTAAACATAATGTCAATCTTGCATAATGCAGGTTTCGCTTGAACATTTCTGCTGCTGTTTTTTCCTGCATGAAAGACTTTTGTATTTCAAAGCACTTTACATCCAACTGTGCCGAGTTGTTTTCTTTGAAATCTAACAATTTAGCAAACACGATTCTAAGAATTATCCCTTAGAATGAAGTGACTCCATATTTTTCCTTTCCGATAGAGCTGAAGACTTCTCCAATAAAAAGCACAGCTATGCGCACCGGCGATTCATCCAATGACATGGAGATTCTGGAGAGCTCACAGACAGAGTCCCAGTTGGCGAACTCTGTCATGGAGCCTGGGTTTGACCAGGAGAACGTTGCACCTGAAGACGAGAACACGAGACCAAGTGGTTACGGTGCGGTGACGAACAAAGAGACACCGTCTAAAATCGCTGCCGTGAGACTAAAGACTGAGGTGACTCCTGAGGTAGAGTTTCTCCGAACGAAATAATTCCAAAGATTTGAATGAAAGGCATATAGGATCATTTGCATTTTTATCCCAAAAGTAACCAACGGAATTATTATCAAAAAGCTTACTTGGACTAAAGATTGTACTGGTACTAAACACCCTGTGAAATTATTTGGTCTGGCTTGCTGTCATTTAGAAGAAATCAAGAAATGTAGGTGATTTCCAACGATGTGCTGGGATATGTCGTTTGTAACTGCGTCGGAGGGCATAGCACCCCAGGCTTCGCCTGAGGTGCTATGTGCACTTCATGTGTTAAAAATGCCATATCCCACACCATAGCAGTCAACACTTGTTAAATATTACCCAACCAGTGACACCTTTAAGCAGGGTTTGACCTTAGCGGAAGTCCCTTCGCCAAATGCGAGTGAAACAGCGGCGGAATAGTCCAAACCATTCCCTTAGTAGTCCGCCTGGCGAGTCAAACTCATTGTAAATAACATTGTTGTTTATGACATTCTCGTACAAAAACTAAAAAAATTCTATTGCTGACTAGTGAAAAAGCCCGTGGACTAGATAAGAGTCTGTTTCGATCACTAGTCAGGCTGGCTAGTGAAAAAAAAGTTAAGGACAAACCCTGCTATAAGTATTCCCCTTTACCACATGTCTTTGTTGTAAAACCAGGTGGCATTGGAGCGTTCTGAACCCCCTTCGTTGACAACCTCCAGCAGGAAGAGGCGCAAGTCGGCCGCAGAGGAATCCTCAACACCAGGGAGGCAGATCCGGGTGAAACGATTACAGATGCAGCAGAACTCGCGGAGTGTCGGGAAGGGAAGCACCGCCGGGCGCGGGACAAATAGCACAGCTGATGGTGCAGGTGAGGATAGGAAGGAATTATTTGGATCATATCTGTCTCATGAACAGTAGATGACTTTTTTTTTTACCACTGTTGAGAGATTCGTGGGTCGAAGGGACACATTTGTTGCGCGTACTGGTCTGTGTGTGTTTAGGGTGAAGTATGCGTGACTCATTTTGTTGTGAATCTGCACAAACCTGCATCTTCTCAATAGCGCCAGGCGTGGTGTTCAGTGCATTCAAATGTCCTTCCAGTGGTCTACCCCTACTCTTTTTATGTAACTGGGGTCACTTGTTCACGGAGTCCATATGATTATGTAGTCCTGGAATTGCCTGATTTCAGGCTTTTTTTTTTTAATTTTAATTAATTTTTTTTTTTATTTTATGGAAAATCGCCCCAAGCAAGGCTATAAAAGCCTCTTGGCAAAGGGCTACAGAAAAAAGAAAAATATGATGAAAAGAGAGAAGAAATGAATCAGGAAAGCTGAAGGTAGGAGTTGATATTCCTCTTAAAAGAGGTTAGATCATAGAATGGAGGGAAACACGCACTAGGCAAGGAGTTCCAATGAGATACAGAACGTGGGAGAAAAGCTGGTAGAGTAGCCCTTTGTTCTACATCTCGGCACAGCTAGAGTGTATGGGTGAGAGGAAGCAGAGAGCCTGGTTGCACGCTCAAACACCCTGACAGGAGGAACCATATTGGCATCAGACGTGTATACTTTTCCTTTATACCTTAACATTTCAGGCAAAAATGTTAAAGTCCACTAACATCCCTGCGTAATGCAGGCTCTCAAGTTTTCCTACTTTTTCCTATTTTTTTTGTCAATTGTTCCTACCTTTTCTTCTTTTAGTTGTTAAAATTTCTGTTTTTCCCCTACTTTTTAGCCCCACAACTTCGAAAAATGAAATCTCATTGAATATTTTTCATAACAGTGTTGCACACTGTCGTATGTAAATCACACAAGTGTTTGGGCACAGGAAGGGTTTTGGGCGCAGGAGTACTGCAGCTGCACTTCCAAGAGCTTAGTTGAGGATGGAGCACAAGTGTTGTGAGTGCAGAATATGCCAAATGAGGCTTATGATGGTGTGGACATGGCTGAGTATCAACAAAAACTACTCCTGAAAGCCTGCAAAAGTCCTACTTTTATCCTGATTTTGTCCTCTAAAGTCCCGCTTTTGTCCTTTTATTTTTAAAATTTTGATCCTACTGTTTAACTTTTTACCTGGGTCTGCTTGAAAGCCTATAACAGCTTTTTTATGTATTTTCTGAGACTTTCTGTATTTATTTATTGCGTACCCAGAGCCCAGTGCCAGATGGGGGCATACCATGTGTGCCATCAGCAAGAAGCAAGCTGTCCTCATCGGTGGTCAGGGAGAACATCAGCATCTCAGTAAAGATAGCGTCTGGCTGCTTGATATTGGTAAGCAACCCCTGTAAACAGTGGATTCTACTGTACGTGTATTATATTTTGCCATCTCTTATCATTGTTTCTCTGGCAGTATAGTCGTGGCCCATTGCTTAAAGAGAAAAAAAATCTTCCTTTAGGTTATTGGACTCACCCAAGTCCCAAGTAGTTAGCGATGTTTAAAACCAACAGGATTGTCTTAGGTAGGGCAGGGTTTTAACATGTTGGGGTTAAATTGACAACAGAGACGACAATTATAGATGGCAGTCGCCACGATGCACTGTGAATGCGCATAACCGCGTTGATTCACATAACTCAACTGCAAAATGCATCAACATTTTATTTCTACGTTTCCAAATGAGGCTTATGATCCCGCGACCATGGGTGAGCATCAACGAAAACTACTGATGAAAGCCTGCAAAAGTCCCACTTTTATCCCGATTTTGTCCTCTAAACTCCTACGTTTGTCCTTTTTTGTGGTGAAAATTTTGATCCTACTGTTCTCCTACTTTTTCACCTGGGTCTGCTTGAAAGCCAGTTGTTGATTGTGCTAACATGATGTACACCTCTGGTAAAACCCAAGTCACACATTTACGGTTGGAGCTATGAATATTCACGGTTTACCAAGAACCAATCAATCCCGACGAACCGTTCTAAGAATACACTACAATTTCAGGATGGATAGCCACAACTGTCCTACGGTTTCTCCACGAATACACCACGGTTTGTCAAGAATATGGACGGATTGGTGAAGAATATCGACAGTATTACTAAGAGTAATGACGTTAACGCCATGGTTGTCTGCGATTTGGCCACGGATGACCAAGATTCTCCTACAAATAAAGCATCGATATTCGTAGTACAACCTTAGCAGAACCCTTGCACATCGGGGCATATCCGTAGGACATTCGTAACGAATTCGCAAATATTTCTACCACGAATGAGCTACAAATCTCCAAGAGTATGTTTCACCATGGATGTTTTGAACAGTTTAAAACGTCTGTAGCCCCTCCACGAATACCCAAGGAAGATGACGGATAACCACGGAGGTACTAAGGATGAATACGGTACTCCCACGGTTTATCACAAATTTCAAACCGTGGAGATCCGTAGCTCCACACCGTAAACGTATGAGTGGGGCTTAACAGTTTTCAGCAAACTGTAGTTCATTTTGTTAACTTGGCAGACACAAAGAGTTGGTGCGTACCAGGAATCAGCCACGCAGAGTCCACCAAGCCACAGTACAGGATGGGCCACACGGCAGTCTATGATCCAAACGTCAAATGTGTGTATGTGTACGGAGGCTCCAAGAACATACGCTGGTACAACGACGTCCACGTGTTGGACATAGAGTCCTGGAGATGGTCTCTAGTTAAGGTGAGTTGTTTTTTTGGAGAAGGAGGTTGGGTGAGGTGTTGGACTTTGACCGTCTCGCAAGCTCTCAAAAGTCAGTCACAAGTTGTCTGATTGTGAATCAATTGACTAACTACAGAGTGAGTTAAAAAAAACGAAACCCAAATGTTGGGACCATTGTTTTAGAGAAGTTCTGCATGTAGCATTTTCAAAATCTAGGATATGAAACCCCAATTCATAAGCTTTTTTTTAGTACAAGATTCATTCAAATCACTCATGTACTTTGCAAGTTATGGAATTTTTAACACATTCACCGTTTTAAGGTTCTGTCCACAGATCGTAAAATAGTTCAGTGTTCCTTCAGCAAAACGAAAACAAATCACATAGGGATGTGTGTGAATTGTTTTCGTTTTGCTGAAAGAACGCACACCTTTTTGGTGATCCGTGGACTGAACCTTAAAACGGTGGTTGTGTTTAATATTCGGTAACTTGAAAAGTACATAAGTGATTTGAATGATTCTTCTACTAAAACAAAGCTTATGAATTGGGCTTTCATATCCTACATTTTGAAAGTGCTACATGCAGAACTTCAATAATACAATAGTCCTGACATTTGGGTTTCGTTTTTTTTTTTACTCACCCTGTATAGACCTTATGCGTTAAGGCAGAGCCAGAGGGCAGTGGCTTTGTGTTGCTTGGATGGGCATGAGTGAACCTTATGTGTATTCATTGTGAATAAATTAAAATAACAAAGAACAGCCTCTGAGGTATCTGCAATGCATAAGGTCTATACAAATGAAAAAGAATTATTGTTCATCACCTGTCTTAATTCAGGCAGTTCACAATGTAGTGCGCCACCAAGAGTTTGTCGTGGAGAGTCCATATTTCAAATTTATATACGTTTGACAGAAAATGGCCCATTTGAACGAGTGTAGAAGACAACTTGAGCTAATTTGTTATAGATTGGGCACAGTGTTCTGCCGCCTTACAAAAAACACCATATTGATAAAAGAAAAAGGGCAAACAGATACTCGAATCATATGCTTACGAAACTACTGACCGGAAAAACTAACAATTTCAAATGTCTCGTGCTGCAAATTTAAAGACCAACTCCCACAATGCACTGGGGAAATGAACTCTCCGTGGCAAACTCTTGGTGGCGCATTCATTGTGAATCGCCCGAATTGATTCATGACTTGATTTATGATTCGATTTGTGACTTGCGTGACTTCAGCTGTGATAGTGACCAGTTACACTTTCCATAGCCAAGAAGTATGCCATTTGTCGGGCTCTTGACTGCTTCCCTCACCCCCACAGGTCACATTTTTAAACCACTTTTTGAGCCTTTTTCTTTATTAATAACTGCGTCTTAGCTGGTCCGACATTTGTAAAAAGAAACTTCATCATTACTGATCCCTATTTAATCTGATGCCACCATCGAAATGCCATCTGTACGAATGCGTCCACCCATGCGAACGTGTATATGTTTGTTAGCTATTCCCTGCAAACGTGCTAACCTCAAACGGAACGATGTTGTCATAAAGAAAACTGTTGTCAAAATGGCAACACCCTTTTGCCATTCCAACAAATGTCAATGTGTTGAAAATGGCTTCAGAAATCCTCGACAGAACTTAATTTTGACTTGAAGTGAAATGTTACCTGTAATATAAAATCTTACTGTGAATGTAGAAAACTCAAAACTTTGACTGGATCGTTACGTTCAAAGTGTGTGGGTCAGCCATTTTGGAAAACATAGCAAATAATTTGCTTAAACTATTGGACCAATTGTTGCTAATGTTCGCCAACATTGGTGGCAAACAGTCCGAGTCAGCCCCACTAGCGCAAGTGCTGCCAACTTTGGCAGACGTTAGCATTGTTGGCATCAGTATTCAAAGGCATCCTGGTAACCACCCTGTTCCTCCTATTGAATCTGTACAGGCCAATGGCAGGGCACCAACCAGAGCCTACCACACAAGCACCCTGTTTAATAAGGAGATGTATGTCTTTGGGGGAGTTTACCCCAACCCTGACCCTGAACCTGACGGTTGCAGCGCCCAACTACATGTCTTCACCCCAGGTAAGAATAACGGAGAGCAACAAGCCACTGCAAAACGATTCATATTGTTATACCACGTGGTAATAGATCGTGAAATTTCATTGGTTGATACCATGTGGTATTATTTTGTGAAATTTCATTGGTTGAGAACCATTCTTGTGTAGTACTGAAAAAGTTCACGTATGAAGAACGGATGGACTTTGCGGAGTGCATCACCTTTTACAACTTCAACGTTACTGTAGAAGATACCGACGGCGGCGGAAGTGCTACAAATAATTTGGTCACAAACATCACACGGCGGGTGATAACTTGGTGACCAAATTATTTGTAGCACAGCCGCCGCTGTCGGTATCTTCTACAGTTACAGTCATGAATTTAGAAGACCTGATAGTTGATTATTATTCTGTTTCTGAAATTACGATTGAAACCTCATACTAGGGTTTTCTATTTTCAGAAACTGAGAGTTGGTATGAGCCTCTTGTAATGGGAACGAAGCCTCAAGCACGATCAGGGTATGTACAAAATAAAAGCCAATGCGATGTTATACAACCATCCTCAATGCTACAAAATCCTCCAATTGCTACTGTAACCTGCACAAATGACACACTTGGGCAAACTCGCAAAAACTTAAGACTCAGTGGGGATTTACTAACAAAACTAAACTAAACTCAGGATCTTTGAAGGGAAAATCGTGAGGAAATTGAATTAATAGAGACACGGACACAAATTCTAGATTTCAAACCAAACAGGACAAAAATAATTAATTTACGAGAATTTCAAAAGAAAACCAAAATGACAAAATAATTATCCACTAAAATTAAGACTAAAAGTAAAGACTAAAATCGACCTAAAAAAAAACAAGTTAAAACCTAAAATCAAAAGCTTAGACTTAAATCAAAACCAACAACTTAAAAGACTAAAACCTGAAACCAACACAGTGAGAATTAATGGACCTTAAAAGTGCACTTTGACTGAAATCAATGACTCGACAACAGACTTGAACCCAAGCAGGACAGGCACTCCAGTTAGGAGGAAAACATGTATATGTATGACTATGTCTCTGCTGGTCTGCTGGCTGAACTGCTGGCTTCACCATATGGCACCTTATATAGGGGGAACATGTGGGCTAAAGTAAACAAACAGGGGGACACACTACCTACAAAGAGGGGGGGGGGGGGGGCATCTAATAAACTTCAACTAAAATGATTTTCTTTTTGCTAAGGGGCAGCTATTCCTATTCAATACACTATAAATACATTAACATTCACAAGATGAACTTGGCCCTGCCACACTACCATGGAAAAAATTGATTCAGCCTCAATCCTACCAAAATCATATTATTTTTAAAATTTGTTCAGTGGAGGGGTAACCCGTGTCTCAATCCTTCAAACTCCTAGCTCCAACAATCACTGTTAACGGGTTGAGGCAGTGTCGGTGATATTCAGAAGCAGTGCGGATGACATCTAGCAGGGCTCAATCATGCATGAATGATCATAAACAATGCAGAGTACAGCCTACGAAAATCATCACAATGTGCCTCCAAAACCAACTGACACTTTTTTTGCCATTCAGCCTTGCAATCCTCCAAATTGGAGTCCTTCAAAACCCCAAAGAGGATTTTGGAGGGTTGAGGAGGGTACAGGTTAAAGATGTTGCTATGAAGAGAAACACCTCAAATAATATGTTGAAATCTTGATTTTCCCGACAGAAAATGAAGTTAGCATGTACCACATTTTCAAAGTGTTCCTTTCATCATAACCTCAACAAGATGGCTTTTCTGTCAAGTTTGCATCCTAAAGGAATTCTTGTATTTTTATCCCTCGTTTCTATCTTAGGCATTCAGCCACACTTCTTGAGAACAAACTGATCATTTTCGGGGGCTGGGATGCTCCAAAATGCTTCAATGATGTCTATTGCCTTGACCTCGGTGGTATGTACCTTTAAACTCGGGGTTTTTTGTCTCCAAGAATTTCCTAAAATTTTCCCAAATTCTCCAAGGTGTCTGAAACCTACAACATGTTATTTTTTAAGGCATATAGGATCATTTGCATTCATCCACAAAGTAACCTACCAAATTATTATCAAAAAGCTTACTTAGATGAAAGATCACACTGGTACTGATTATCCCGTGAAATTATTCCGTCTGGCTTGCTGTCATATTAAAGAAATCAAAAAAATTCGGTGATTTCCAACGATCAGTTTAATAGACTGATTTTTTGGGAATAAAGGGTGCAATTGAGGAAATCGTTTCATGATAAAAAAGGTTGGGTTTTTCACTGTTTTCTCGAAAGGTGTAGTATCCAATGAGCTAAACCTTCAACAGGTTAAATTTAAACATTCTTCTTTGGATTTTTGATTGGTGTTATTATTGGAAATGAACAAAATGCATAATTTTTTTTATCCCATATGCCTTTTAAACGGTATCTTTCCCCATGTAAAGTGATAGTATGTGGGCTCTACCTTCCTCTATCTTGCAAAAGTACTTGTGAATTAACCCCAAACCTCATTTTGTTTTTGTTTTTCCCCCAGGCCTGATGGAATACACCAGCATTGATGTAAGAGGAACTCCACCTTCGCCACGGAGGTAGGCCAAGTTATGACATAATGTGAAATAGCTGTAAAACGTTTGAATGTCTTGGATCCATATATGTGACATTTCAGTGGGGAATTGCCCTTTTCATCAAATTGTAATTTTGTATAAGATGAACTTTGCGTCAGAGTGATGTAAAGTCAGTTTTGGCTTTTGCCCTTCACCGACAAGTTTTCATGTTACAGGGTGAGTAAAACAAAAGCGGAACCCAAACCCCTCAAATTATTTTTCATATTTTAAAAAAATATGTAGCTCCAAAAATACTAATGACTGGAAAGCCAATTTCATAAGCTACTTTTAGATGAAATAAATACTGAAATTGCTCAATCCATTCAAAGAATATCACCATTTAAACAAAATGACCCTTTGAACAATTGTCTTCAAACATCACCAGCGATAAAAACCTCAGTTTAAAAGTTAAAAATATTCAACAAAGTCCTTTTGAAGGCCCGTCTTTCAAAAAAGTGGACTTTATCAGTCATGTTGTTTGCCTAACCAGGGTTGTTGATAAAGATATTGTGCACTACAGTTGTTGACAGTTGTTGAAACAAGTATTCTGTGTCATTTTCGTTGTTGTTCCAAACAGTCAGAATACACATTAAATTGCTTTTATATTTGGACGAAACAGTGTTAGTGTCAATGCATTTCAATGGTGATTTTTTTAAAACGGGTTGAGTAATTTCAGTAATTTTTCATTTTTCAGCTTGTGAAATTGGCTTTTCAGTCATTATTATGTTTGGTGCTACATATTTTTCTAAATATGAAATACATTTTTGGGGCTTGGGTTCCGCTTTTTTTGACTCGCCCTGTATGAATAGTTTGGTTGCGGTAACCTCCTCCCCTCCACTACATCAGACTCCAACCAGCCAGCCAACTCCAGCACTACTACAGGACAATTGTCCTAACAAGACCCATTTCTTGTGTGGCACTTCAAAACAGTGGCGGGTGATACAATTTATTCTTCCACTATTTTAAGACAATTTTAGATACAATTGAACAAACCTTTAAGGCAGGGTAGATCAATTGTCATTTGTGCATTTTTGTTGTTGAAGCAGTAAAAGTGCTCAAAATCTAAAGACGGGTGCTTAACAACTAACCTGATGAAGTTTGAGCTCCGTGAATGCTGTATATTCCGAGAAAACAATATTGTAGCATCTGGATTTCAATTCAAAAGTTGCCAAATCTTGTTTTAAATTGCACCTAAATTCAGTGTCTGGGACACGTTCTCATTCAGCTGATGGCAGCTACCCGATATCATGCACTGAACTGACGAATAACAGAAACCACGCGGATTCACGGATTTGCCAAATTACAAACCAACTACTAACGTAAATTTCCAAATAATGCGTCAGTTGACGCTTCTTTGGCAATGACTTTTTTTTTTTATTGTTTTCTTCAAAATGACAGCATGCCAGAAAGAATAATTTTTACAGGGAGCTTATTGCCCTTACTATCTTTTAGCAAGTAAGCTTTTCAACAATAATTTGGTCCGTTACTTTTTGGTTAGCTGCAACTGATCTACTCTACCTTTAACGCATACATGTAGTTCCCATACCACCCCAAACCGCCTTGCCCATTACTCCTCATACCGCCCCAAATTGCCCGAGCACTCAATGGTTTTCTGGATTCGTCAAAGAGTAAATGCAATGTTATACAGTGTAATACAATCAGTTAATAGTGAAGGTTAGCTACAATTCCTTTGTTTCTTTTCCATGACAACAGTTGGCATGCCTCGGCAGCGTTGCCTGGCAACAGGATCCTTATCCAGGGAGGCTTTGACGGAGAGAATGCCATGACAGATGCCTTTGTCTTTAGACTTGGTGAGTAAAAGAACTTATAAGAAAAGTTTTACTGACAACAAATGGTGCATTTATGTAAAAGACAAACCAAATTGAACAATGTTTTCCTCCAACTACAGGGTGATAGTAAAAAACCCTGAAACCCAAATGTCGGGACTATTGTTTTAGTGAAGTTCTGCATGTAGTACTTTCAAAATCCAGAATATGAAAGCCCAATTAATGAGATTTCTTTTAGTACAAGAATCATTCAAATCACTCATGTACTTTTCAAGCTACGGAATTTTAAACACAACCACCGTTTTAAAGTTCTGTCCACAGATCACAAAAAAGGTGTGCGTTCTTTTAGCCAAACAAAAACAATTCACACTTCCTTATGTGATTTGTTTTCACTTTGCTGAAAGAACACTTATCCTAGATTTTGAAAGTGCTACATGAAGAAGTTCACTTAAACAATGGTCCTGACATTTAGGTTTTGTTTTTTTGACTCGCCCTGTACAGAACACAGTATTTTTAAATCCCTCTCCCTAAAATTCACACTTAAAATATAATCTTTCAACCTTTAGTGACAAAGAAAGATTAGAAGAATTTCAAACTCTTACTACCATGTCTCAAAAATGCTGCTCTTGTTTTTAGAGCTCCTGAAGAGGCTTGTCATTTCGCCTTTTGACATGGGAATACAAAAAGTCACACAATTTCTTACTCATTGGATACATAAACAAGTCACACCAATGTCGAGCGCCATGGTCGATTGTGCCGCGGAACAGGGAACAGTGCTTGTATTCATGGGCACGACACTTTACTACACTTGCCTCTCTCCACCCAGAAGTATAGACAAGAATGCGCTGATCTCGAGCTGTTGCACAAAAAATGGTCTCATGGCCTGATGAACAGGGGTAATAATTGTGCAGCGCTTTTAAAGGGAATATACATCATTTGCTTTTGCTGTAATTTTCAGAAATGGATGGAATTGGGGGGTTGGAAATATATAGCAAATATAGTTACACTGACTTTTTGAGGTTTTGGGTTCAAAAATGCTATAAAAACCAAGAAAAACAATCATTTTCCTGTAGTCTGGCTCCCTGACTCCATTTAAGAAGAAATAGAGCAGTTTACATACATTGGGGAATTGTGAGGTCAGGGAACCAGTCTAGCTGGCTTGTACCCGTTCATAGGTGTGTAATCGATTGCAAACAAGTGCGATGGTCAATTGGGGCCAGTATTTGAAAAAAAGCCAGTTTTTTCCAACGCTGATCGGCTGATCAGCGTTGGAAATTGATACAAAAATACCACTTTTCTTGAAAATGACAGTATACCAGGTGCCATGATTTTACAGGATGCTTTACTCTGTCATTCACTGACAGTCCAGCAAGGTATTTCAAAATGATTTGGTAGTTTTATTTTTTGATGTTTGCAAATGTTGTATTTTCCCTTTAACCTTTGGTATAAAATGCTATATCAGCACCAAATTGTTATAATTATTATTATAAACATCTTCCTGAAATTATTATACATTTTTGAAAACTTTTGTTGGTTGTGTTAATGTTGCCAAGTCAGCATCAATCTCTCGATAAGTTGTAGAGTTCAAATTAGCCCAGGTTGGACTCCTCCCCGTTATGTACATGCGTCAGTCACAATGCAGTATGAAGACATTGTCCAACCTGGGCTAAGTTTAAATGTGACCAACTCTTTTAACAGAGTTTACAAATTTGGTCTGGTTCCAGAGGGCCAGGGCCAGCCTAACTGACTGACTCCCCCACTCACACACACATTGTCACTTGTGAATTAAACTTGCACAAGTCTCAGCTTCCTCTTTGCCCTTATCTCACTGACTGAATCACCGACTGTATCACTGACTTTCACTTGTGAGTTAGACTTGCTTAAGTCTGACCTGGCCAAACAAAATTGACACGGATGACGACCTGGACCCCGGCCGTAGACGAAATAAGCCATTTGCGGATGACCTATGTCCTATGGGATTTAAATTTGAAACACATCTGGTACACTGACTTGCTCATAATGCTTGGCACATTATAACTTTGAATTCTCCAGACCAAATTTGTTGCTACCGGTATATCACATGATTTGGGGCAAGCTCTTGCATAGTTACGTAAGAGACGCTCAGCATCAATACATTGCTCAAAATGGTTGAGAATGGCACAAAGACACCAGACCATGCCGGAGCTGGAGGTTGCTAGCGTAAGGCTTGCCCCGAATCACGTGATATAGTAACAGTCTCTTTGGTCGGGAGAATGCAAAGTAAACACGTGCAAAGCATTGGATTAAGTCAGCGTTCCAGATTTTATTCCAAATTAACTCGCAAATGGCTTAATATATTGCGACTGGCTTTATAAGACTTGCCTCGTGCTGTGTGTAATTTCCCTTCTTTCACCACAGACTCCGAGTGTTGGACACAGTTAGTCTGGCCAATCCCAACCACCCCTACGGCTGGCCACACTATCCTGACCATCAACCCACGACACAGCCTGTTCGGCGACGACAATGAGGACAAAGAAAACGACGACGCTAACGGCCAACAGAAGCTATTCATATTCGGCGGGGGAAATAATGAGGGAGCGTTCTCCAGCAAGCTGATTGACATGAAGCTCCAAATGCCTTCAGACTCATGAACATGGATGCTGATTGTAGGGAGGTGTATGCCCTATCTGTCCAGTCGCTACACGCTGGGCCAGGGATGTAGTCGAGTCAGTGTTGTAGACAATTTCCAGGACGCTGCAAAAAATGAAAGTATTGCTCAGAAAACTTATCTGTTTAGCAAAAAGCAGTGGGGACCAGTCAATTGTAGTATGTGTCACATTACGTTTTGACTGGTATCCCTTAATGAAACTGGTAACTGCTCAATGAAATTCGACCCAACATCCTTTTAAGCAGTGTTCCCTACTCTATGAATGCAAACTTATGTAAGCGAAACAGAACTTTTGTTTTGTCCATGTCTTAACTTTTGTACGACTAGTCTGTCTAATCATGGCCAAAGGTAATGGCCAATTGAGTAATCAAAACTGCCACTCTGCGATGATTGGACACATTTTGATGGACCTGCACTTTTTCATGCCTAATTCATTTCGTTATACAACAAACAGTTGAGGGTGTGAACACATGTTCTTATACATACATAAAAAAGGGAAAAAAAAGGCTATTGTTTTCCCTTGAAACTCAGAGTGTACAAATACATTAATTTTATTTAGCACGGAAAAAGAAATCAGTAAAGTTTCTCATCTAAAGTTTTCCAACCAAAGTCTTCCAACCATTATGATTTCGAAAAATAGCACTGTAACAAGATATGCATGGATTGAATTGTTTCATGCAAAATTGTGAGGCGTGCTGGCAAAAGGGACGGAACATGGGCCCATGCTGCAGAGCAGAAAAAAGTCAAAAACCGAATGGGGGTGATTTTTTTTTCAATTTTCAGATTCAGTGATAGTTGTATTCTTTGATATATGTCTACTACACATATTTTAAAGAAAGGGTATAAAAATCGTGGAATAAAAGTGTTTATAAGGTAAAACAATAGGCATCTTTCATTTTCAATTACAAAATTTGGTAGTTTGAAGGCCTTTTTCTCAGTATTTTATTTTTTTGTCATGTTGATGAATGCAAACTTTAAACAGCCATAACTTGTCAATGGCTTTTCTGATTGAATTGCAACAAACAGTATTGTAAGGAGAATTTTATTCTCTTTCCTAATGCCCGCAAACCCTCATTTCGACCTCTGCCCAGTTCTGTCTCATTTTTGCCAAAACGCCTCACTATTATGTAACCAGTTTTGTAGAACATGTACATGTAGAATTAGGAAGGTGATGTATATATTTCTTTTCAAGATAAAAATTTCAGGTGTATATGATTTTTAATGATTTATGTATAGATTCTATTCGTTTAAAGTCTTTTTCTATAATATTTGTTTTCCAAAAACACGTTGATGAGAAGTATGTAAAACTCGTTTTCAAAACAGTAAACCCCCCCCCAAGTTAAAAAAACACTTTAATTTGATCAGAAAACTTTAAATTAATCCAAAAAGGAAAACTGAACGGATTTTTCTTCCAATTTTCAAAAAAAAAGAAAATTAACTAACCTTTTGGTGCACAGATTAACAAGGTTATAATTTTTGGTGCACAGAGTATATCGTTTCTCGAGCAGTCGCTAGTGACAACCTTGTACACCAAATGGTTAACTACGAGAATAGCACTGGAGCCTGAACCCTCTAAAACACTCAATACCAGTCAATTTGTTTTTTTTATTTGGCCCCCCCCCCCAACAAAAAACCCAAAACAAAACAGAACAAAAATGTTCACCAAGTTCAGGTGATACAGAATATTTTTTTGTAATGCCAAATAGCATTCCTTGTTTTAAAATGACGTTAGGACATTGTTTTCCCAACTTAAAAACTTAAAATCAAATGATATCATGGATACTAATTAATTGCTTTATTATACAACACCTGGATAAATCCCTGTCATCTGATTGTTGGGTCGTTGATCACATGTTATTGAATTATTCGTCCCAACCCATGGCGCGGCCGCACCACAAAAATAGAAGTTCTATTTTCCAGTAAATAGAAGTTCCATTGCACGGTTACACAATTGGTGGCTCGTCTGACCAATCAGATGACGAGGATTTATTCAGGTGTTGTATAACACAAATCATGAATGTTTCACATTCACACAATGGAAAGAATAATTTCATTCGGTGACAGAAGGAATATTCCATTTTTTGCCTCTTGGAATGGAACATTCCATCTGTCACCTCATGAAATTATTCTTACCATTGCACTCGTAAACATTCATTATTTGTATACTAACAGCCAGCTGGTAAATCATGTCCAACTTCTGGCCCCTATTCCCTTTGATACTGCGTTCCCTTACCCAATATATCCTATTGTTTAACAGTAGGTGTGAATTGACCTATCGCCGTTTGCGAGTTAGCCACGCCCCTTAGACAACCCTATGGAGTTTTTGTACACTAAGTTTTGTTTGTCTCAGATTTTGCGCGTTCCGCGTCCATTTGTATATATGTAAATGGACAATATTTCACAAGCTGCGTTGACGCGATTCTAACGTGATTCTACTGCGATAGGTCGATTGTTATTCACAAAACTACTTTTGTATTTCCAATTTGAATTGATAATGAACAAAATCTGAGAATGTTCCCTTGGAAGTAGGTATTAGTATGAATAATCATGGAACCTGGCAAAAAAAGTTTAGTCAACATCATGTGTATGTGAACATATGTGACTGCCATCACAAAATGAGCTTAAAGTCTGACATTTTAAGAACTAGGATATTTTAAATATCTGGATATTTAATTAAATAATCATCTATCACAATCCACAGTGTTTGATACATCTCTGGATATTCATATATCTGGATTATGCAGAACAAGAGCTTTCCAATGGTATACAACATTAAGTGGTGCTTAATGCTTTCTTGAGAAAAAACTTTAATCTTGCAGTTGTGTTACAGTGAAATTAGTGAATGCAGAGTCAACTCATGGAAACCGGATGAAATAGGTTTTTAAAGATGTTTGACAGAATGAACTCAATAGGAGAGATTACAGATTAAGCTTCACCTGAAAACCAGAAATGGACCATCCCTTCAAAATTTTGGCTTTGCACCACGTACTGCAAAATGACAATTTCCAACTTTTAGCTCATTTCGTGATGACTAGGTTACATATGAAGTCTCTTCTTCTCGGTTGGTTCTTCTCCTAAGGACTCCACAGTGGAGTAATAACAGGAGGCCAGAAACACCGGGGCAAAGCCCTTCTCTTAGCAACAAGTGTTACTGGGTTCTTTAACGTGCATTGCATTTAACACACAGGACATACGGCTTTAGGTCCCATCCAAAGGATGAAGCAATAATGGTTAAGTGCCTTGCTTAAGGACACAAGTGTCCACCGACGGGCTCAAACCCACGTCACTGTTGCCTCTGAAACACCACAGCAGGAGTTCGGTGCTCTTAACCGCTAGGCCATGACACTCTTATATGAACAATAACTGCCCACTTTCAAAAGCTCTAGTGGGAAGGACATACCGCATATGCGCACTAGTACATGGTGTGAAGTACGCACAACTAATTTTATTATCATGTACACTAATCCGTGGTTTCTTCAAATGAACTTCAGGCGCCATCAGCAATGTGTTTGAAAGTCCCTCCCAGTGGTCCCCAAACTCTCCCTTTTGTAACCGTTGAGGGGGTACTTGTGCAAGGAGTCCATACTGAACTTATGATAGATCTTCTATGCTTTTTGATACCTCAGTAAAAACAAAAATCTCAGAGAAGCCCTTTTATTTATGAATCAAGCAGTGTTTTCATTTTGGTGATTTCCCTTGTAAAGGAATTTTTATAAAGAAATAAGTTGTATATTTGGCTTGATCGGTTGTGGTTTTGTATCATTTTCTCTTTTAATAAAAAAGTAAGTTTATTACAATCCATACTTTCAGTTATAAACAACTGACTTTTTTGGGTGACTCTGTTTTTTGGATATCAACGACTGACCAAGAAATGAAGTTATGAAATGAGGATGTTGAAGTGGGAGGGAAAGTTTGTGAAAATATTTACTTTTGTGAGCAAGAACAATGGTGAAGATTGTAGATGACAGATGTGGCGACGTTGGAGCCAGACTTTAGTTGTTATGATCAGTGTGGTGACGGTGATTGTGGTGATGCTGATGATGCAGTACTACATTTTAGTTTATTTGCCTGAATATTCAAAACAAAAGCTTAGGTGTCTTCACTCTCCAAACAAAAGATGTATTTTGAGCATCACCCCCCATGCCCCCTCTCTGTTAATGCCCCCCCCCCCCCCCCCCCCGGTCCACCAATGCACTGATGCTTATCATGATGGAGGTTGTGGTGGTGATACTGCTGATGGTTGCAATGCTGGTGCAACAGTGAAGGTTGACCATTGTGGTGACTGGTGGTACTGGCGATGGTGGTGGTGGTGAGAGTGGTGTTAATGGAAGTGCGCTGCTGGAGGTTGTGGTGGTGATCTGCTCACCTGAGGTTACAGTGGTGGTAATGGTCATATACTACTGTGGAGGTTATGTGGCACTGAGGTGGTGGGTGTGCTAGTGTTGATAGACTGAGGTTAATGTGGTGATGATGGTGACGACAGAGGCTACATAATGGTGCTTATGCTATTGCTAGAGGTTATGGTGGTGAAACTGATGGCGCCTAAGGTAGGTGGTGGGAATGAGTGGTGCTGATTGATGTTATTTTGGTGATGCATTGGCGGAAAGAGGTTACAGTGGTGGTCTTATGGTTCTATAAATGCCGATGATGTGAGCGATGCTGGAGGTTACAGTGGTGATACTAATGTTAGTTCGTTATTGTGGTGATGCTGGTGAAAGATCTTTGAGAGTTGATAATAAATGCTGGTGATGGTCACGGTGTTGGTGGGGGGTGGTGTAGCATATGATGAAAATTACTGAGATAGTCCAACAGGGCGTTGCGTACAGTATTGAAGCAGAAGCAGAATGTGACTGAATGTGATTGAATGTGTTGGGTTGGGTAAGATACGAGTGTGCTCATCTAATGAGAGTGGCAATGCATGATGTGGTGGGCTAATTATGAAGTTATGGTAATTATGATAATTGGGATATTGATGCCAATAATTGTGACAAAAGAAATGAAAGCGATGTAGTAAAAAAAAACCCTGATAATTATTTTGTTAAGCGAGTGACTAAATTAATGAAGTGAACTTTATGGTTAGAAGTTACTTGTTTGATGAATATGAGGTGTTGGGTGATTAACTTTTTAGATTTACAGATATGGAATTGTGATGACTCATGATAATTGTGCCACGGGACCGTGCATCGAAATCCCCTAGCAGTAAAAAAAACCCGACATAAAACCATCATCTGTAGACGAGCGAACTGATGACAAATGAATCACTGTGCCAAGAATTGCATGATGAGCAATTGTTACTCGTCCACAACACGTGCGCGCATGCTCCTTGGAGGTGTTTTTCCATGACGGCTAGTCTGTACACCCAAACAACAATTAGCTTCCACTTGCAAACAACACTGCAATGAGACCAGGTACCGCGCAACACCAGCACGATGACATCTTTTCCACATCGAAAACGTACGTGGAGCACATGTGCACACACGTAATGCACGTAATGTAGGCCTAAACCAATTTTCAAGAAATTCAACCTGTCGTTAATAAGTGCCGCGAAAACCCACGTTGTGCTGTTGACACGATGGCGGGCATTCGCGACTCCTCCAAACAATGTTTCCCGCTGCAGGACATCAAATCGGTGGTGTCACTCTTCCGGACAGAACTGACCGAGACCACGGAGCCCAACCTGGCCATGCTGTCCATCGCAACTGGCATCATCGAGAACGTATTCACCAGTAACCGCGGTGGCGGGCCCGGGTCGTCCTCCTCAGATCCCGAGGCAATCGTAGGCCGTGCTGCTGTCAACAACAGCGGTATAGTTGCGGCAGTGGCCGTGGCCGCGGCCCCGGTGGGTATCGAACCCATCTTTCCCGTGGTGGAGTTGCCCAGCGTGGAGGCTCTGTATTGCAAGTTCGAGACGCAGATCAAAGGCTCCGTCGATCTCAGCGACTACAAACCTGGTTACGCCACAAGAGGGTTGATCAAGAAGGTCTCAGACATCATCTGGAGTTCACTTACAAGGTCGTATTACAAGGAGAAGGCACATCTACAGTCACTCTTCAGTTATCTTACAGGTGAGTCATCACCATGTTCATGTCGAAAAGAATGATGAAGAAGATGATGCATCGTCTTCTTCGTGATGAAGCCTTGTTGTATCAGTTCTAGAACTACTTTATCATCATCTTCAGCATCCTCATCATCCTCATCATCCTCATCGTCGCATCTATATCTCTCCCATGTGTTTGGCATTTGAAATGTTAAATCAGGTGATGATTCATTGTTCCCTGGACCCTGTTTTCATTTTTTTTTTTAGAGTTGGCTGCCAGTAGCCTATGTACACTTGCAGGATGTTGTTTCTAATTGGATTATCTAACGTACTATCGTTACGACATTTACGAAAGCCGTAATACTGTGATTTTCAACTGCTATAATAATAATAAGTTTCATTTTGGCATTGCAAAAATGCCTGATTGTGATCTGTCCTTTCCAGAATGCTTTGGTACCGGTAGCTTGAGTGGTATCTAAATGCTCAACCACCATACCGAAAGTCCTGGGATTTTTTTTCTAGCTTTTCTAGTTTCATTTACTTTTATGTTTTTAATCAAACCCTACTTTTTATTGAAGGGGCGGGGGGGGGGGGGGGGGGTGCACACTACAACACCCCACATCTAGCGACACCCTTCCCGGATCATTTGCAGATTGAAACTCTAAATAGTACGCCACTGCGTATAGGAAGTTATTTTACGGGAAATTATTTTAGAGGACTACCAAACTCACAAGTAGTTGTGGGGGTTTAGTGTTTTGCTTTCAGTTTCAGTATGGGCTCCTTGCACAAGTATTCCCCATCAACGGCCAGAATAGGAGAATTGGGGCAGACAGGGCTCTGGAGTGCTCTGAAACGTGCAAAACTAAATCAGGCCCACTTTACTCACAGTTTAGCCAGCAAAATTCTCAAAAAATTCCACTGGAGCAAAAAAAATGTCCTCAGTATTTCACCAACCAAGTTTGCAGACTGAATTCAATTTTTAAAGGAGACTTTTCTTCAATATTTTGCACATGAGAGGGAAGTCAAGTGATTTCAAAATGGGGCTAAATACTACACTGGTACAAGTCCAACCATGGTCCAACTATTGGAAAAGACTGACCTCTTCATTCAGTGTCAATAGTCTGGTGGCTTGACTATGGAGAAATGTGTAGTAAATTGAGAAGAGTGCCCGCTTCATGCCACATGTTTCTTAAATTCTTTTGGCATGGTTGATTGATGCAGTACTGAAGCTGTGTTGGACTGGTTGTTTTAGGTGCCAGTCTATTTTCTTGTTTTGCATGTTTTCAATACCTTAAGTTGTGGGACTCTCATACACAGTATTGAGAGTCCCAAATTTTCGGACTAGAATTGGGGGTGACCTAGACTGGTTCCCGATCCATCCACTGCTTATTTCGAAAGTATCCAAGGTTATTGGAGGTGGGGATTAGTCTCGGAGACCATCGCAAGTTGCATTTGCGCGCTGACGACGCCTGACGCTCGCGCAAAGACGTGGACACGCGGTGGCTATAGCTTTTGCACATTCAGGAAGTCGTGCGTACTTCGCGCTTGAACCAGTACAGTACAGTACACACACGCTGTGTGTCCCGTCTACGTAGCTCTCAAATGAGGTAAAAACACGCCGTCGTTTGATGGCACATGGAGCCCATGTACATGTAGATGTCCTGAATCGATTTTTGATAGGAAAAATGGAACTGTCTTGTAGCGAGGATGGGGAGGTAATTGTTCTCATATTTTAATTGTTATAAATTCAATGATGATTGACAGTGAGCAAATTGTTTCCATAAAATTTACGTATGATAATCAGGAGGGGGGATTTTCTTGGATTCAGCAGGCATCTACATGAATTCACCCACGACTCTAACATGGATTCCACTGGATCTGTTGTCACGTATTGGAACAAGATCAAGATCTGTTGTTGGCTCCTGTTGGGTCTAGTTGGGTTTTGTGAGAAAACTTGTATGGAAATCAAAAGTGGAAGTGGACATTCCGATTTGTCGACGTATTAATTCTTGTCTGGAATGAATACAATCAGTGCGACTGAATAAAAGGGAAAGAGAGAAAAAAAGTGATGTAAAGCGGGACACAGTTTGTGGTTTTTCTCAAAAATTATAACCATTATTATGTGATTATACCGGTAGGCCTATGTCCAGTGGTGCTACTTGGTGAAATTCTGCAATAGGATGTAGTGCACAATGAAATTCCTGGAAAATTTTTCCATTTAAACACATCGTTCAATATCAATGCCTTTTTGGGGGGTTTCTTTCTTAACTCAAAACAATTTCAAAACAATTTGTACAGTATAGACATAGCATTCATGTTTAAGAAGGTAACAGGTCAGCCTCTACTAGTAGCATTCAAGTGTTTGTGGATGACTTGATTTCGGTATCTGTTTTTCTTTTAATTCAGAAACTTTTGTACATCCATGGTTTTTTTTTTTAAGTATCATACTGTAATTTGTCAAGGGATACCTGTTACAAAATATCCAGCTTTTTAAAGGTACAGTCCATCATTTGTAATTTGTGCATTTTGTTTGTTTGAAGCAACAAACGTGCTCAAAATCCAAAGAAGGGTGCTGAACAACTAACCTGATGAAGTTTCAGAGCTCTCAGCTTTAGCTGTATATTTTGAGAAAAACAGCATTCTAGGATCTCGATTTCAAAACCAAAAGTTGCTGAATCATGTTTTGAATTGGGCCTGAGTTCAGCATCCGAGACATGTTCTCACTGAGCTGATTGCAGCTATGTCGCGCACCGATCCGACGAATTATAGCAACCGCGAACTATCGTACTAAAGGAAAATTCCAACGGTACGTCTTTAGACGCACCGTTAGAAAGGCTTCTTTCGTTGATTTCTTCCAAATGACAGCATGCCAGAAAGAATAATTTCACAGGGAGTTTAGTCCCCTTACTATCTTTCAACCAAGTATGTTTTTCAACAATAATTATGTCAGTTACTTTTTGGATAGCTGCAAATGGTGGACTGTAGCTTTAAAGATTTGTTTAGACACTGGTCAGTGGTCGTTCAATGCCTTACTATGAGATTAGTCACAGTGATTTTTTTTTTGTCGGGTAGGTGGGCGGTGAAATTGTGTGGGAGGAGAAAACATCACGGGCAGATCAACTGATTTCAGCAACATAATGGTCAAAAAAATTTATGATTAGTAAATTTGCAAATTTGATTAGTCAAAAATGGAAAAGGGAGACTGCACTGGTGTGTGTGCTGGTAGTAATTTCATGTTTTTGCCAACATTTTTAAATCGTTGAGAATTTTGTTTCTCAATTTCGTCCCAGGTTGCCGTCTGGCTGTGATGAGCATAAAAATATCCAAACTTAAAAAGTGGTTCCTAAAAAAAATGATTCGTAGGGATAAGTAAGAAATAGGCCTACATGTACTCTTTAAAGGTTTATGAAACTTACTCAAAGCAACTCAAACTTTGTATAAAAATTCTGTTCTTTTGGAGTCCTCAACTGACAAGAGGGGAGAAGCCATTTGCCTTTCATTGACAAATGTTCCCATGGCCCTCCCATTGACAAATGTTCCCATGGCCCTCCCATTGAAAAATATTCCCATGGCATTCCCATTGAAAAATGTTCTTCTGGCCCTCCCATTGACAAATGTTCCCATGGCCCTCCCATTGACAAATGTTCCCATGGCCCTCCCATTGACAAATGTTCCCATGGCCCTCCCCTTGACAAATGTTCCCATGTCCCTCCCATTGATAAATGTTCCCACGACCCTCACATTGACAAATGTTCCCATGGCCCTCCCATTGTCAAATGTTCCCACGGCCCTCCCATTGTCAAATGTTCCCACGGCCCACCCATTGACAAATGTTCCCACGGCCCACCCATTGACAAATGTTCCCACGGCCTTTCCATTGACAAATGTTCCCACAGCCCTCCCATTGACAAATGTTCCCATGTCCCTCCCATTGACAAATGTTCCCATGGCCCTCCCCTTGACAAATGTTCCCATGTCCCTCCCATTGATAAATGTTCCCATGACCCTCACATTGATAAATGTTCCCATGGCCCTCCCATTGTCAAATGTTCCCACGGCCCACCCATTGTCAAATGTTCCCATGGCCCACCCATTGACAAATGTTCCCATGGCCCACCCATTGACAAATGTTCCCACGGCCCTTCCATTAGCCTTGACCAAGGCATTGGGCTTATCGATTCGCCGATAAAAAAAAATCGCCTATAAGAAAATCCATAATCAACTTGGCAAGGCATAATTGCGTGGTCAGATCGATGTCCGTACGCTGCTAGTGAGAAAGTAACTTTTACAGCGAGAGGCTATGCTTGTACGTACGCACGTACACACACGTACTCGTACAACAGCCATTCACACACAGTACATGTACATGCATGAGCTAGTCCGCGTAACCCAACGCCTTGATGGTTTTGAGTTGACCCAGCAAAACCTATTACGGTAATGAGGTACCACCCCCGCGTATATACTGAATTCTCATTGGTCAGCCCGCGATAGGCTAACAAACACGTCGCATCCGTGAAGAAACGCTGCAATGGCGGCCCGTTGCTGTGGGTGAAAGTCGTTCAGTCCCAGTCTGTCCGAAGCAGTATTGAAGGCACCAACGAATTCTGCAGGTAATGCTGTCATTAGACGATCGTTGCCCACTCAAATGGATTCATTACACGAGCCGAAAAACTCGAATCAATGTCAAATTGTTGAAAAAGTGACGAACATTTCGCTCTCGCTAAAAAGACATGGAAGACGCCATGATGGCTAATGCATTATGCATGCCGCGCGACATCACATGATTTTTGTGAAGCTTACGATTGGTCAGCTTAAAAATGAATTAATCATACTATTGGGAAGGTTGTTTCATGTGATTGGTCCAAGACGAACCTACATAATAATCACGGCATATCCGCATATCCTGAAGCCCGCCCATTTTTTTCCAAAACTGGACGAAAAGGTAAAGAAAGACATTAAACCCGGAAGTTGCAGACCCAACAAGGCGGTCGTTCGACAGGCCACGCGGCGCGTACCTCACACGTACGT